TGACTTTGCCCCATAGTCATAGCAACATCAACATCTGTATCTCGAGACGAAGGTGCCAGGATGCGTGTGTTCAACTCATGGTCTCCGGTTCTCCTTGGTCCATCTTTATCATGATATCCATATACTCTCCTCCACAACTTCATCCCCCTGGATATCTGGAACTGATCCTTATCAGATAAAGATCTCCCCGGAACCGGCACCCCCCAACACACCGGTAAACAGAGGAAATATAAATAAAGTAGAATCCATTTCATAGTGCTGATGGGAGGAGTGGTTAAAAATGAATGTGCATGGTAAATATTAGGTTGGTTACATTATGAAGGTTCTTTTTTCTTCTCTATTTCAAGGGGAAAGTGGTGCTCTTTAAATGAGTGATTTCGCGTCAGTTTGATGAGGAAGTTGATGGTTGCGGCCGGTTAAGTAGGGTTGTGCGATCCCGTGCTGGGCCTTGCCTTCGGATTGGTTGGTTTTTTCTGGTCGTTCGGGGAGGATGTAGTAATTTGCTTGGACCGGATTTGGGGGGGGGGGGGGATTTTGTTTTTGGTAGTTTCATGTTACTTCAATCACTGTTACTTTAACTATAGTACGTACTTCACTTCTTTTGTTAGGGGTGGGGGGGTTTGTGTTTTTGATTTTAGGGGGTTTGGGTTATGTTTGATTCTGGTAAGGGATTGACTGGACTTTAGATGGTTGGGAATCGATGTAAACTTCATGAGAAGCAAGTTAAATGGTTATAACTTATACACTTCAAAGTGTCAGGCACGACTGCGCTTTGAGCATCTTAACTCCGCTCCTTCACACCCTCCTGCATCGCTTGCAGATGCTCCCACTTCAAGGTATCCTCACCCAAGCTCCAGGCCATGACACCGCCCAGATTCTCGGCGTCCACGATGTCGTCGAACTTGCGCTTGATGAGTGGGGCCGTGTCCCAGCTCCAGAACAGGTTCACTTCCTTGTCGAAGTAGTACTGGCCGCCGCCCTCTTCGTCCGTCACACCGTCCTTCTCGGCACGACGCCAGGAGTCGATCAGTGAGATGCCCTTGCAGGTGCCGTAGTCGGATTGACAACCGGCTTGGCAGTGGGCGTCTGTTGTGCCGCTGTGAATTTTGTTAGCATTCTTCCAAAGTGTATTGATTGTATATGGGTACGAAGATGGAATGTTGCGTGGGGGTAGGTATAATGAAAAACATACCAAGTTCCATACTGGCTGCAACACGAGCCGTTCGGACATGTGCCCTTGCCAAATCCACAGCTGCCATCGGTGCTCTCCTTCAAATCCTTTGATGGCTCGCCCATGGTTCCCTTCTCGAAGGTCAACGCGCCAGACTTGCCAGTGTCCTTACCCTTGGCGTCCTCCAGCTCCGCAACCTCACAGCCAAGCGGGTGCGTATCACAGCCGGCATCCTTCTTCGTCTCGAACCACTTCGCGTAGTAGGCCACACCCAGGTTCATCTTCTGAGTGTCAAGACCAACCTCCTCGTACGCCTTGATGGTATCCAAAGAACCCTTGACACCGGTATGGTGCGTGGTCACGTTATTACGGCGATTCATGAGATCGTACGTCATGACGTTGACCATGTCGACGGACTCCCAGATCTTAGGTCCTTGTTCCTTGGTGAAGGCGATCATGTCGCCCCGCTTACCCGGTACCGCGATAGAGATGAGTTTGTCCTTGCCAAGTTCCTTGCGGAGAGCAGCGAGGAAGAGCGGGTATGTTTCAATCTCTCCCTTCTTCTTCTCATTGGGGATGTCTTTGTAATCTTCGCCATTGCCACCGGGGTATTCCCAGTCGATGTCTGGATTGGTTAGTATGACCTCTCCATGTCGCACTCACTCATAACAATCCCAACAGAGAAAGGAGACAACATACCAACTCCATCCAAACCAAATTGGTCAACCATCGCCTTGACATTCTTCGCATACCTCGCCCGGGACGCCTCATCCTTCGCCCCATCCGAGAACCCCGAGGTATCGCCCCATCCTCCAATGGCAACCAGTAGCTTCGTATCCTGGCTGAAGCGCTTGCGCATCGTGTCAACCGGTTCAAACGGCTGCCAGGGCTGCGGTGAGTCGCTGTTGAACAGGGTCGATTTGGCGAAACCCATTACAGCGTGACTGATCCCCTCTGTGCCGCTGCTGTCGGGGAGGCCTTGGGTGTGATATCTATTTTATTTTTTATTTTTCTTAGTCGGTTGCTCGGCGGTTCCACTATTTTTGGTGTTGTGGTTGGGGCCGGGGGTAGAACCGGGTTAGGGTGAAGGGGCAACATACTGGTCGATATACATCAAGAAGCGAAGACTCGCCGCAGACTGGGCCGTGGCCAGGAGGCCTAGGGCTAGACTTTTCCACTGCATTGTCGCTGGTTCTGTCCCGGTCGGGAAGGGATATCGTAAGTGAGTGAATGATAATAAGGGAACAAAAAAAAAAAAAAAAAAAACAAAAAGGAGGGTGAGTGACAGATGACAGCGGTTTATATAGTCCAATGCGCACGGGTCACTTGAGCAGTCATGCCGTGAAGACGGAGTCACACGAAGTGCGAATCATTCCCTTCGGTTCCCAGACAAATAAACAACTACGTAGTGGGGAATGCGCTGTTCGATGTCGATCTCTTGATGAGGTCCGGCAGGTATGCAGTGGGTGAGACATTGGATCCTTTGCCATTGAATTATTGTTGAATTGTTTGTTGGATCATCGGTATTTGGAGGGCCTGAGTCCGGGGGCGAAGCAGGCGATCAATCGTTCGATGTTGGGGTCCGGGCCTAAAATAGACCTTCTAACATGCCAGGTGGCATTCCTCTTGCATTCTTCTCCTCGCCCGAGGGCACTACGATACGAATACTGGTTTGTCGTTGGATCCATGGCATTGGACCGATTATTGCTTCAAAACAGAGGTTTCAGAAGTAAAGATCCTTCCAGGCTTTCTCCCTTTGTTTTGACTCGGTCAGGAGTACACCGTGTATGATGAGAGTGTCCTATAATTAATAAAGGGTTTCAGAGGAGATGAGAGGAACACTTTCATTGACCGAAACGAAACGGAACGAAACGGAACGATATTCACATTGTTCGTACGGGTATCTCATAGTTCACACGCCACCTGGGATCCAGCCGGTTCGAATTCGAATCTCCAAATTAATCCCAATGGCGTCGGATGATGGGCCGCGCCGGGTCCCACGGTCCGGTCACCACGTTCTTGTATTTCTGGAGACTGATGAGCCACCAACTACAGCCTCCCATCGCCAAGGCAGTCAGGATACTGCCCAACATCGAACCGACAACGGCCGCCGTCAGTCCGCCCCTTAATGTAATTCCAACGGCGCCACCAGCGGCGATCACCAGCGCTAGTGTGAGGAACACATGGCCGGTCCAGGAGATATGGCGCAATTGACGCCGGAAGATAGGGAACAGTCCGAACACTTCGATGGAGAATAGCATTAAACTGAACACATGCGTCGTCGACGGCAGTCGGGACGCCAGCACGGTCGAGGCCATCACCGCGGCGTTGGTCGACAGGGAAGCCGGGAACTTTGTAGCGCCTGCGCCCTCCCCACTTCCATAGTCAAATGAGAAGATGTTGGTGATCAACAGCCAGCAACTCATCGCCCAGATCGAGTCGCTAGCCGTCGATTTCGTGAGCGATTTAAGGATCGGACTAAGTCCCAGTAATGCACAGTAGATCAAAAACGCCGATTTGACGGTAGATAGCCGCTGGCGGTTGCGTGAAGATAGTCGCGAAGTCATCGGCGCATCGTGGGGAGGCAGAAGCGGGACGCTGCCGGCAGCAGTGCCATTCGCACCTCCGAAGGATGCCGCATCCTGCGTGCAGGAATCGCCGAGACCCGAGTGACTGCTCCTTCGTACCGGTTCTGTCTCACTATGAGACATGGTCAACCCAAGTCCATGGACCTGGTTATCCTTCTGGTCATTTAACCGGGTGCTGGATGGGTTCATTGAGCTCGTGGTTGAGCCAGAACTAGATCCGTCATCGCCTTCGGATGTGCGCTCCACCACGTGGCTCTCCCCATGCTCTCTGAACACCCACGAATCCCACAGTATCCAGCCCATCGCCGTCCCGACGCTTCCCCAGCACACAATCGACACGGGGCTCACCCGTCCCTGGACGATGCCAACGAAACAGCAAACAAAGATCGCCACCGAGCAAACATGCTGGACAATGACTGTAGAATCGGCTACCAGAGGCCAGAAGTCGTAGGGACGCACGCGCGGGTTGCGTTGGAGATGGTCGAGGAACGTTTCGGTATCGGTGTAGTTATCAGGATCTGCCCAGCGCCGTTAACAACCATCCTAACTGGAAAATTATTTCCAACCCATACATGATTGCTTCACCCAGAGAAGCTTTTTCCACGCGCCCTTTCGTCTCCGGCGTCTACTGGTTCCTCGTAGTTTTCGTGCCGGGACCGCGTGCGGCGGTCGCAAAGCTGCGACCGAGGCAGCGGTGCCGGCGCTCCCGCTCAGTCCCCGAATAGACTCATCGTAGGTTGCTGGAGCAGTTCGCGTCCTCACCAATGCAGGCGAATAGTATGCATCTTCAGGGGCAAGCCGGGTGGGATCGGGGACGGTCCGTTGTTGCCCAGGGGGTTTTATCCCGACCGCTCGATTTGGATGGGTCTCGACGGGAACTGGAGGAGGAACAGGAGGCGGCGAGTCGGACAGAGGAGGCATCGAGCAGCGCTGAATTCATGCTTGACGCATGGCGACGATGAAGTGGGTAATTCTTGGGGACGTGTTGCGAAGTACCCCAAAGTAGATCTTCCGATTGCGTCGCCTCGCCCACGTGGTCATTAGTCATCGCTTCCAGGGTAGATATTCAACAATCTATACAGCAAGGCGCACTCAACCGACCACTACTGATCGCGAACGCTCACTTATATCTATTCTTAAAGATACATTATTCTCAATAGTTAGTCATGGCTACATAACATGTTACAACTAGCGTTCTTGACACCAAATTACAACGTCACACAATCAAAACAATATTCAGCTCAGTGAAGCGATAAGACATGACTGACCTCTACAGTCAAAGCTCCATCGCCAGCCAGGCTTTTCACTTGCTCCACGAGCAGAGCAAACTCGCCTTCACTACCCTCAAATATATACTGCTGTAGAGGCTGGGATGCTATCTGGCATGACAGGATCCTCACCTCTGCGTTCCTATCGAAAAGTTGGAAAAAGGCCCGGGCCTTGTCGAAGAATTCTTTCCCAGTCCGGCATTCGTCCAATGGAAAGCAGCGAACTGCTCCGGATTTATACGAGAACAACTTGAAAACCACTTTGGGATCTCGATGCGTGGGCACGCTAGGCTCGTTCATTCGGCGCCTTTTAGGCGCAGATGTAGGCTCGGGCTCTTCGTCCGATGAGGACTCCGAAGAAGTGTCGTCTTCTTCGTCTGACTCTTCCTCTGCCGATGATGGCGATGTACCAGGTGCAATGTTATCCCTACGATCATTTGTAGCGACCAGCGGCCCTGGGAGGCTCTTTCTCTGTGGCCTCGTTTCCTGTCTTTGCATCTGAGACGGTCCCGGGAGACTTCTTCGCTGCCCACTCGCTCCTGATGCCAGGGCCTGTGCCTTATTCCGCCGCATCTCAAGAACCTCAAATGCGCTCCACACCTCAGGCTCATAACTCAGATCATCCAGAGTATCCGAGAACTTCCGCACTGCACAAGGTGTAGGATCCCACCCACCATGAACCCCCAGCCAACCCTTCAGGAAGGTACCGTATACCGTGGTGAAAGGGAAGTAAGAACCTACGAGCCTCTCAGACCCGTCCGCAGTATGAAGCACCAGAACATTGTACGTGGCAGGCCCTTTAATCGCATACGCGGAGAGTTCCAGATACCTCCCCTGACGGTCGAAAGTCTTCCATGCACCCTTGGTTCTCCTAGGCTGTTTCGTGTTACAAGGCGGTCGTCCCCTGCCATTCTCTTTGTGCCATTCTTCCAGTAGATCAGCAAGATGTTGGGGAAACGGCTGATCGGACCCAAAGGTCGCTTTGGGGTTCACAACAAGTAACCTGGTCGATGTTTGTGGTTCGTTAGCAGGGGATACTGTCGGCTTGCGCTCTTCCTCGGAGCTGCCCCTGTTGAGGGAACCTTCTCGCCTTGAACAAGAAGAGATGAGCTTGAAGAAATGGAATAACCGGAACGGAGTTTTGCGTACTGATCCACCATATTGGTTCTTCCAAGTCTAGCGCCCTTGCCGATCTAGAAACACGCGGGAAAATAAGTATAATTGCCGGCCTTCGATGGAATAGAGGATAGTCGCGCCAAGTATTAATTGATGGATGATAAATCCGACCGCAATTGAGCGTGCTGCAATGGTTGATAAGGAGTCTACCGCTTCGGTCGATACCTTTAGCAACTTGGAACTGAACCAACGCGTCAATGTCGGGGATCCGCGTTTGTCAACTCCAATGCGCTAAAGGTAGGTTAAGCTTAACACAGGTCATATTTCATTCCGATTGGGTGATTTTGATACCCACTGGGACTACTTCGTACTAGCTGCAGTCTAGTAGCGGTTAGTCCCAAACTTCCTCGTCAGGTACCAATGTCGAACGTACTACTACTTACTAGTACTTCATAAGTTGACAATATCGCCCTAGGTGCATGGGGATCGTTCTGAGCTACAATGAAGCATTGTGTCTGTGCTGGATTTTGTATAGCTTGTGAACTGGTCAATTCCACCCCATGGAGCAAAACTGACCTGTCGCACGGTGTGACCTCCAACGGTTTCTGGGTAGCAAACGCAGTCTCTCTCCTTATCCAAAAAATCATTTATGACAGATTAGCTAGATGTGTCAATATTGAGTTCTGTCGCTTGCAGTTTATCACTATTTCCTGTCAAGTGTCTGGGCAACAAACATGCTTTTGTCGGAATAGCACCGCACGATTCCATGTCAGCCCCTAAATATAATAATAATCATCATTAAATTGAACTACGATGAAAGAAACTCAGAACGAATTGAGAAAAGAACCCGAAAGCAACGGAGGAAGGACACCATCATCGTCTTGTGGATGTAAGCTGCTCATAGGAACCAAGAGAGAGAAAGTATTCAGGATATTATGGTACAAATGTAAATCGGCCATTGCAAGATCGAACTGCATTAACGTCCCGAAAGATTGGCAAAAAGATATTTGCAGGGTGTATATTCTTTTGTCTAACATGCACGGAGAACTGAAAAAAAAAGTGGGTATCAGAAGCCCAAGAGATCGGAAGGGCGGATAAACCAAACAACAATGAAGATCATGCAAGCTTCCAGTCGCACTGGAAGAATGGTTCTTTAACTCGTCAAGTAGAGCTACTCTTCAGCTCCTGTGGCACGGCGCCACCATCAAGACTATTCCTGCGACCCCAGTTCGCTGGCTGTCGGCGTAGGAAGGCCCCGACGGCGCCAATGTAGCCTTCGTGGCGCAGGAAATAGGCTTGCTTTTCGCCCTTGGACCAGAATCGGATGGCGTAGGATAGTGTGTTCATGGTTTGCCGATGGCCGCGGATGAACGATCCACCGAAGTAGATGTGCTTCACTTGATGCTTCTCCGACTGCAGATATGCGATTTGTCCGATGTTGTTACTAGATTACGTTAGTTCCATCAGACCACAGAGAGCAGGGGCGTCTGGACTTACCTGATAGCATAAAGAAGGCTTCGGCTCATATCCTCAGGCTTGAATGTAACTTCACCATTGGTTTGCCCATCTTCACCGTGGGGTTTGTCTTCGCCATCCTCTTCATGCACGTCATTCTTCAATCGAAACACCTTGCCGAACGTGCTGGCAATCGCAGTGCTCTTCAGACCAATTCGGTTATAGTCCATGCCGTAGATATCGCCCACCAACATGTCTACCCCACTGTTGTCCCCGGTATCCGCCATCGCCAGCATGTCGTCGAAGGTCTGAGCACCAGTCAGGAGCGACATGATGCCCCAGAAGGTGCCGCCACCCAGATGGGTACCCCCCACACGCTGGTATTGCCTAGGGCCCGACACTTTAATCATGGATACACCGGAACCGATGTTGACTAATAGGTACGGGTAAACGTCCGGTCGGGCCTCGGCAAATTGCATTGGGTCGGTTTCGCTATAGGTAAAGACCTCGTTCGGTATTTCGGTGATAAAGAAATCGAGTCCTGTTGTTCAATCAGTCATCATGCCTCCGGAGAACCACAATGGATGTGTATAATCGGTACTCGCGCACGTACCGGTGATGAGGCATTCCATCTCATCCTCGCGTATAATATTCACTTTTAATGTCTCCTTCAGCTTGTCGTAATACTTGAAGGCACCGCCTCCGGTCGCCACAACACATAGCTCATCGCTGGAAGGTCCGTGAGCTTTCTGGTATTCTTCTTTCAATTCTTTTATGAAGTTGATGCACAAATCTATGCGATGAGTGTCGAAGTTAATAAAGTTCAATCGGCCGCCATTGTCCACGGAGTCCAGCTCTCGTGTAAAATAAATTAATTTCGCAAGAGAACCACCGATCTAGAAAAATCAAACAGCTCAAGTCAGTTGCGCTGGTCACAATCTGGTGATGCGATCGGGACTTGCAATTCAATTGCGGGGTGTGGGTTATAAAGATTATGCGGGGAACGGCCAAAAAAAAAGAGAGGGAACATGAAAAAAAAATGAAGCGAGGTCACTCACGTCGACAGCAACATGGCTCACTACTCCGGTATGATGGGGAAGCCGGATATCGTGGCCTTCGTAGTGCACACCATCCAATCGCACGGGACTCTTAGATCGCGGATCTTCATCGACAATGAAAGCACCCTTGACATTAATCTTCACAGTACCGGGGTTGGTGATGGCTTTTTCTAGCCGAGTGGCGCGCGAGGGGTTGTGGTTTGTAGATGACATGGTGTATCAATGATAAGAAATAATGAAGAGAAGGGCGAGCCGGCAAGAAATAAGCAACTTGAAGGTCACATCCAGAACCGAGGAATGGGTTGAACCGCGGTGGTTCAGGGTGACATCTCGGAGTAATGGGATTGCCGTGCTGTTCCCTACGGCGTATATCTCCTTCTGCCCGTTTTCCGTTGGGATCGGAAGTTGGAACCAAGATTAAATTGAAGCTTTCACTTTTACCCGGAGTATGCACGGAGTACGTGCACTATAGGCAATCTTAAAAAAAAATTAAAATTAAAATTAAGACTAAAAATTTATCCAGGTGGTGACCTCGTACTGTCAATGAATGGGCTTATCGCAACGGTCCAAAAGTCATCCGGATGACGTCGTCCATTCTTGATCATCATCCTGAGGCATTCATCATTTCTCATCAGGCACGCCACCCAAATCTGTAGTAATCGAGCTGAGCAAATAGCTGATATAAGCTTACAATATTCTTGTACTTTTTTTCATAGGCTTTTTTATTTTTATTTTATCTTATCTTATTTTTTTATATTTATTTTTTGCCCTCTCTCTTCCTTCTTCTTTTAAGGGGAAGGTTCCCTCGCTAAGCTCAAAGAGTGCACAACTATCCGCATACTCACTCGCAAGATATATATATCACGATCTCTGTGTATAAACACCCACATAGTAGAAGGACCTACACCCCGCCTTTCTCTGTAAATTAATAGACCTATAGACTTATATTGATACTCTAATCTAAATGCACACTGAAGAATTATGTCATTTTCTACACTATGTAGAATACATGTACTATGTCTATGGATGCATCTGGCCCGGAAAGGTAGCCAACTGTCTGTGTAGCCTACAATTTCTGTTCGTAATTGCCTCCAGCGAACATTACACCTTGAGCTGTTATTTGGTCATAGTCTGGATTAAGGATTAGGGGAAATCGCTCTTAGGCTACCGGTTGAACGGCATCAAGGATACGTCCGTCCTGAAGTCAAGGCTAGATCTGTAGATATGTCTAACAAAGATAACAACATCGCTCTAGATACCAGTAGTAGAAGACAGCTCTTGAGCCAATTCTCACTGTTTGAAGTACTGTACTACTTGGTGTTACTTCACTTATACTTTATATATGTACTGGTGCATAGACATAACGGGGAGTATCGCATCAGGAGAATTGAAGGATGTAAGGATATCTTGATCATTCTAGGAGGGTTATCTAAACCCAGTGATTTGACTGGTGACATCCCAATTGGGACAACCCCGTGGTCACCGGAAGTTCTTGTTGACGAGCAAGACTTCATTCACTCACTCTCTCACTCACTCTCTCTGAATCTGTTTCTTACCGCACTTCCCAACCAAAGTCATCCACATCTTGATACTATTCACTGCTCCCCTGTAGCCTTCCTATTGGTTTGTACAAGAGAGTAACCCCAACCAAACAGCTTATACTACTACTAATACATGTGTTTCATGTCTGAGCAACCTCTTATGATATTCACCCTTCTGTTTGTTACCTTTGCAACCCCTCACTCTCTTGTGCCCTCCATCTCCATCCCCCTCGTCCTCTTGCAGCTTCTTTCCCCCGTTCCCCTTCATCATTTAACCACTCTCTGCACACCCTTCTTCATTCCAATCAAGAGTTGTCTCCCTTCTCACTTTTCTTCACACATGTGTAAAACTTTCTAAGTCTGCCTCTTCATTATTTTCCTCAAGCTCAGCATTGTGTTTCTGAACCACAACAGTTTACTACACATTCTCTTCACGCGTATTCCGTGTCGATTCAAACATCATGGATACATTTGACGTGTCCAAAATGGGCGCTGCCCTTGAGGATGTAACGCACGCACAGAATGCCAGAAAGGCCGAAGCTGCTAGTACTGCCCGCGAAAAAGGGTGGACTGAGCCAGAGGGCTACGACTACTCCAAGTACAATACAGCCCCTCTCGGGCCTCCTCTGGCCACCCCTGGTGAGGGCACTGAGCCAGAACAGCAACAGCAGGATCTCCCTGAGTGGGCGGCCAACGCGGCAAAATACGAGTGGAAAGACGAATACGGTGACGTTGGTCCAGCCAACCCACAGCTTGAGGAGATGCTGTTTCGGAGTGAGTTCATAAATCGAACTGGTCTCAAAATTGGAAAGTAAGTAGATGTATTTATTGGATACGGTCACCAAAACCTGATCTTTGAAGTCTCCAAAACATCGAAGTCGTCGCTGAAAGTCGTGATCGTCCTAATCCAATTAAGAGTGTAAGTCTGCTCAGCACTGATGATCCACCAAAGTCTTACGATTACTGCAGTTTGATGATGCCGGACTGCACCCCATCGTGCGTGACAACGTCCAGCTCTGTCACTACAATATTCCAACGCCAATCCAGGCATATGCGATCCCTGCGGTCATGACGGGCCACGATCTCATCGCTGTTGCCCAGACTGGTAAGTGATTGAGAAGGTTGTATGGAGGTTAAATGAGCTACTGACAAAATTAGGCTCCGGAAAGACCGCAGCCTTCCTGATCCCGGTCCTGTCAAAATTGATGGGAAAGGCGAAAAAACTTGCTGCTCCCCGTCCGAACTTGGCGGACGGGTATAACCCCATCATTGATGCTGTCCGTGCAGAACCTCTGGTCTTGATCGTTGCGCCTACTAGGGAACTGTCTACACAGATATTCGATGAAGCACGCCGACTCTGTTATCGCTCTATGTTGCGTCCATGCGTTGTGTACGGCGGTGCTCCTGTGCGTGACCAGAGGGACGAGCTGCAGAAAGGCTGCGACATTCTCATTGGCACGCCTGGAAGACTTTTGGATTTCATGGATAAGCCTCATATTCTGTCTCTCCGCCGTGTCAAGTAAGTTCTTTCTCCCACGTTACTAGTATGTGACTAATCCAAAACCAGGTACACTGTCATCGACGAAGCAGATGAACTTCTCCTTGCGGACTGGGAGTCTGACTTCAACAAGATCATGTCAGGTGGAGGTAAGACCGGAAGTATTGGTCGATCTAGCTGTGATGCTGACCAACAAAGATATGAACGAGGATGCGGACCACCGTTACATGATGTTTTCTGCGACATTCAACAAGGAGTGCCGTCAGCTGGCCCGCAAGTTCCTTGCGGATGACCACGTTCGTGTTCGTGTTGGACGTCCTGGCAGTACTCACATCAATGTAGACCAGAGTGTAAGCCATTCACTGGGAAGCTAGGACTGTGCACCGTATAACTAACCGACAAACCATTCAGATTGTCTACTCCGAAGAGCATCTCAAGAAGCAGTGCCTCTATGATCTGCTTCTGGCGATGCCCCCCTCTCGTACCTTGATCTTTGTCAACTCAAAAGCACAGGCAGATTTGCTGGATGATTACCTGTATAACATGGGTCTACCCAGCACTTCTATCCACTCAGATCGTACCCAACGCGAGCGTGAGGATGCCTTGTAAGTATTCTCGCCCCTCAAACCGATGAGCCAGTTACTGAAGGAGAAACAGGCGTGCTTTTCGTACTGCCAAATGCCCAATCCTGGTCGCGACTGGGGTTTCAGCTCGCGGGCTTGACATCAAGAATGTCATGCATGTTGTTAATTACGATCTTCCCCGCCAGTCCCACGGTGGCATCGTCGAGTATGTTCATCGCATTGGTAAGTAATACAACAAGTCGCACATATCACCAGAATACTAACCATGGACAGGACGTACTGCCCGAATTGGAAACGAAGGACTTGCTACGTCCTTTTACAATCATGACCGCGACTCGGACCTCGCCCCTGATCTTGTTCGGCTTCTTCTTGAAACCAAACAGAAGATACCTGACTTTCTGGAGTCCTACAAGCCTGGCGATGGTGAAAACCTGTTTGAGGACGACACCGATGATGAGGATGGAGAAGGTGGTGGTGAGAATGAGAATGAGGGCGCTGGTAATAATGCCTGGGGTGGAATTCCCATGGGTGAAACCGAAGATGCCCCTGCCCCTGCCGTCAACTACGACTTCTAGTTAACCTTTTTAGGCTCTCTGGCAGTTGATGGGTCGTTTATCTCTCACCACTGGTTTGGCTGAGTTGATACCAAGGCTGCTGGGTGGTTAGGTTGTACCGGGCAATACTGGTGATGAGTCGACTGAGGTAAATTCTGCGTGTTCACGCCATCAAATGCTCTATGCAGTGCACGTTACTGCGGCTTCCACTGTTCTGCGGTCTCAGCTCCATATGCGGGAGACAACGGCGAGCCGGCCTTCTTAGCCTCGATCATTCCCTGGGAGCCTGGTAAATGGTCACGCGAGGTTGTCTCCTCTTACTTTGGAATGTAGAGGATATGGATTTAGGGCTTCTTAACCAACGACTGGGCGGGTTGGGAATATTCGGGCAGTGAGGGATGGTGGCTTTGTTTTCCTGTATGGCTAGACCTAGAAATTAATAAGTATTAATCTTCGATTCGAGTGGGAGCAGTCGTAGCCCTGTTGGGGTGTGTGTCCTTCTACCAATCGCTCCTTCCGTGTAAAGTGAGTGAGTATACATGCCTTCATCGTTTGTCTCCAAAGTCGAGCGAGCTGACCTTCGTGACACAGATCCACCGTCCACTATCATCTACTACAAGTGTGAAGTTATCACAGTCCACTCCTTGACTCTATATCATACACTGTCCGCCCACTTCGTATCAGCAATCATGCATACTCTGTACCTCTACATCATCCTCGCTCTCTTCTGGACCACAACCACAGAAGCCACCCACCGAACACCCCTCCAGGTGACCTTTCTGCCACCCACGACCAACAACACCCCCATAATCGTCGACACCTTCACCCACCCCGACAAAAACAACCTCGGATCCTGGCACGGCGCCCTCGAAGACCTCCCCGTCGCCCGAGGACGGAACTATATTGAGTTGAACGCCTCAGACGCCGACCAAACCTACCACAGCCAACTATCCTCAACAACATGCTTCGACCTAACTCCATACACCACCTGGACCCTACATATCGTCTACTCCGGTCCACCAACCTTCAGCATCTCCATGCACCAAAACAATCCCTCCTGCAACCCATCGTTAAACCCCTATCCCGAAACCAGTGACAGCGTCGAGGCCTCCCGCTACACTGCCAAACCTCATTGGCACCACCGAAAACCAAAGAAGCAAAAGAAACAAGACCTCTACATCCCCCTCTCCCACTTCACCATCGACCACTCGCGCGTCCTCTCCATCTCCCTTGGAAATTTCTATCCACCATACACGCGCCCAGTAAAAGTGTACAAGATCGAGTTGATCCCGACTCTCCCACGCGGTGTCAAAGTTCCAAAGAAACAACCGACCGGGGAGCTGAGACTCCGGTGCACGAGACCTGGTTCGTTTGCTTTCGGTATCGATGATGGCATACCCAGCCTTGCGGACGAGGTGAGGGAGATATTGGAGAGTGAAGGGGTGCTGGTTACGTTTTTCGTTGTGGGGGGACCACTGAGGGATAATAAGACAGGGTTTGCGGAGTTTTACAAGAAGATGATGGAAGATGGACATCAGATTGCGTTACATTCAGATGGGCATTCCAAGTGAGTTCTCCTCTCTCAATTTTCTCCTTACTTGCTTAGGGTGTTAGGGGTAGGGAGGGGGCGGGTGAGTGTGAGATTTGATAAGGCTAATGAGTGACGAATGTAGGATGGAAGGAATGGAGTCGACCAAAGCTATTGATGACGATATTTTCCGCAACATCGCTACGTTTAAGTCTTTGCTTGGGGTAGAGTGTATGTATACATGCACTTATACCTATCCATCCGTAATTTAGAACAACTACAATCAAGCCACCATCAAATATTCCCCTGAAACCAACGAGCTAATTAAGAAATAGCCAGTTACTTCCGCCCTCCATACGGTACAATTGGCTCCCGCACGCGCGAAGTCCTAGCCAAACGTATCAAAAACCCACAAATCATCAACTGGAGCGTCGACATTGAGGACTGGATGTGGGCAGACTCCGACACGCCCGAACGCCAGCTGAAGGCGTTCTACCGCGATGTCGAGCGCGGCGGCAATCTGGCAGTGCTACATTATCTAAGTAATTCGACCGTGGGGTATTTCCGGGAGATTATTCGGTTTGTCAAAGGCAAGGGATTGAAGATCATGCGTATTGATCAATGCCTGGAGGACCCGGGGGCTCCTGAGCTTTTGTAGGATGATAGGGTTTGTTCGTTGTGCTTGTGAAGTTTGTGAATTGGGTGTTCTTGTTTTTTGTAGGTGACATAATTCAGTTTAGTGGGGTTGTCAAGTGCCTGGGTTATGGCTCATTGTAAAACGGGTTGCTCTTTTTGTGGTAGTTGAGATTCGCTAGAATTGCTGTATTGAATGAAACCATTGACAACTCCTACCATGCAAGACCAGCCCCAGCACCGCCCATAAAAACATATCAGAAAAAGAGCACAGCGAGAATTGTAGTCTATAGTATGCATCCAACCCAGAGATCAGCATAAACCAGCTGGGTCTCATTCTGTCCATCGGCATCGAGCTCTAACAGAGTATAACTCCAGCCCATCACGTTCGACCTGCGAACTGCCAATGCATCGTCGCCAATGCGAGCAAGAAAGAAACAGAAACAAGTAAAAGAAATAAAGAAAAATCAAGCCGCCCCCCACTCCACACTCGAACAAACCGGCGCCTCGTGCATCATCTCCTCGACCTTCTTCATAGCCCATCCGGACCGGGCTCCCGAGCTGGCCGTGCCCAGTTTAGGTGTCTTGCCGGTGAAACAGGATCCGGAGCGGAAGGAGAACTGTGCACAATCGGACTTGTCCTTACAGAGGGATTGACATTCGTCAAAGGTGGTGATTTCCGAGTGTTCTTCGTCGGAGAGGTTATCCCAGTGGTCGCGGTATGAAGAGAGATTTGGGTAGATGAGTTCTTTGAAGACGTCGCCGTGGAGGAGAAAGGTGGTTTGTTTCTGTTTTAGGTATAGGTTAATTGACATTCAAGATGGAGGGTGACAGGAAGCTTACCTCGCGCCATCGGCGTTGTTCGAAGTTGGACAGATCTTGAACGTCGCGTACGCTCAAATGATGGAATGCGACGGCGGGGAAACACCAGGGTCGACGGTAGAAGGCGGTCGTGAACTCATCTAGCTCACCGATGTTGGTGTTTTGCAGGATTGGCCAGGAAAAGTGCAATGGCACCCCGACGTCAGCCAACACTTTGCCCAAGACGCAGTCTCCGGCCCAGTGAGCATCCGTGTACTCGTTCAGCTCGACATTGCGCTCCGCATATTCCTTCGCGACTCGCTGCATGCCCGGATTCGAGATGGCAAAGCCCGAGCCGCCGTGGGCGAAAATGACATCGGCGATCTGGGTCTCGGTGCCGATGTACCACGGTTTGGACGCATCAAAGTGCGACAGCCATTCGAGCAACGTTCCCCATGAGTAATACGTGTCCGCTTCCATGAAGACGTACCATTTTGCGTCGCTCTTGTGGCGGAGCGTTTCCTGGACCATCGGCAGGAACTTCCATTTATCTAGTTTCCAACCAGGGTTGTTTGGCTTGCCGATGGCAGAGTTGGCCTCGTCGGCGAAATCACCAGTTTCCAGGCCCGCTCGACCCAGCTGTACAAGGCGGTTATAGATGCTGAAGTCGGGGACGGTCCTTTTCACGTCGGGATCCATATTCTTGAAGGCATCGTGCACCTTGATACCATTGATTTCCTCCTCGAAGTCGGAAAAGATCACATAATTCGGGACGCAGCGCAGGGTGGTCTGGAAGTGCACCGGGACCTTGTCCAATGCCTCGGTGACACCTGTTTTCAGCACGACCAGCACGTCTTCCATGCCCGGGAGGGGTGGGCATTCGACCCGACGGCGGCCATGGGTGGTGGTAGGATGGAAGCTCGATCGGAGACCGGAGAAGTGGTAAAGGAGGAAGAGACAAAGGACGGAGGTGATGACGGCGATGCGACGGAATCGACGAGGAAACATGCTAGCTAGCGAGAGGAGAGGAAGACTCGTCGGAAGCTAGGAACAGCCTCCACACAGAGCACCTGAGAAAATGACACCAAAAGAGCAAGATTATGACCGTTCCTCCAAATCGATGGGGAGCAATCCACCATTTTTCGTTGTTCTCTTTGCCTCGGCAGGTCGATTGCGATGTGGGATTTGGGGGCCGATGAAGAATGTAAAGTCACAACAGATTAGGCAGAAAAGGAGAAGAACAAACGAACAAGAAGAAAAAAAAAAAGAAGGAGAAAAAACAGCCCCCCAAGTCCCGAAGATCGACAAGGGACGAGCAGGTACGGTAGGTTGCCTGCACGTTTGTTCAGCGGCAGAGTCAAGAAGCAGTGGATGGGATGATCGACCCACTAGGATCTGAACCTCAATGACGCGTATGGGCGCAGCTCAAGAATGAGACACTCCTGGTTGACAGTCAAACTGAAACAGCTTCATTAAGCTGTAACCAACCACTGGATTGAGTCTCACCTGTCTCTGGGCATTCGAGAATAGCAATTGGTTGTGATATCAACCATGGTTTCTAAAAGGAAGGAAGAGACCGATAGATCCTGTACATACGGAGTAATGAACAAATGTCACGGACGGGGTAACGACACCGTACGGCTGGTATTTTATCTACCCAATATGCCTCCCAACCTGGTAATCATCGTCACTGATCGCCGCAGAATGGCGCCAATCTCAATCTAAACGTCGTTATCGACGAAATTAATTAATTCGATTCATAGTTTAAATGAGGATAATAATAAATAATTTAGGGAAAAAAAAAAAAAAAAAAAGAAGAAGAAGAAAAACCGCAATATATCAGTTTAATAGATTAAAAACCCGTGCAGGTACCGTGCATACTAAATAGCCAACCAACGATATACCAACTAAGCCTGGGTACCATGCTTCGCAATCATATTCGAGTGCAGCTTGACCAACTCAGGGATGATCAACGCCTCAATCTCCATACCCTCGTGGCTCCTGTCTTGCCCCTGTTCATAGTCCCCACCGGTTTCCCCATTCTTCGGGGCCGCTGAGCCCCCCGCTGTCTTTGCCTCGGCCAGTCCCACCTGCTCTTCTGCTCCAGAAATACTCTTACTGCGCTTGGACTTGGGGACCCGGATCCAGCGCTCATAAGGGGCTTCAGGGGTGACAAACACCACTTCCCACTTCCGCGTCGACAGCAGGTTGCCAATCACCAGATGATGCGCGTACCGTTGGAGTGCCGTCCGTGCTTTGTACACAAGCAAATTGGGGTCGGTCTCGAGCTTAAATGAGACTACCATGCTTCCGTCGGGTGCCCATCCGTCCACCAGCTGATGCAAAAATTTCGGCACAGGGTCCAGGTCGATGATCAGCTTCTTGCTGTGGGTGGGCGGCTTGGTCTCCTGGGGGATTCCGCCCGTGTAAATGTCCGAGGGGTCAATAGCTTCTTCGTTGTTCAGGTTTTTAGGCAACTCAGAGGACTGGATCTTATGCTCTGACATCCGATCGCTCGGGATAAAGAAGTCGCTAACCGCCGCGGCGAGGTAGAAGAGGGCATTAGGGCCCAGGGGTTTCATCAACGTGGCCAGCGATCGCAATTCAAACAGATATTCAGATACGGTGGTGAACGGGAGCAGAAGCAAGCGGTTATGTTTCTTCGCATAGCGATATTTCCTCAACACATCTCGCATCTGGTCCTGGTATTCACTGTGGACGACGATACGCCCGTGATCAGATTCGGCATTATTGGCTGGGGGCGCTTCGTCCATGAAGTCTAAGAAGCAATTGGTCGAGTGGCTATAGTGGCGAGAATATGGCAGTAAACTGAATTGACGATGCAGGAAAATCACGGCGTATCCTGCTTCGAGGAAGTACTCGGCACTCGTGGCACCTCTTGTTCCGGCGGAGAAGTTGTCGATGCTGGGAAAGCAAAAAATTATCAGAGACACACTCTCCCCGGGTCAAGTAGACTGCTTACAAGCGAACGGTCTGGTTCTCCAGAGGGACCGTTGTACCTCCCGACGTGACGAGAACGAGACGTCTGTTGTCCTCGACATGATAGTCGATGAAAGCTCGAGCGAGGGCCTCGTGTTTTGGAAGAGCCTTTGGCGGAGGATAATTGTTGAAGTAAACTGACTCTGCTTCAGCAGGGGTCATTTCATGCGTGGGAGCAGAGGCCATGTTGCAAGGTAATCAAGACCGGGGTGACCGGGCCCTATTTTTCTGAGTATGACGATGCTAAGGATATCAGAAAGGTGTCGCTTTCCAAACAATAGTTGTTTTCAAAGGGAAGGAAAGATATAACGTGTAAAATTCTCAATTGTAAGAGATAGTATGCACCTCTACAAAAAAAAAAAAAAAAAAAAAAAAGAAACAATTGAGTCGTGGAAGAGGAATGACGGACCTTATTTGGTATGTTATTTTGTACGCCGGAATTAATCCTCCGTAAACTGTAAGTGACTCGGTCTGACGTGATACCGGAGAGATCTCAATTGCACCACTACAGCAATGCCCTTTCGGATCGTACCAAAGGCCGCGGGGTTTGCACCAGGGGAATAGATCAAGAAAGTTATGGTTTGATGTGATGCTGATTTCTACTACGTTGTCTCCATCACGCCCGCCAAAAAAGATGCCGAGGGGCAATTGGGAGGGGAACTTTCGCTCACCGCCCGCAACAGATGACGCAGATGACAGCTGATCCTCCAATCATGTCGCTCCGGTCCAAAGGGTTATCACGTGGGCGGGATTCAACCTTATCTGATCTTAGAATGCCTCAGGTTGGTTGAACATCAACGACGTTGCGCCCTAACAAAGAAACTGTTGAGGGCCAGGAAAGAATTGTTGATCTCCGTTGAGTCAAAGATACGATAAACATCGAGAACCACTGTGCATCGAATGATTTTGATATGCGTGCCGTTGGAGGTAATACTACCCTAATAGTGAAGGGCGTTATAGCGAGGAAATATATAACGAATAAATTGCAAATCGCGTAGTTTCAGTGCCTACACTCGTCGCCCTATATCCTCTGAGCGTCCACCTATCTGTTCTTCTTTTTGAGAGTGAAGCTTGTCCTCAAGGCACTGTACTGCTATAGAGAAAGGTCACGATGGCACTCGCTACTAGTCAAATTTTAACGTTTCCTTAGTGAAGATCATCAAAAGTTGACGCTACATAGAAAATGCCGTAACTTACCCACCACCAGGCTTTCCGCTCCACATCACTGCGGGCTGGTATAAGGAGGTATAGGGGGCAATACTTCGAAACTCTCAACCGTACAAAACCTGTCGCTCATGCCCAAGATATTGATACATTGAAAGTAGCTGATGAGCTCTAATGAGATGGCATGGCATATGATTTGCGTGCTCTTATAGAAGTGGTCAATTACACACGTATGTGTATTAAGCCGAACACGTTACTGTCCGCTTTCCGTATTGGGAACAGCAAGTTGTTTGATACAGCAGCCATGTGCGTCTCATTCTTTAATAGATTAAAGAAACCCTACATCACCGTGGTATTCAGGCATAGGGGACTATCGACTCTTGATTGGTAGCCGAAGGGTGTTGTAAGTAAGTCGCTTTTTGACGTTTGTCCACCCCGGGTGGGTTTCTCGAAACCAAATATTTAGACTGAGTAACAAACCAACCCTCACAAAATCCGGCTCCGTAATGCCTGACTTATCGTACTCATGCGACTCGCCATACCACCATGTTGCATATTACTCAGGAGAGCCTCCTCAAGTGCCGACTGCGTAACACTTGCGTCTACCAATGTCGTTGTTAGCCAAAGAGGGGCTAAGAATGAAAGAGAAAGCACAGACTCACCATCAAGATCACTGTAGCTACTTCCCATACTCGGTGTACCATCACTCGTATCCCTCCCGGAAGCATTCAACCTCCGGGGACTGAGATGGGCCAGCTCTCCCCTCCGTGATGAACTCAACGGTGATGGAATACTATTCACTCCCCGACGTGGCACTGTAACTGGAGCCCCTGAACTAGTAGAGCTTGTCGATGATTCGGTCGTAACCGATGCTCTTGGAATCGGACTCTGCTCTGATGTGCGGCGTCGTGCTCCCGCGTGATCTTCACCTTGTAACCGGAGAGTTGCATTGAGGTCCTGCGCTGACGGGTCTCGTGCAGCTTCAGGCTGGGCCCGGGAAAGCGGAAGAAATGCGGGTGATTCATCCTCGTCTTCTTCGTCATCACGAAGACCAGGTCGATGTGTGGAGAACTTGCCGAATCGTCGGAATCGTAGTCCTCGTCTACTGGCTAGACCGTCGTCTTCGTCTGACGAGGATGATGAGGCTGAGCTTGAACTTAGGTCTTCTTCCTGAAGGACGGGTGATTTGTGAACTGGTGCCGATGGAACTGGAGCCTGGTCCCGCTTGCTTGCTGATGAACGCCGGTTGAGGCTTTCCCAGCGTGGATCTTTGAGCTCCGCGGGGGTTTCAGTGCGGGGTGATTCCCTCGAAATTTTAATTTGGTTTACTGTAGTTGCCGAGCTTGTCCGACGTGGCGGCGGACCTGCAGATTGTTAGACAAGCGTTCACTCCCATGGTTTCCGGACGCATATGAGGTGGATATCTCGGGGGTAGACTTACCTCGTTGAGGGAGTGTATCTTTTTGATGTGAGGATAGACGACTCTGGACTCGTGGGGCTAATACATATGAGCCGATGACACATGTAGCGCCGGAAGACCTGCTTACCTGCACCAGGACCACCCTTGGCTGATTGGCCGCCGAGCGCTGTGCTTCCAGATACAGAACCAGGCGCAGGGGACGGAGAACTCGACTGAGTGGTGCCCACCTTGCGCATCTGCCAGCGGACCTGTGATAATTGCCGATCATACAGCCATGCTGCTTGTTGAAGGAGAAACTGGAGAGTTACATCGAATCGTTCCGCTCTACGTATACACGTAAGCAGACATGAGCGTTTTCATTCGGATGCGTGAACATACAATGCTTTCCCTGTGACTAGTTAGTCTGTAGTAGACGGAAAAGCCCTACGCAGATATGCATACAGTCTATATCATCACCCTTAGAGGGCCGCGATAGTAGGTCCCAAAGAGCCTGGTCCTTCGCTGCGTTCCACTCAGCCTAGCTCAGTCAGTAGTTGGTTTATGCACGTTAGCCGGGAAAATACTTGCAGGTGGAGGATCCACAAAATCGCCCCGGGGAAAAGGGAGGCGTATGAAAACTGTAAAGTTGGTATCCCCGGACTGATTAAGAGACGTCATCCTGTGGTGGTTGTTATTCCGGCGGAGATAAGCTAGGAGTTGGCGGTGGAGCTTTGGGATGATCAGGAAGACGCAGTTTTCAACCGTATTATGCTCATAAGACTATACGACCCCCCCTCTCTGCAGTTGTAATCTAGTAATTCAGGCACGCGCGGAGATAAATTGATGCCGGCGAATAGATCGTGGCGGTTGGATCATCTGATTGATTGTTTGCAGTTGAATGGATGACGGGAAGTTGTTGTCAGATGCCAAAGCATGTGCGTCGCAATAATAGAAGCATGTCGTGCACCTTGACCCACACTGCGGGAGACAGGCCATCATTTGTAGTATCCGAGGGTATTGCCACGATATTAACTCCTGTCCACGTGAGTATTCCGAAAATAGCAATTAGTTATGATAATGGATCCATTGGAGCGCTCCCCAGCAATGTTGATGTGATTGAACCCTATAATTTTGTACTGTACTACACCTAACCATACTTAAGAGATATCCAGAGCACTTTAACACAACACAAAATGTACTGTGTAGGAGAACATCTCGTAGATTGTCTAAGACGTCATCATTTGGGGTTCATACGCTACTGTGTAGGAATCTTTGGTTCGTAATTTGGACTAAGGACACACCGTCCACTTTTAGTTACCACGCGGTGGTCCACCGATCCTAAACTAGTGAGTTATTAGTCTCCATCCAAGAGCCACTCAACCGTCCGAAGTCATTGACGCCAGGATGGCCGATATAAGTTCGGCAGTTGAGACGTTCTGAGTCGCTGTGACTTTCCGAAATCCAACGCGCGATTATTTACGAAACCTGAGACTAGACTCCACTATGTTCTTTCTGACCTATCTATATTACAAAGTCCTTGCCGTGTTAATCAGGGCTCTCGCTAGTCGCGGCAAGCATCCTATTTCTAGCCCCAATGACGTCGTCTATATTCAGTCGCGGGAGGCAGCGCGAACAATCAAAGCACATGTCTACCGATCGGCATCGGCGCCGAACCCAACCCCCATTCTCATCAATTTCCATGGCAGTGGATTCATTATTCCTATGCACGGGAGCGACGATGAATTCTGCCGGCAAGTCAGCCGAGAGACGGGGTACACGGTGCTAGATATACAATATCGTTTAGCACCAGAGCATCCCTTCCCCGCAGCCCTCCATGATGCCGAGGATGCGGTGAACTGGGTTCTCCAGCGGCCTGAGAAATTCAATACATCCCGGCTGGCGATCTCGGGGTTCAGCGCCGGGGGTAATCTGGCTTTGGCACTCTCCTCAAGTGTTTTCCCCCGAGGAACCTTTCGATCATTGCTCGCTTTCTATCCCCCGGTTGACTTGTACACGGAACCAGGCTTGAAGACTCCACCGGATTCTGCAGGAAAGCCGCTGCCTGTAGCGCTAGCCCGAGTTTTTGATAGATGTTACATTCCTGCGTCCTACGATGCCAGAGACCCTCGAATTTCGCCTTTATATGCCCAAGCTGACCGCTTTCCCGACCGTATCCTATTGGTGACGGCAGCTTGTGATAGCCTTGCAGGCGAAGCTGAGGCGCTTGCCGCTAAGATTGGAAAAGAACCGGAGCGGGAGATTCGTGTTTACCAGATGCAGGGCTGCAATCATGGCTTTGACAAAAATGCCCCCGAAGGGAGCATTTCAGCAGACGCGAAAGACAAGGCCTACGCTATGGCCATCGCAATGTTGTCCGCCTCTTGAGAGATGAGACATCATATTATCAGCTTATATAACTCATAAAAATTTCATAGTTATGCCTTTCGCTTCTTTTGTTTAGGATCGGGTAACTGGCGGTGAATCAATCAATTATGGTCTAACTGCATATCATTTGGCCCACCCACAATCGTGCATTGGCGCCAGCTGGTACTCCATACGATAGACGGTGAGGTGTCAACTTAGGCCACCGCATCATCGAATCACGAGATAAAGAATAAGTAACCAGGATGATGGGACGGTGACGATCCTGAAACTGGAGAAGAACAGTGGGCCAGTAGAGAAAATCCTCATTAACCGTTGAAACTTGAAGCAGCGGTGCCTGACTTGGAGGCGATGGTGATGCAGTGGCTGAAACCACACCATGGATGGTTGTCTCTTGGGGGCGGAACGGACCGGCAAAAATGCCCTATGCCCTAAATTGCCCGAAGTAGTAGTACCCCTGGAGGGGCAGTTGCGTTTCACCCGCGGTCACAGATTCCCTTGGGTGGAGAAGCCACTGACCTACGTTACCATAACTTGCTTAACAATGGGAAACGGATTGTGCCTGAATGGAAAATAATAAAAAAAAAAAAAGGAAAAGGAAATTTCCTGAATAAACAATAACAATCATCTGTGTCGTCAGATTAGTTAATGATTCGGTCAGGCGGGTCACTCGTGGGACCGCAACAAGAGAAAGAGAGATATCACAGACCTAACCTGCTGTCTCCTTAAAAAAAAGGAATTAATTAATACGATTAATTAAATCAGTCAATCTTCTTAGTTCCTTTCCCTCCACTCACCCTCCTTCCCTTTCCCTCCTTTCCCCCCCGGTCCGTCCTTCGTATTCAACTTGTTCCTTCTTAGTTCACACTCCGCTAGTCGGATGCCGCCCTGGAGCGCCTCCATCTCGTCCACTGTGCGTCGAGTGCTGTGGACGAGCCTGTTGGCTTTTTGTATAAGCACACATCTGTGAAATACCTATTGTTGTCTTGTCTTGTTTGTTCTTTAAGATACCTGGTCTTTGACTCATCTGCACCGTATGTTTTCTGCGGATCAAATCCCTCCAATCGCATGATGCAGTCCAGCAAACCCGTCGGGTTCGACGAGAACAAATACCGCAACGAGGTTCTCCTTGTCTCCTCCGAGGACGATGAGAGATCGCAAGAACAAACACTAGTAGAAGAAGCGCGTCAGTTGGGATTAAAAGTTCCAGAGGTTGAAATTGTGGCATCGCTGGCCGCGTCGATTGCCTCAGGCATGGTCGATCTTTCCTCTCCGATCCTGTCATCAGCGGGCTCTTCAACTGATCGCAATTCCGTCTGTGAAGTCACCCCATCTAACGAGATCCCCCCCCTTGATCAGATCGCATCGTCATTTTCCGAGTTTAACCTATCCGACCATGCCAAGTGCGGTAGTACTCGCTCGATCGCTTCGCTTTCAACGCGCCCAACCTCTTATAGTTCGAGCGAGGGGAAACTAGCACACGGCACAGATGGCATCGCATTGCGAACCCCCGGCCATCGAAGCTCTTTCTTGAGTGTGGCTTCGAGTGAAAAGAAAGAGAGGCGGAAATCAACCTTGAAGTCCGCAATTGACAAGATTCATTTCCGGAAACGGCGTTCACCCTCCGCTGTCTTACTCCCTCCGGCTGCGCAGATCACCGTTGCGAAAGGTGAGGGAGGGGTTGACAGATACTATGTGGAATCCAAAGTCAATGAACCACGGGGCCACGATAGTGCGGATGAAGAGAGCCCAGTCTTGAGGCTGGAGATACCGGTGTTTGACAATGAGAGTGTTCGGCGGAGCCTTGAGAATGCAGACCTCAGGCAGATGCGCGAGTCCCAAAAGATGGAGAAGAACCGGCACATGACCTTTCAGGACACTTTCATTACTGAACTCCGACGCAACCACCAAACGATTGTTGCCGACCGGCTCGCAGCAAATAAATGGTCAGAAGAAGAAAAGCGCGAAAAGGTAACTGTCTTTTGTCAATGTATATGATCTCTAGGTATTGACAATTTTTGGCTAGAATATCGCCGATGCGAGCCGTATGGAGGAACGACAACTCGCCGTGGAAATGGATCAAGTTCGCGAATTTGAGCGAGCGAAGATGAATTCCCGTACTCGAATCAAGTATATGGAGGGCTACTTCAGCAATGCAAGCCCTCCACCTTCCCCCGGATCGGCGTCAGGATCCGAGATATCACCGCCGCCTACTCGAAAGTATACCCCGCAACACAAGGCTCAACTGGCTCAGGAATATCACGACCATGAATCGATGGACCGACTTCACGAAGCCAAAATCAAAGTACTAAGGGACCGCCAAGAACTCAAGCTCCAGGAAGTTATAGCCCGTATGGAGAAAGAATTGGACGATTTGATCGACAAGCACGCGCTGGAGTTTGCCAACCTCCAACGAGACCACCAGCTGGAGGAGGCATCGGCTTTGCAAATCTTTGAAGCCAAGAAGACAAGACTACGCCATCGATGGAACCTGGAAGAAGCAATTCTGCGGAAGAAGCTCGAAGTGCAATATGATCAACCCTATGGGCCTCTACCCCCTTTGTCGTTCTCCGACTCTCGCTATGAGACGCGCGACTCGGCGATTTCCGTTTCGGAAGGGAACCCAACCAGTGCAAGCGGTGATGAGGAACTGGTGCACCGGAAGAGAGGTGAACCGCTACTATAATTTATGATGCGATGTCCCAGTGATACCCTTTCCCTTTTCCTCTCCTTCTGGTTCTCACCCTTTGCATATACAGTGACATATCACCCTAATTTAGCTTAATGTTTTATACTTCGGCTATTCCTGACATTTACTTTTTGTAATTTTACGACATTTCTTTGCTGCATTCGGTGCGTTTGCTTTTTGGATGGGGCATCATTTATACACTTTGGCGGCTTTTTGGTTTCTTGTGCATACTACTTCTCTTCTTCCTGCATGATATAATTTTCTCCGCTACATAGATTTGCTCCTCTTTCACTATATAGAAGTTTCTTGCACTCAACATTGGAATGTACGAACATGTATTTATGGTTTCAGAGAGGTTTAACTTGATTTATTCACGAACACCTTGGGTATATGCTTGCTCTTAGATTCAGATTGGGACCAGCCCAAGCTTATCCTTTGGGAACCAAATGCTGCTTCAATCTGTCCAACACCGCCTCTACTCGACCATTCCCGCCGGTCAAAACAGCTTCGAGCAACTTGTCTCGTCCATCATCGCCGATGACTACCGCACGCTCCACGGCCCCATTATCGGAAATTTTGAATCGTCCCACCCGTCCATCCTCCCATTCAAGCCGAACATAAGTCGCATCGAGCGCGGTGGGAGAAAGAGATACAATGCCGAGGTCATTCGTCTCCAGCCGGATTTCCTCCTGGTTATTTGCTAAAATATCTCGCACCCAAACGCCGTCATCATCGTCGTTATAAGCTTCAATACCACGCCGCTGGACACCGAGTTTGCCTCTTAGATAATTCACAGCATCCATCCTCAAATGCCACGCAGCTAATTGCCGTCTCAATTCCCGAACGAACCTCGGCAAGTCCTGCCTATTTGCATTCCTCTTCCACGACTTCAAGTTCTCCTCCGCTTCCTCCTCACGGGCGACAGGTACAGGCAAAAACGCTCGTTCGAGCTTCTCCACCGAGATGAATGCCGGAATGGTATGCCGATGGACTCGCAACCTCTTCTCCTCCCCGCGCACTCGTTTCAACAAAACATAATACGGTTTCGTAAAGCGACCATTACTCGTGCAGACGTCAATCCGCACACCTAGTAAATTCAGATTCTCACTATTCGGGGACGGGTCTTTGAACGGGAAGGTCGTCGCTGAGAATGCGACTCGGTGGTGGTTCACTTCGGCGTGTTTACCTGCCGCGCGGACCAACGGGGACACTTCTGCGTCTAAGGGTGAAGAAGGTCTTGAAGATTGATATTCTCGGAGACGTTTCTGGAAGCTATCCGAAGAGAGTAGACTGGAGGCTAAGAAACGGCGCTTGCGTTGTAGATTGCGGACTGTTTTCACGAGCGTTAGTTTTGCGACGGTGCTTAGGGGGTGGAGTCGTACTTTCGGCGCGGATATTGGCTATTTCGGAGTCCAGCTCCTCCTCCATGTTTTTTGGGGGTTCTGTAGTGTCCATTTTGGATACTAGTCTTGCGGGCAAGAGATTAAGTTGGGAATGCGGAGAGTTGCGACATTGTTATGGGATGGGGAAACGCTGCCTTAGGTTGGTGTGTTTGTTTATTTTGCTAAGATCACGTGATGCTATTTGTATACAAAGACGGTGGTGGTTAATGGACACGATATCACGACATACTATAGGATCTCTGTGGGAAATTGGACTCATCCCGTTGATATAGTACCGCCTATGGCCATTCAAGCAATACAAATCAGGTGGACCGAGAATCAAACATAATTGCTGTTAAGGAACGGCAACATCGTCCCATGTCGAGATACCTATACCAGTAATAATATCGCAGCGTGAGACACGCAGGACTGGGCAATGGCATGACATACTCACAAGCTCCCGAGGGACAGAGCCAATGCTATACAACTATCCTTCGGTTTATCGCCGTAAAGAAACTTCGCACCCCCGGGGCTCTCACCCGATAAACGCCGGCTCATCCTGTGCAACACAAGCCCAAAGCCATCTCCCCAAACAATCAAGTCCCAGAAAGCCACATCATGCAAACAATTTTACATCAAAAGCGCCATGTAATACGAATACATCAATCCCGCCCGACACTAGAAAGTCTCGTTTGACAATGACGCAGGAGACTAGCGTCGGAACGTTAGTGATGCTCAGTGGAGTCGACCGTTAGGGCTTCCGAGACTATGCAGGACTAGCTCCTCCATGCATGGCCCCCATGTCTAACGGCGCAGAGTCCGACCAATAATGCAATGCTATAGTAGATTACGTGACGAGACGAAAGAGTACTGACATGGGTGTTTGTCCGGAACCACTAGATATTAATATCTGGGGTCCCGTCGGTGAAGGGGGTGGTGCGGACGTCTTCCGAAACTGTGCGCTTGCTGACGGTTTTTGTGATGTCGCGGCATACTGATCTTAATGTTGTGGAGGTTGATACTGTATGTTTTGTCGGTAGTTGCCTCTATCTTCATGGGTTAATTTTGACTGATCATTTGGATATTCGGCAGGATGCTGAGTCGGGGTATGGGGAGAGTGCGCAGTCGTGAGTTGTTCCATTCAGTACTTTTCCTACTATCTGTTTTCCTGGGCTGTCTCTAGGAAATTGGAAAGCTGACAATGTCTATCTTCAAGAGATTATACTTCGCTACGCAGCAGTATCATGAACTATCACTATGATAATGGGCGACGCTACCATGCCTACCATGCAGGATCATATTGGTACAGAGCTACCTTCCACGCCATACTAAGCTTTATTAACTGCTCTCATCAAGGGGCCCCAACGACGAAAAAGCTATGGAACAACTAGATATAGGGTAAACAGCCCATCTCCAATCCACACCAACCAACTAAGCAAACCCAGCCACCACGTCTTCAACCTCCTCCTAAACGGAAATCTTTATCTCGCACCGATCCCAGAGGACGTCGAAGTAAGCGCACCACACTTCATAATCCAAAATCACTTCCTTATCCAACTCCAACCAACTAACTCACCCAAACCCAGCAAGTCCTCGACATCGGTACAGGAACCGGCATATGGGCTATGTCCGTCCCACCTCCACACTCATCCAAAACCGTATTAACGACTACTACAGTGACTTTGCAGACGCTCATCCTACGACAAGAGTAATCGGAACAGATCTTTCCCCCATCCAACCAACCTGGATCCCACCAAACCTCCATTTTGAAGTCGACGACTGCTGCGACGACTGGGTCTACGGCAAAGACAGCTTCGACTTCATCCACGTCCGCGGTCTGTACGGGTGTGTAGCAGACTGGGATAAATTCTACAAAGAAGCCCTCAAGTACGCCCCTTTCCTCCCTCCTTTCCTCCTCCGCTGTATTTTCCACACTCACCCCAGTGACCCTACCTACCTAACTAACCCAAAACCACCCCAAAAAAACAGACACCTAAAACCAAACAGCTACCTAGAACAAGTCGAAGTCTCGGTAGTCCCGAAATCCGATGACGGCAGCACAAATAACACCATCTTCGAAGAATGGGGTAGAGTCTCACTCCAAGCAGGCGACGCATTCGGGAAAACGTTACGCATCGTGGACGAAGCGAAAGAGAAAATGATCAATGCCGGGTTTGTAGATGTACAGGAACACCGCTTCAAGTGTCCAGTCGGGCCGTGGGCGAAGGATCCCCGGCTAAAAGTACTGGGTAAATATAATCGGTTGCAGTGGGAGATGGGGATTGAGGGGTGGAGTATGATGCTTTTGACGAACTTTTTGAATGTAAGTTCGTTTCTTTTGTTTTATTTTCTGCTGGCGTGCTTTGTGTCTGTTATATGTAGTTTTTATTGTTGTTGCGAGGTGGGGGTCAACATTAGGATCTAACATGTTGCTAATATGATGCATATAGTGGACTCGTCAGGAAGTAGAGGTATACCTCGCGCGCATGCGCCAGGGACTACGGGATCCGAGTATTCATGCTTATCAGGAGAAGTACGTATATACTATCCTTCCCTTTCCCTTCCTTAACCCAATCTCCTACCCTATTCTACGACTGCCCTAACCACCCGAACCCATGACAAAAAAGCCCCCTACTAACGAAGCATAGGGTAGTAGTATATGGCCGCAAACCACCCAATCCAGAAAACCAACAATAATGCTTCCTAACTTTACCTTATGATATCACTAGGGAGTCTAGAACACGCCCTACAGCGTCATATCCATAGCTTAATGAAGAGAGTTTACTTTAAGCTAGAAATAAAAGTAAGACGCCGCCGCTGATACCATCATGCTGCCTGACCATGGTATCTCGAGATGATGGATCCAAGGATCTTGGGGATGCGTATGATGTCAGCGGCAGATACTTCCGGTTGGGTTGTTTCACATGTAGATCAGCGGCGGGCTGGGAGCTTGGGTATGGGTTGTTCTGGATTGTTACTTGACTTGGTAGTTAGGGTGGGTTGGTGCTGGTGCTGGTGTTGTTGGTGAGGGTTGTGTCTTGGATGGGAAGTAGGCTGGGGTTTGTGATATCCTGGTTTTTCTGGAATGATGTTTGTAAAGATGATGTGGCAATTCTTGAGGGATGTAGAGTTTGTTAGAGTAATTTCCGGAATGAGTTTAGACAAAGTCGGTCTTCTCGTTCGTCTGATATTCATGTGGTATATACATATTATGCTATACACTATCTCTAGGCGAAGTGAGTGTTAATAGAAATGTAGAACATGTGGAAAGGATATAGTGACTCATGGCAGTGTAAAAGGTGCAAGAAGAGCACAAAATTAGTATAACATAGTTATAAGAATCAATCAAGTCTGTGGTCAGGATACATCTGAGCAAACTTCCCCAACGCCAGCATTGTAAATGTAAACTTGTAATTAGGATAGGAGATGGCACATGTCTTATTAAACATGCCCTCAATGGCCTCCTGCAGCCACTCACCATTGGGCTGTTGTCTCGCCATTATCAGTCGTACAGCTTTCTCTATAGGTTTCATGTCAGGATACTCAGCCGAGAGTAAACCGATGACCGCATATGCCGTTTGCACGACTTGAGAGCCGCTTGGATGCTCGATGTATTTGATTTGTCGGCAGCCCTATAATCTTGTTAGCACAGCGCCGGTAATAATTTGAAGGAGGTGACTTACCTCACAACTTTCAGACCATCCACCGTCCTCTCTCTGCTTAGATAGTAGAAAGTGGCATGCCTTCTTCACGTACTCGCTATTTTTATATGTTTCTCCCACTGATGCCAGACTTTCCAGGGCGAACATTGTGCCATACGTGAAGCAGACAGCCCAGCTTCCGTACCAACTTCCGTCAGGGAACTGTGCTTTTTTAATATATCGCAGCGCGCGTTGGGTGAAGACCTCGATTTCCTTCGATCGGTAATCCGGCCAGTGCTTCTTGAACAATGTCAATGCCGTGACCACGGCAGTCGTGCACTCTGGATAATCATATTCGACCATGATCCGTCCAAATACCTCCGCAGCATTGAAAACTTCCAGGTACTCGCCACCTCTAGTCTGCTCATAAGATGAACACCCACCAGAGGGGTTCTGATAAGTGAGTAACGTGTCAACCGCATCAAAGATCCTCCGATCCTCAAGCAGCTGCGGGTATCCCGGGGTCTTCTGAAGAAGAATCACTGACTTCAAGGCTTCCGAGATACAATCGCACACAGCATACCCTTGATCCTTATTGCTGAACCCCCAAGCCCCCTTCCGCGGATGGCGATAACAAACGTCCTGATCCTGACAATTCTCCCTCATCTGCTGGCGGTCCAGGAACTCCAACGCCCGCATCAACATAGGCCTCCACTCCTCACTCTCCGCCAAACCAGCGGCTTGAACAGCTTGCACCAGAAACGCCGTATCCCAACACTGCACCCCATTCGTCCCATTGACTAGCATCCCTTCCTTATTGACCCATAGGAAGTCCTCCAACCGCTCCCGATGTCTCCTGACGGAGTACGCATCACCCCCATCTCTTATGAAACAAACCACCATATTCAACGGCCCATTCACAGATGCCAAATCAGCGTAATCTGAGTTTTCATCCTCCATATCCACCAGCTTACTCACCCACTCCTCAGCCCAGGTAGCCACAAACCGCGGCCTCAAAAAGGGCATCCAAACCTCGCTCAACCACCAGTTCACAGAACCGAGTACCCATGTCTTCGGATGATAGTTGTCAATCTCGGCAATGGAGTTTCGATTCCCCTTCCAATCAATACTCCCCCAATCCTGAGTAAACAACTCGTCTCGTAATGACCGGACCACCTCCGTCTCAGGCATAGTCCACCGTCTCGACCAAATGAATGACATTGGCAGAAACACCTGCCGCATATGTATCCACCACCGCCACGGTGCGACAGGTACCCAGTCCGGCAATAGCCACGTCTCAGGCGGGATAGGGTTGACGATATCCCAGTCCGCGATGCCGAGTAGCGCCAGCCAAAACTTGGCCCAGTGGGGTGCGTACATGGCGCCGCCGTGCTTGTGCAGCAGGGTGCGGGCCTTAATCATTACCTCGTGGTCGGCGGGGACGCCGAGCAGGCGGAGGACGGTGTAGTTTAGGCTCGTGCCAAACACGGTACTTTCGCCCTCAGTGTGCAGGCCCCAGCCCCCGTCGATTGGGTTGGCCCGCGCAAAGAGATAATTTTTGATCTCCGTTGCATAGGACCAGGGAATCGGTGTTGCCGTTGCGGTCCAGGCGAAGACGATGCAGGGGATCAGGAACATCGGGCCACCGTACTCACAGCCCCAGTTTCCAGCGGAGAGTTGCAGCTTAGAGAAGAATGCAAGACCATTCTGGACTGTTTCTAAGGGGGACTTTGGCTGTGGGAGATCGGGCAGGTTCTGTGGTGCGTTAGTTGAATACTACTGAGTATATGGTAACTAGGTAGATACATACCAGTGGTAGTCCAAGATAGTATTTATCGGCTAACGTCTGGGGCCATTTTCGCGCAGACTCGTCATCTTCCAGGTAGTGCCATGTGTGTCGGCCGTCCTCGTTCAATAGTCGCCATCGTGAGTGATCCGTTTTGTCTGGTAATGTGGGTGGCATTTTCGACCTTCCCGGCTTTACTCGATGCTTAGGGTTGTAAATTAGGCTGCAAATTGAGGGAGTCGGCGGAAGTCGACAATGCCATTTTATGGGGGTTGCCTGGACAAGCCGCTAAAGGGAGGTTCCTGGCGCTAAGACACTCTAATGTGTTTAACGCTTCTAGAGTGGCCTTGGACCATTCTTTGCGTCTTGGCTGGGGTGGAGTAGAGGCTTCCGCGGACCGCGGGTCCTTGTGATGAGAGAGGGGTGGATGAGTATACTATTTTGGGGGCCAAGCAACATTCTTTTAGAGAAATTCAAAAAGAAAGAAAAGAAGGTAGAAGCGTATCATATGGCAGAGAGTATGCTTTCTGGTGAGCCGTGCGAAGTCTGAGTTGGGTTTGCTGAATATATTTAAAATGGATCTTCGCATTGATTTGCCCACGCTGATGAAGAAAATACCTAGAACGACTGTCAAAGTCTAGATGCCTCACTAGATTTAACAAAGTATCAGCCAAACTTCCTTGTTAGTATGGCCATTAAGATGAAATCCCAAAAGTCTAGAGTATACTGCCCATATCGATCCCACAAACTCGGAGAATGTAACGCACGTCAATGCCGACATGGGAGAAATTCAGTTAATTAGATGTTGAATGCAGACAGATTTCGGACGAGATTCACTGGTGCCCCTGGTGACCACGGATCGTGATTATAGACGTCGAGTGGATCAGCTAGTCATGTAGAATTAAGAGGTATGCTCCGTGGAAGCTTCCCATTCAGAAGGCCAGCCTGCTGTAGTACACGATCAGTTCCTGAAAAACGGCTACACTAAGCACACACTTACAAGACAATCCCTGAATTCAGTTACCATTGCCGCTTCTTTCTCTGCCAGTGGGTTTGATTCGTCCTTGTCCTAAGCTACCGCGCGATCAAAGACGATCCAAACGACCCTGTCCCCGATACTGTAGAGTAAGTGTGTAGAATGTTGAATATAGCCATTCAACTTCTCACCTCCATAACACAGGCCTGGTCCCCGACGACAACATGAAATACGACCGAATCATCGGAGGAGAAAAGCATACATTCCCCTGAAAAGGATTTCTCAAGGATCAACATCTTCAAGCGACACTTTCTTACATTGTCTGGTGGGAAGTTGCGGGCGTACGGGAGGAGATTGTGGGCGACAATCGAACCCGTTCAGAAGGGATTGGACATGGGCGCTTCTCAATCATGTGATCACTTTGCAGGTATAAACTGTCCTTCTCTCCATAGTTCTTTAAACCTTCTGGCAAGCAATCGAGCCTTCCTTGCTTGTGTTATTGTCCAACAGTAAGTGTGAAGTTCTAGAAGGGAACTGAAATAGAAGTGGAGGTTATATGATAAAGAATATGATGGTGGGGATTGGGCTTTCCCCATGGATTTGGCAAGTATAGGCGTAGTGATTAATTATCTCACGGTATATCAAAAGGCTTTACTGCTAAAGGAGGAATTACTAGGAAATGTAGACGTGGAATACTCCGTAATTCCTCTACCATGACCATGGAAGGATCCGTGAATGCTAGTGAAGAAACAACTAAATTACCCTAGTAGGTAAGGCCTCATGCTTCATCCTTGCCTCGGCACCAGACCGGACCCATGAAACTAGTTCAAAAGAAGAATCGACGGCGTCTCAGTCTCCGCTTTTAGTATTGCGTGTCTAAGACGATGAACCAACGACGGCATACCGACTTTATAGCCCCCGTTGACCAATCAGAGCGAGTTCTGGCCCGTTCGAAGCGGTGATGAAGGTTGGATTCGACCATCTCCTCATTGAGGTCACGGTACGTTAGTCAATCGATTCAGTAACTTATTAGTCCGTATATTAGTGAGTTCGCAAGGTAGTAGTTAGAAACAACGGAAGACAGACGAGGGGTATAAGAAGCAGGGCATTAAGCGGGTGGTCACGGTGCTTTCCTGCCAATATTTCAAAAAGGGTTGGCCAACTTTGAGAAAGCATTGAGACCGGTCATATCGAGATCGAGCAACCTTGGCATCCCCTCGTCAGTCCCTGCCCCTCTTGAAGCTAGTATCGAGTTTGGATGTCGCCCACCGTGTATCCTAGAACGCCCGTACCACCATCGCTTCCGCTTCCTACCCTTAAGTCTCTAACACAACCACCAATGTCGCTGCTGCGCTTGCCGTGTGAGCTTCTGTTGTCCGTCGCCGAGTTTCTTGAGATGGAGGAGGATATCAATGCTCTATCTCAAGTCAACCGTGTGTTTCACGCTGTCATCAACCCATACTTGTATCGGTTTGATGCATGGAACTCAGACAGCTCAGCGCTGGTGTGGGCTGCAACGCACGGAGTGGAAGATACTGCACGGATTAGCATCCGAGAGGGCGCTCTCCCGGACGCATGCGATCATGCAGGCTTAACTGCATTATCCATCGCCGCGATGAACGGGCACGAGGAGGTGGTCCACCTGTTACTTGAAACCGGACAGGTTGACCTAAACGCCATAGATTACGAGCTGGGTCGGGACCCGCTAGGCTGGGCTGCAGATAATGGACATGCCGGTGTGGTAAAACTGTTACTCGAATCCGGGCTAGTTGATGTGAATTCAAGCGATAATCTGTTTCTAACCCCACTAATATTGGCCGCACAATCAGGGGATGTGGAGGTCGTGAAGGTCCTCCTTGACACCGGCAAAGCCGATGTAAACTTCAAAGATGTCACCGGGTCGACAGCACTTGGTTGGGCTGCGGAGTTTGGACATGAGACGGTGGTCAGCTTGTTACTAGAAACTGGACAGGCTGAAGTGAATGCAAAAGATTCTGATGCTGGCCGAACGCCACTATCTCGAGCTGCAGAAAATGGACATGACTTCTTAGTCAAACGGTTGGTTGACACTGGAGAGGCTGATGTGGACACTAAAGACGGTTCTGGCCGAACACCACTCTCCTGGGCTGCAGAGAATGGGCACGAGACAGTGGTACGGCTATTGCTAGAAACCAAACAGGTTAACATGGACTCGAGAGACCACGAAGGCTCATCGCCACTCGCCTGGGCGGCAAGAAATGGTCATGCGGCAGTGGTCAAGCTGCTGCTTGAAAGTGGACAAGTGGATGTCGACTCCAAGGACGTCCTGGGCCGGACACCATTGTTTCAGGCTGTGGTGAATGGGCATGAAATGGTGACGAATCTCTTGTTGAGGACTGGCCGAGAGAAAGGTCAATCAACTACACTATGAGCATACACATAATAAATATGAAGACAATCACCATAGAACGTGTAAAGTGTAAGGTAGCGATTAGATCGTTGGGTGACTGAGGTGTCAGTGCCGATGTCCCTTTCTGCAGAAAAGCTCGGGCCAATGGGAGCCTGCAGATCGAGTGGGTCAGCCGGGGAAACCAGACTTTCCATAAATGGTTAATGAATGAGTGACCCTGAAAACGAGTGATCGTTGAGGACACCTTTGACTTTCCTTTGCTTTTAGTTACTTTACTTCGCCTCCACGGGTATCGGAGGAACTACGCCGGTCGAACTCCTATCCCTTGGGTCCTTTTCAATTACAAATTCACTCCATACTCTCATTTGACCCTGTATCTCTGCTCCTCTTTTTCTTCTTCTTCAATTCTGTCTTTCCTGTCACCTCCCCACGTCATCCTGGGACCGACCAACCCGAAGAGTTTACGCTAAGCGATCGATCGATTAGTATGCCGAATTGACCAGGGGCCACCCACGAACCCGTATCTGACGCTCCATAAAATCTTTGATATTTTATTCTTCAGCCTCTCTCTGATTTCCAACAAACGACGCGCGACCGCGATTTCATACTGTCCCGTTGCAAACGGAACTACCGATGAAGCGCAAGGACCGTACAGTGTCCAAACGTCGCTCCAAGCCGACCCTGAGAGTCGCGACCGGCCAGAACGGCCATGCGAGAGACGGAATGAATTCCAACATTGAAATGCGCAAGAGGGACACCTCTATCGAATCGACGTCGTCCGTACGAGCCTCCCGCATCATGTCCCGCCCCAGCTTTTCCCTAGACCACGACCCCCCGGTCACCCCGCAAACACCGGGATTAACCACGACGAGTTTCTCGAACCTCCCGCCAAGCGATAAAAGAAACTTCTTGCTATTGTGTGTATTATATTTCCTCCAGGGAGTGCCCATGGGGTTAGCCTCGGGATCGGTCCCGTTCCTCCTCAAGCCCTACTTGTCCTACGGCCAGATCGGTGTCTTCTCCCTCGCGTCATACCCCTATTCGCTCAAACTACTCTGGAGCCCCATTGTGGACGCGGTCTGGAGTCGAAGGTTTGGTCGCCGCAAGAGCTGGATCACCCCGGTCCAGGTGATTGCCGGATTGGCCATGATTTATTTGGGCGGGCGCATTGGTGATATGATGGTGCAGGCGGGCGCTAACGGCGGCGCTGGGGTCTGGAACTTTACATACTGGTGGTTCCTGCTGGTACTTTTCTGCGCCACGCAGGACATTGCGGTGGACGGTTGGGCCATTACGCTCATGTCCCCGCCAAACATCTCCTATGCCTCGACCGCACAGACGGTCGGCTTGACCGCGGGCCATTTCTTGTCGTACACGGTATTCCTTGCATTTAACTCGCAGGATTTCGCCAATCGCTGGTTCCGGTCCGCTCCCGGAGAGGGCGGCCTGCTCTCCTTGGGAACGTATCTGACGTTCTGGGGCTGGGCGTACCTGGTTGTGACAATATGTTTGGCTGTTATGAAGAAGGAAGACAAAACCCATGATCGGGATAGTATCTCGGATGTGTATAAGAGCATGTGGAGCGTGCTCAAACTCAAGAATGTTCAGACGATCATCTTGGTGCACTTGATCGCCAAGATTGGATTCCAGGCCAACGACGGCGTAACCAGTTTGAAGTTATTGGATAAGGGCTTCGGGCAGGACAATATGGCATTGGTCGTGCTGATTGACTTTCCATTCGAGATTGGCTTGGGCTACTATGCTGGTAAATGGTCAACCGAGTATACTCCCATGCGCCTATGGTGTTGGGCGTTTATGGGACGACTGGCGGCGGCTGTTCTGGCGCAGTTCACTGTTATGATTTACCCGTCGGGATCCGAAGTGCCGTTTTGGTATATGCTGACGGTGATTGGGGAGCACGTGTTGTCAACGTTTATGAACACGGTCATGTTCGTCGCTGTGTCTGCGTTCCATGCACGCATCTCCGATCCAGCGATTGGAGGAACTTACATGACGCTGCTGGCAACGTGAGTCTTTTTTTTTTTTTTTTTTTTTTTTTTTTTTTTTTTTACCTCTTCCTTTTCTTGCCCCTTTGCACAATTTAAAACTGCTGTAACTGTAAACTGACTCGCGCAGTGTCTCCAACCTGGGTGGCACATTCCCACGTTACTTCATCCTGAAGCTGGTGGACATGTTCACCGAGGCGACGTGCACCCCTCCCAGCGTTCCTCCCGCGGCGGACCAGTTGAAGGGTGAACTGGTCACCTCGCCTTTCTCCTGCGCCTTGGAACCGGATAAGAACCGTTGCACAAATGGCGGCGGCTCCTGTCACACCCTCCGGGATGGGTATTATACGACGAACATTTTATGTGTGCTGATTGGCACCGTCACCTTTTTCATGTTTATCCGACCCGCCGTGCTGAAGCTGCAGGGACTTCCCCTGCGGGCGTGGCGGTTATCCCCGAACGGCAGGCAATAGACGGTAAAAATAGAGAAAAGCGATAAACGGGACCGGGGTTTACTATAGATGGACACGGACTGTATTATTTGCAAAACACTTGCACGTTCGATGTATTAATAGAACCGTCCAAATGCAGACTATTGTGGACCAAGATCCCTGCAGACCAAGAAATGAGGGTTGCATCAGCCATGTATCCTCAGTTTCCTACTAAAAGTTCATCACAACCCCCGAGCCAATGGCCGGCCCGGTCGAAGTGCCCCGGAGTTTTGCCATTTGCCGTGTTTCGGGTGCCCGCATTAGTGAGTTCGGGTTCCTGGCAATCCAGAACTCAGCTTCGAGTCAGGTGGATTAAAAAAAAAAAAAAAGGAAAAGAAAAGAGCAACCTCGTTTCCACCTATAAATAAGTTCCAACCCATAGCCACCTTGTTCTAGATCTTCAATTCCACCCAACCCCCTCCAAACTCCACACCCTGAACCAAAATTACCAAAACATGCACCTAGTACGAACCCTCACCCTCCTAGCAACCCTAGGAACCCTAGGAACAGCAACAACAGCCGACACCCTGAGACCCCGAAACGTAACTCCCCTCCCCCCAGTCCCAACCATAATCCCAATCTCCAAAGTGCCATTCATGAAACTAACATATAACCTTGACCAAAAATAAAATAAAGTGGGACCTCCGTCTCCTCAAACCAGGCTGCCAACCCAGCGGCTCCAACTTCGACGTCAGCGTCTACCATGCGCAGGGCGTATCGGAGCGATCATGTGTGGATTTGACGACCGTTCGGGGTCTGAATCTGAGTATTGTGGATACGGTCTCGTGGAAGAGTCCGTCTGAGCCACAGTTTGATCTCTGTATGTATGCAGATGGGGATTGTGATTCTGAGGAGCTGATTGGGGAGATTCGGGATGGGTGGGGGGTTTGTGTTAAGTATGAGCGGTGGAGGGGGTGGAGAGCTGTTGCTAAGGGGGAGGAGTGTGATTGATTTGTTTTCTTGCTTTTATATCCTCTTGTTTTTTGATCTTGAGGGGGGTCTGAAGGGGGTAGGTAATGTATGGATGAGTGGGTTGAGGCTGATAGGTTTGAGGTGGGTTGCTATGTGCTATGTGTTATAAAACTGAATACGTCTAGAGATGGGGATGTTGCCTGTAACTGATAATGAATGGGGCATGGATATTAGATACTAGCCTTTTCAAGTTACTATGTCGCTCTGTTGAGGTATGTAGATGTAATCTCCCTCTCGCTCATGCTTAGAGAGTCATAGCCAGGAAACTGCAACAATGCAGAATGTAACCGGTCAATTCAGTCTTGTTTCTCACACCTTGAATTTTGCCATTACGATACTTCCTAGTATGTACAGCGTTTAAGGGCCTAGTCAAAATGCAAACAACCTTCGTGGAGGCTATCTCAAGCGGCTTTGATGCTTGTCTATTCCACATGGCAGATGGCAGATTCATCATACCCACGAAAAATGATGCCTGAGAATGTGGTATACTGAGTAACAAGACCTCGCCTATGGCCATATTCATTCACCAGACATATGTCAGGCTTTGACTGTTCAGATGTCCAATACCAAATCCTTCTCTCGTGCAATATTTTCATAATCCCATTGAAAAAGTTCGTGATCCAACAAAGCATCCAGCTTGTCTTTTAGAAAGACAAATTCGGCCCTCCTTTCAATAGACGTTAAGCTGAAAGCCTTAAGCTACCCTATAGCATCGGACGACCAAGAGGCTGTACACAGGCCGTGTTCGGCGTCTCAGTCTGGCATCCTATAGTGACTTATAATAATTCATATTGGCGATGTTTATGATAGATGTATTTGTTGGAATACAGGATGTTGCTTAGTAGTCGGCTGGGTCGCTCCAACTGAACTGGTTACAGGGACGCAGCATCTCCAAGTAGGGGAGCTGTGTCCGCCAGTAAATTGTTCAGCTCGTTATCTCTAGAGATTTATGCTCTGAAATCGAGTTCTGCGACGACTCCCGCTCGTATGAATAGACTCAATAACTCTGAACCCTACTTTCGTTCACTAGGTTCAGCGCCAGAGGTTGAGGAATATGTCAACTGTAGGAAGAAGGCCTGAGTCTCATAGGTTCTTCTGTATTCGACTATCCTCTCTAGGCAGGCTTTTTTTCTACCAACAGAGTATCCGCTAGTAATGCCGAGTACACGATATCTTGCGTTGTATCCAGTTGGTTGATGACAGTTCCAACAGAGCCGGTGACTGAGATGGCAATAACTGCGAGGTAGTAAGTTCTTAAATACTCCCATCTGTCATTGCTACCGTTAATTAAGACGTGATCACCAGGCTTTGCGATCCTAGTGACCAGGATGAGCCAGTGCTGGGCTCATAACCTGTCTGTAAGCTAGTTGTAGGCCACCAAGGTAAAGCACGGGGAGTTAGAAAATATCGGCCCAAGAGAACTGGCACGTATTGAGGTAAAAATCCAGCTCCTCATTCGGCTAGCCTGAGATGGTGGGGTGCGATTTGAAGAATATCATTCTTACTTTGTTTGGCGAGAGGTCCTCATGCCCATGTCCAAGCTCTTCCACAAATGCTAACAGCATATTCTTGGGTAGATGGCGCCTCGGAGTTCCCCAGAAGGGTTTGCCTATTTCGCCGCGAAGAAATACGTCCACTTCTTCATCTTCGCTGTGCTACCATGCCTGGTACTGGACTTGCAGGCAGTAATGGAGACATAGGTATCTGGCTGCTGGACGAAGTAGAGCTCGAGACTGGAGTCTCCTCCCATCAAGACCTCTATATCTAAGCAGTGGTTGGGGAAGGGGTTTTTGTCTAGCTTGTTTACGAAATAGACAAGCTTGACAGTGATCGTGTAAGGGATAAATGAGACACGGTCAAAATACAGTCTCCACGTAGGATTGCCATCTATGCGCCATTCATGTTTGTACATACCAAGAAGGTGTCTCAGATGGGGCATCCTTTTGTATTCTGCTCTCTTTGGCCATATCTCTTGTAGAATATCTGGCATATACTCACCTAACTCTTTCGTATAGCGGTGTTTTGAATTTGACGATAAAGGCATTGTAATTGGGGAATCCAATGTAAAATGGCCCAGTCGTGCACAAAATCTGTATTGTATTCCGAGCAACGTTGCAGTACAAGAGTAGGGATTAAATAATCCATGCACGGTTGTCTTTCCATGATCCATTTACAGAACGCCTCCGAATCTTTCCGCACTGTATAGAACGCTTCCTTATGTATCTCTCTCTGTGTGTGCTATGTGTGTGGTTTAAAAAGAAAAGTGTGTACTTAGCTCTGGTTAACGATTGGAGAGAGGTTCCTGAGAGGGCCCAGGAGTACATTAGGAAGTGCGTATACCTGAACACCAAGTTTGTCGAGTTACACTGCGTCCAATGTCCATAGAAGTTTACATAGTTGCGAGTCATAGTGGCCGTAAATATGCGTACTTTAGCATCAATATCGTGGGTAGGTTTATTTTTTGATCCGTAATATTCTGTGCCAACTATAAAACCTATGCTCATAGCGTAGGGCGGGGTATTTGGTGTGAATATCGGCTGCAGAGCTGAGGATGGCTGATGCCTGGTGTTTGCATAACGGTCTCACCATTTATGTAGTCTTTGACTACCTTTGTAATCCTGGGAATGCATAAACCGTGCGGATGCTGCAAGGCCTGGTCGATATTTTCATGTCAACGAAGAAATGACAGACGAGCGCAGTGTTGTAGACTCGGATAGTTCCAAGTTGATAATCTAAACTGAGTTGGAATACTCTCATAGAGTATCTCTACAGAAGGAAAGCAAGTTCGTGGTTGAATTTGCACACATATTAGAAATGGAGAGAGCGATATTCTTTCTGGGGAAGCGAGGGTATTTATCCCTTAAGTCTACATCATACTGACTTAGGGCTGTGAATAGGGTCTTGCTATGCGGCTCGATAATCACATGAATATTTGAATAGTGAATCAGGTAGAGGGAATAGCCAGAGAAGAAGTTTATTCCTTTCAATGGGACCTTTACCATCCAGGGTTCTGCTCTGGAAATCTTCGCTCTATCAGGGCGCAAGCTGCATTTAAAAATCGCATATCTGTCGAGGTCACTAATTATTACCATGCCGGAATTGATGCACTGTGATAACCTTCACAAAGCGCATCACTATGGCTTTCGGTGCGCCCAAGGCCATTTAAAATCATGTCGCCTGTTTCTATCCTGATGCATTGAATATAGTTCAGCTTTAGGAGTCACAGGACACGCTTAACAGTTCCAGAGAGTGCGAGAAGCAGGGGATTCTTGTCCATTAATCATGGTATGTATGACACTAGGCTCTTCACCACAGGAGGAAGACTATACCCTTAATGCAATGGATAATTGTTTGTCAATGGATGTTTCTACAGACTACAATGGAATGCCAGTATCAATGCAATTTTGAGGACATTCGCCTGCCAGCGCGCACACTTCTATGACGTTCATACCGAAATCTAACTTCTATACGCTCAAATACATCACATAAAGATACAAAGTAGCATACACATAAATCGTAGGGTCATATCAAGCGTTGCCAAACCAACTCAATTGAACCCATCATTCCGTCCCCTCCACCAGCTCCTTCACAGCAGTATCCAACAAGACCCTCGCATACCCACGATGCAACCTTCCAACCCACTTTGGAATAGTCTTCTGCTGTGAAATACCTCCCTCCTCGGGTACAATCTCATACGTGTGCGCTGAAGCGAAACGCACCTCCACAAACGGCCCTAGACTTTCCTCATCCCCTTCACCGTCAAACGGCCCTTCAACACTCATCTCATGCCGTCCGCCCGTCATCAAGCGCCACGGATACCCCCAACGAGAAATCATCTCAAAGAACCGCCTAGGCTCATCCGGAATCACCCACTTCACTAACAACGGCTCGTCTCCTACCGGCTGTCGAATAACAGTCATAGCTCCATTCAGAAGCTCGCGCGGGGCTCCCGTTTCCGGATCAGGGCTGAATCCTGCCGGAGTGGTGCCCAGATCGCCTGGGTCGAATCTGCCCTTGCGGAGGAGTCCAATCACTTTGGCTTCTAGACGAAGTACGCTGCAGTTTAGTAGTGATTGTGCCCAGGCGATGTTCAGGTCTTGTTTCGTGAGTTTTTCTGTGGGGGTGTTGGTCCGTGCTTGTAGGTCGCGGAGGCGGATCCGGGCGGCGTAGATGTCTATGTGGGGGACATGTTGAGTTGTTGGGTTGGCTGGTGTACGGAGAAGCCCGGTGCTGGATCTGTCTGGGGCAATAGGGGGATATCGGGCTTCCAGCGAGTTTAGCCAGATATGTGTGCCGTAGCCCACTAGTAAGGGGGGCGTTGCTAATGCGAAGAGGAGGCGGGCTGGGGATCGTCTTGCCATTTTTGATCCGATCGCAAGGGCGCAACAGTCAGTTAGAGGCTGGGCCTACGATTGCTTGTATGTTTTGAGAGATGAGGATGGCAAGTCCGGGGCACAGCTTTATTTATTTATCTCTCCACCGTACTATAAAAGTCCAGTACAAGACGATCACCGGGTCATCCCGACCCGTCATGGGGCCAGGACGTCACATGATGCTTATCAGCCCTTTCTCATACCCCCTTCATGTCAAGTGTTAGGCTGTAAGCTGCGGTATATTAGAGCTTTTACGTAGTGGACGGGGGGACCAATTCTGTTCCTTGGTTATGTGTGGCTGGAAAAGGCCAATTTTGTTACCCCGACTGCGCGCCGTCTCCACTATGTATAGCACCCAAGAGGCTAAAATTTGGCGGCTCCACTATGCCTTCAGCCATGTCTCTGACAGTCACCCGTAGTCAAAGAAAGGAGTGTACTGCTTTTATCTTGAGACATTCTGACTTGCACCAGAAATACTTTGGATCATTTAGTATGGTATCCTGTGAATCCCGGGCGCTTAGGGAGCATGTTCACGACCAGAGCGGTTTCTTTTGATCATATCGTAGTCGGAAAACGCGCAAAAGGATAATGATCATCGGGGAGAACTAAACGGCCCAGGCCAAATGACTGAAGCCCAGACCCACACAACTCTAGCGCGAGGCGGATACACTTTACGAGCAAACCAATAGCAATGCTAGATACAGGACAGTGACTCGTCTTTCCTTGGCGATATTGTTACTCATATTGAGGGCTAATGGGTATCAAACGAGAGTAATAACGGTTGGAAACTGAGGCAGTGAAATACGGGCCGAATCATTTAGCACCCATGATCCAATGAGTCTCCCGGAAATGGAGATCTGTTCGTTGTTAGATCAAGACCGCTTCATTATATACACAGCCACGATGGCCAGGCATGCTTCCCCAGGTTCATGAATCCTAAAGACGAGAGCAAAAGTAACACACTCTTGTCCTACCATCTATTATCCTGTTTGCTCTTCCTAGAGATTGACACCAGTACCACTGGCTCGATGGAAGATATCTGAATAGCGAATTTGATGCGGCATTGGCTGATCTAGCGATTATGATGTGTCTTCCCACCATCAACATTACGTTACTCCTATCAAGGGCCAACGCAAATATCATATATATCTGCTTAGTGAACGTGTGCTGCATTTCCGACTACACAAATTGAGCCGATGTCTTGTAGCTAGCATTTACTCCACTCAGCTTGTCGTCGGAGGCATGCCTTGTACGTTATGCTCCCATGTGTGTCCCTCACCTGAAGTGAACAGCTAGTCCAACTGTCGAGTATTTTAGGCCTGCTGCATTGTGGCGGGTTGACAAACTGCCATGTCTCTCCCAGATAAGCTTCACAGGAAGCTCTTGGAGCTGATCCCAGTGAACGGTATCAAACTTGTCAATATCAGACAAACATATACTGCCTAAGGCAGGCAGTCCCCTAGCCCCTTCCTCATCATAGTCACCCAGGCTTGACATCATGATTACCCTGACAGTCTTTCCCAGGCATGCTACTCTGCTGCCTGGCCCACGAGGCCCCTCGCAGCTGCCTCTTCCTCCAGGCACCTTCCTACAATCATAGTGAGCAGATGTTTTAAGTGTCCGACAATACCAGTAACGGGGGGCCAGATAGTCGAGCGGTAAGCTAAGGCCTCGCTGAGTCCGGCCCCCCAAGTCCTAGGCTCGAGTAGATCAACGGTTCGAACCCGCTATTCCTCGCCCCTAGGACTCCACTAGTAAAACCCCTTCGGGGTTTTCGTAGCCCTCCCTATGACGCCGGTGCTAAAAACGCGTTCGGCGCCGGGGACGGAGGGTGAGCTTTTTGTGATTTTGAATTTTTATCTTGTTGTATCCTGTTATTTGATTCCTGCTTCTATTTTGATCTCGATTCCGTCTTTTCCAACTTCTATCGTCCTGTTTACGAGGCAGAGGTGGTTGAAGTTACCTCCGCATCTGAAGTACTGTACAAAAGAAAAGCCCGGCACAGTAAATTCTATCACGCCACAACTGATACAGATCTATTGCTCTGGGTTGGTGCAAAATGCTCCTCTGATTCGTATCAAAATTCTACTGAAAACATCTACAACTCTTCGAACGCGTAGACACCTCAGGCTACGGTTCAAGGCTCCCTCCAACTGGTCACGTTGACGTCGATGAGCTCATGATATTAGGTACTCAGACAAGAATGTTATCAACACCCTATGCATTCATAGTACATATGTACACTGGTTACATATATCATGATATACTAAGAAATTGGGTGCAGCTTTTAGGATGTTCTATATTAAACCCTAGTCTTCGACGTTAGGGCTACATCGTCACGATTCTCCTGTCTGTTGCACGAACAGATTACTTCGGTGATACCTCCTCCCTTTATTGAAATCTATCGACCTCTGTCTAGACAGACTACTGTCAGACGTACTTTTGAGGTATAACTTAAGAAAGTCATACCTGCAATTGCTGTAACTAGCTCACGGAGATTTCCCACCGACAGACACCGCGTATCTCACGGGCCAATGACCACTAGTATAAAATAGGCAACAGAAACGAATGGAAATATTAGTCGATTCCTTTTCTACAGATCGACTATTACAGCGTCATTTTATCGGATCTGGACTGAGGGGTTTGGCGATGATTGTGAACCTTAAGCTGGCCGGCTTGCACGTTGATTGACTGGAACTACGTTCACCATCGCTCAAGATCCTTGGCCTCTGTTTTCCATACGTATAGGCGAGATAACACCTTGGAGATATATGTCTAGCCTCTGCGGAATGGTGCAAGTAAAGGCTATCACGATGTCTTGGCCGATGGACAATGCCGCTTGGCTGTATGATACAATTCTTGGCCGATTGTTGCAATCATGCGCGGGATGTATCTCAGTGCCGTTATCGTGAACATATAAAATGAAAGGCTGATACTCATGGACATATTGATTAAACTCGAATATACTGAAGTTATTACCAGTATATCTGGTTAGTGCATTGGAATAATAACCGATCTGTCATTGATTCCGCTGTTGGCCTATACGATGGGGAAGGGCTTCTTCAGTCACGAGTCTGAAACTAAGAATTCCGACGGGTTTCAAGGAACACGAAACCATATATTTGATGATTCAGATGCCGCCGAATATTGGGCCAATGTGTATGAGAAAGCTCAATATGAGGGTCGTCATCGCTTTGACCCTTCCTTCATCTGGACTCCTGAGGAGGAGAAGAAATTAGTCCGAAAGGTTGGCTTACTTCACATCTGTTTCTCTTAACTGAAGGGTGTTCATCTCTTGTTGTACAATTTTAACATTAAAAAGGTGGATCTGCGGATTATGTTCTGGGCGTGGTTAATGTTCTGCTCCCTGGATCTGAACCGGAGAAACATCAACAGGGCAATCACGGACGATATGGTGAGTAAAGTGTCCTTCAAGCTCAGTAGTCTGCTGGCTAACCAATACTAGCTCCCTGAACTAGGAATGAACACCAACGACTTCAACTACGGCCAAACTGTATGCCTAACCCCACTAAGAGTTGCCAATAGTCCCTGACCAAGGTAGATCTTCTTAGTATCCTTTCTCGCAGCAGAGCTCCCAAGTGGCCTGATCAGTAAGAAGGTTGGGCCAGATAGATGGATACCGTTCATTATTGTATGCTGGTCAACCATAAGTGCTACACAGGCTGCCCTTGCAAACAGGGCAGGCTACTTTGCCTGTCGAGCCCTTCTTGGGCTTCTGATGGGTGGTTTTATACCGTACGTGTGTGGATGATATTCGCTGTGTCTTCATACTTACATTCTCTATAGTGATATAGTGCTGTGGCTATCTTACTTCTATGTGAGGACCTAGCTCGCTTTTGTATTAAATTACTATTAACACGAAATAGAAAGGGCGAGAGCTTCCCATTCGACTCAGCTGGTTTTGGACGGCGATCAGGTAACCACGACTCCATAAATTGGACATAACCATGCTAATTCCGAGCAGTACTTGCAATATTGTTGGATCCCTCCTTGCAGCGGGAATTTTGCAGATGCGTGGAGTCCGAGGATGGAGTGGATGGCAATGGCTGTAAATACACCTCTCCACTTCCCTACATTATGGACTAATACCCGACGCAGATTCCTTCTCGAAGGACTAGTCACTGCTATTATTGGTGTCCTGTCCTGGGGCCTTATGCCTCCAGGCCCCTGCCAAACAAAGAGCTGGTTTCGAGGTAAAGACGGCTGGTTCAGCGAGCGTGAAGAACTCATCCTCGTGAACCGACTTCTGCGCGACGATCCCTCTAAAGGCGACATGAACAACAGGTCCGTCACCAAAGCCACATTCAAGAATCACCCAGTCTCTAACTTACTCTGACACCAAAACAGACAAGCAGTTGGCCCAATTGCACTCGTCAAATGCCTTCAAGACTTCGACCTCTGGCCCCTCTACCTCCTTGGCCTCCTCATCTACATCCCACCCCAGCCTCACGCCAACTATCTTTCCTACATCCTCCGGCGACTGGGCTTCTCCACCTTCCATGCCAACCTGCTCGCCATCCCCTCCCAATTCATGTTCGCTGTAAACCTCCTGATCATCACCCGCATCTCAGACAAGTTCAACGAGCGCGCCATCGTCGCCTCCACCTCCAACATCTGGATACTTCCCTGCCTGATCGCCCTCGTCGCCCTCCCCGAATCAACAAGTACCTGGATCCGCTACGCAATCAGCACTGTCCTCCTCAGCTACCCATACTGCCATGCCATCCTCGTCGGCTGGAATGCCCGCATCAGCAATACCGTCCGCACGCGCGCCGTGGGCGCCGCGCTGTACAATATGTGCGTGCAGGGGGGGAATATCATCGGAAGCAATATCTTTCGGGAAGATGATAGTCCACTGTATCGACGGGGAAATAAGATTTTACTCGCGATTTGTTCGTTCAACGTCGTCTTGTTCTATGCGGTTAAGGCATACTACGTTTGGAGGAATCGAACGAGGGAGAGGAAGTGGACGTCCATGTCGGAGGAGGAAAGGAGTGAGTATTTACTTACGACGACGGACGAGGGGGTGAAAAGGCTGGATTTTCGATTTGTTCATTAAGTGGTATTACTATAGCCATTTTGGAGTATTTGGTAAGTAGAGTAGGTCGAGTAGTTCGAGTAAGTAGTATTTCAAAATGAAGCGTGGAGTGATGTTGTATTGTATAGATCTGATCTCATCAGATCAGATCTAAAGGCTGCGATAAGATAAGGATAAAGAGTTAAACTGCCCCTCCACCATTAGTAACTTCATTTTTCTTCTTCTTCCAATTTTTCCTTTGCAATACGCCAATCACTCTACAACATCCTAACATACCCACCTAGTCAACACACTCTACGATAAACTCACCTCACTAGATCCCTCTACAAACCTAGAACTTCTCACAAACCATCAAACTGAACAATGACCTCCCCCACCACCAACAACAACAGCCTAGACGACATCTTCGGCTCCTCCCCACCTCACGACGACATCCCAGCCCACACAAAAACAACCACCACATCCCAACCCGAACCCTCCGAACTGCCCTCCCTGCGCCGTCAACACGTAACAGCCGGCTATCGCGATGGCGTCTCCGCCTCGAAAACCGAACACGTCCAATCCGGCTTCGATGCGGGCTTCCCCGTCGGCGCCCAACTGGGCATGCGAGCGGGGACAATCCTCGGTATTCTCGAGGGTGTGATCCGCGGGTACGAATCTCGGGCTTCGTCGGCAGTTGTCAAGAAGCCTGGTGCTATGCGCGGTGCTGGTGGTGGTGGCGCGTCGTCATCATCTTCAACGGAGAACGAGGAGGCGGTAAAGAGCAGGATGGAGAAGAGGGAGAAGATTCTCAAGCTCTACCAAGCTGCTATCAAGGAATTGGATGTGCGGACAGTCTTCGCCGGCTTAGATGGTACATCTGAGGAATTGAAACCGGAGGAGCGACTCCGGGGTCTTGGAAATAAGGCTATTTCTACCTGGGAGGAGAAAGTGAACGTTGCGCGTTGGGAGGAGATCATGGACGCGCTTGAGATGAAAGACACCACCACCACCGCACCGACCAGACCACAAGAGAAGGAGCAAGAACAGGAACAGGAACAGGAACAGGAACAGGAACAAAGCTGAGCCCGATGTACGGAATCACCAGACTTACAGAAGTTACAGTGACCTCATACGTTCTCCTTCTACCCAGAATCCCTATTTCTTGGCGGGTGTCTCACCTGCCGAGTACTTTCTGGCCCTCCTCCCCTTGCTGGTGGGAAGGGGAATTCTTTTTTGGAAATTCACTTCCCCTGGCCCGGTCCGCGGATAGGTTCGCTCCCCGTTTCGTGCTGCTGCAGGGGTCTTTTGTTCCTGCGTCTGCGCGTGCTGGACGTCGGTTTCACGGCCTTGCGGCTTGCTTCGGGTGGAGAAATGAAGCTGAAGCTGCTGCAAGGATTCGGGATTTCCGCTGCGGATGCTGGGCCGGGTTCCTGAATAATTACTTGGTTTAGGTACATATGCATCATCCCATTGTGGGTGTGGTGCACTGGAGATCGTGCGATCGTGTGATCGTGGTGGTTTGATTGACTGATGGATGATGCTTGGGGATGATTTGTGTCGGTTAGGGGATTGTCGGTGTAGGTTTGTAGGAGGGTATCAGTGGAGATCTATGTTGGATTTTTCTTTTCTCCATCTCTTTTTTTTTTTTTCACTCAATGATTCATGTCAGGCACAGGATAAATGGGATGTGCAAGACGCAATGAGTGTGATTATGCGACACCTTGTATGCAACTTATGACTACGGGTTAAAGAAAGAGAGAAACGATTATGAATTACTACAACAAGCGACATATAACTACCATTAGGGTGAAATTAAAACCCGACGTTACTGTGTATCCCACGCGACCGTACACTTGAGAGTATTAAGGCAACATACAAGCCGATGAAAGATACCCATCTATATCAACGACCTACCACCAGAGATATTCTCCACACCAATGCAGTGCCACCAAGAAGAATGACTGACCTACAGTCAGACAGACGCATTGAAGAAACAAAAATCAGTAGAGCCTTTCACCATATTCCATACGTAAGTAAACATGCGACCATCCCAACCCAGCTGGCTATACAATGGATATATAGACCATGTTTGTTTTGCGTGTACCAACTTCAAAATAACCTCAACTCATAATGCCAATGTAACATCGCGAGCATGATGAACGTAACGTAGTAGGAAGCACACGACAAGATACCGGATTCTTGATTTACACGGCCATAAGGTTACTTTGATCCAGGTTTCAGTTCAGATCCCGAAGGGAAAAAAAAAAAAAAAGAAAAAAAAAAAAGGATTCATTCCCAGGTATAAAGCATTCATTCTCTACACGAAAGCCGGTTACCCTAGCAAAGCCGAAGGGGACACACGGCTGGGCAAAGGAGAGCGACGATTATAGGCTTCAGTCAGCCATTGGGACCAGGATCCCAAGGGAATGCGAAGTAGCCCGAGACCTTGGTTCTAGACTCCCGACCCGGCTATGATCGGTGCTAAGGGATATAGGGTTGGTGTGAAAATGCTGTCTGGTGCGCCACACGCAAGGGGTGGAGATCAACACAGAGGAGCTTCCTGCCTGAGGGGAAAAAAAAAGTACGATTTGTTACCCCACATTGAAGATCAGGATCTACGCTCAGGCATTGTGTTACTTGGAACAATTGGAAAGTTGGATGGATAACTCATTGGAAGTAGATTGGGTAAGGTGGCTCGCGCCTTTGTCCTAGACGTTTCATCTAGTTGTTTGTTTTATACTGGTAGTTTGGAGAAGAAAAGGAAACACAGTGTGTTGCTTGATTAGCGGATTGTAAAGAGTGATAGCCATCAGCAACATTGGACCAGAAGGAATTATCAGAGAGCGTGCGCAGTTCGAAAGAGTGAGTGACAGGAAAACTCGAGAAGGAAAGATCACGGAGAGAGTGAGAGAGTCAAGCAAGGAAATCAAAGAGAGGAGCCGAAGCTCAAGAGCGGGAACAATCCAGATCCCATAGCCTCATCATCGTACTACATTAAATCATTCATAGCAGCTGTAGCATTAGCGGATAATAGCTGCGGTCTCATGCTCAACGTGTCGAGCTCATAAATCATCCAAAGACACCATGGCACCTTGTGATCGGGCGTTCTTCGTCACAGACTCCCATCCATTGGGATCCGTCGGGCAGCTTCATAAGACATTATTTAGGGAACAGAACAAGCGAACTTATCGTCATCGTCGGCAGGGTGAACGCGAAAGCATTTCCGTATATACCAACGCCATCCAGACTTTTCCCCACCGTTTTGAAGTACAGGAAATTAGTATCGATATAAAAGGAAAAAGAAACTGTTACATGGCCTTGCGTGGTCTAGGTGGTGGCATATTCCCATGGCAGCTGAGCACACGTAGCGACTCCCAGACACGTTTGTAGAGAGGTTGTCGTAAAGGGGTCAAACTTTGCATGGCTTTGTCCGATCGCTCTTCACGGCACAGGGTACGTATCTTATCACCGTCACTGGATAGGGACGACTGGGGCGAACTAGACCGTGGCTTACGCCTCGATTTGGCCTGCATCGCGGCTGCTGTCGATCTATCAATATCAAAGTTTGGACGCTCTTCCTTGCTATCACGACGGGACCGAGGGGTCCGTGGTGGTACGAGGGATGTGTTCGATGGAGCCACGATACGCAACGTTTGCTGTGCCGATGGGAACTTATCGGGAGCGAAACGAGATTTCCCGATTGACCTCACCGGCGGCGGGCGACGATCTTCTGGCGGCTGATCAGGTGTCGTAGGGAATTTCTCGAGAGCCTGGGGGCTGTTGCTAGAGTTCTGTAACTTGGGGGCTGACTTGGCCACTCTTAGGTGCACGCGACTGCGGACCTTTTTCAATGTATCCATAGGCTTCCTAGACAGCGACTTTGGATCCATGTCTTCGGTGTCCGAGTCTGATTCCCACACTGAATGCTCACAAACCACTTCGGATGTAGAGGTCGACGGTCTATCGCGACCAAATGGGGTTGGCTTATCCATGGAAGGTGAATTGGAACCTGGGCTGGGAATGGGACTTGGACAGTCATTGGCCGGGATAAACATGGCTTCGTCAAAGCGAGTTGTGTGAGGCTCCAGCGTGACGGGATTGATACGGCAAGGAGAAGAGATCATAGATGCCTCTATGGGAGGCTTCCCAACAGCTATTTGAGCTCTTCTGTTTGCCAAAGTGTTCGCGTTGCGCGCAACAGCGGGCAGAGATGGTAGCGGCTTGCCACGGTGGGAGTCTAAAGCGTCGGGCTGAGACATAACTAAAGTGTCCGACGACGCGTTAGATGGGGCAGTCCGCAGGCTGGCTTCCCGAGTAGGTGTTGATGGTTGAGTGGCCTGAACCCTTCGAGAACAGCTCTGCGGGGTTGAGGGATAGGAGTGCACCTGGTTGCCAGAGCTAATATCTTTATGGGAATGGCGGCCAACCTGCTCGCTCGCTCTGGCTGCGTCGTCGGGGTATATGGGAGCAGAGTAGTTTGAGGAGAATGAGCTGCTTGGGGTCAAGTCTGGGGTAGCCTCCGTTTGTACTGAACCAAACGACCCTTGGCTATAATGGCTGGGTTGGCCCCAAGGTTGCGGTGCAATCTGTTGAAGAGCTAACTGGTGTTCCAGCTCGACCACCGACAGTGTTGACCGATTGATGTTAGTACGAGACCGCGCAGTTTCCCCACGAACCGGAACAGGGTAAGGAAGCTCTTTTCCAGGATTCGCGGGGGATAGCATATAATACTGATTAGCTTCTTCACTGAATCTAACATCGCGAGCACCAGGACGGTGAGCTCGTCGGACTCCGTACTCCAGAGAGCGCTCGAGGTAGAATGGGTTGGTTTCGTCTGTTGTCACAGGATCCCTGGGTGGATAATAGGATGAAGCCCGTTTCTTCTGCGGCGATGGTGGGGGCAAGCAAAAGTTCGTCTGGGAGCTGTTGCGGCCACGGTGGAAAGCGTTCAACTCCCCGGGAAGCGGATGATATGCGGTAGCCATGGGGTGATATTGCAACAACCACAGAGCTGTTCAGTGTAGGCTCAAGGATATAGAGCGTTCATCGGAAGCAAGTGATACAGACGCCAAATACCTATTAGCGTCCAAGAATAGGGAGGTCTCTGGGTAGCCATAGCATAGGGAACGACAAGGGAGAAAGGGTTATGTTTATACATGTCACAATTGATACTCTTTCAGGCCTGGAGCCCACCCGATGCATTGGTGGCTAGGCCGGGAAGAGGAGCCGCCGCATGCCAATGCAGAATGGTGTAAACAAAGCTCAATCTCCCGAAAGCACGGACGCCAAAAGCCTACTGGACCTTACATGGTCCCCTTCCCTAGGGATGGCGCTTGCAGCAAGGCGCGGGCAATCGAGGTTGGAGCAAGGGAGACACCCGGATCCCGATCCGCAACCTAGACTCGCAGGGTGTTGAACAGAGCCAGAGGCCAACCGTACTTATTCACAATGTTCTCCGTTCGTGTTGTGAATTCAATTCTCAACTGGGGTCAGGGTCGTTAGGCACCCATTCCCGAGGACGTCATTAGATTGGCACATTGGCCACGAAGCAGTCCCTGCTATGGTTGCGAAAAGTGCAATACGTGCGCCGGCTGGATTCTAAACTCGATTAATTCCCGTCACGCTTCTTTCCTTTGCAAGATCGGTGGTCTCCATCGATATAATTAGTACCTGCATAGCTGTAGGGAGCCGGGATTAACTCGGCGTAAGAGACAATTTGCCACAAGGCAGTCACCTACGTCAAAATAATTTGCAATCGATAGGGTGTTTCATCCACATACATCGCAAACTTACTCTCACTAGGAGACGTTTGTGAGGTATTTGGGCCCCAGTCCCAGCTACCTGGTAATAGAAGGCCGACGTTCCTGCAAATGTGAGCGATCACTTCCGCTTGGACAAAAGTCGCGTCGCGGAAGTCTCCCACGATCTTCCACTAAACCTCTATCAGGTTGTGCTGGCTGTCGATCATGTCGATCCTTCAACTGTATGCTTTGCAGCTAGCCCAATCGTTAGCATGGTCATTGAAATATAATTCTATAGTTACCACCCAAAAAGTCATAGCAGGCCAGGAAGGAAGCTTAAATGACGCCGAATTTAAGCCACACCGTCACAGTTCCTCTCTGATTCTATTTCGCTCTTTTTGCAAAGTCATGCTCACAAAGTTCTCCACCAAAGAGCAAACCCAATGAGTGGTTGGACCCGCATTCCCAGCAGGTCGTGCTTGTTGCTATGACACACTATTGCCCATTTCTGGAGCTCCAAATTGGATAGTCAGAGCGTTTCGAGATGATCTCTATTGAAACATCCGACTGTTGACTCCACCCGCAGATTCTTGGTATAGTGGCTGATTCTGAAAGCCAACGTTGTTACAGGTTATTCTCCGAAGAGGTTGGCTTCATGTATTGGATATCTTTTCGCAAATCCTTGCTGGCCAGTATGGCCATGACCCGAAAGCCCCCATGCCATCTAACACTCTGTCATGCGCTGGCCATTTCGTCGTCCTCTTCCTTTTCCTCTTCTTCTCATCCTCCCTCGTTCTTCGAATGACGCCCTCGCTCTCTTTGGCCTCCTGCATTTTCCCTGATGGTTGAATGCAGCCGTGAGCACCGTCATTGAATTCCGGGATGATCATCAGAACCTGTAATCTAAAGTATATTTGCATATTATGGTGCTTATGTATGGGTCCATTTATTATTTGTAGGCATGTACTCCGTACTTTGATTTAAGACCTTCACCAAGCTGGCGATCGTGTGCATTGACTTTCTATATTCGGCCAGAGACATGGTTGATTCAACTCGTATTGTCCATAAGGCCAGATCCTTCTGACCTGTCAATTCGCTAGGGTCTACCCCGTGCGACGAGTAATTTTTTCCGGGCCCACACGAAATCTTGGGTTTTGATGCATTTGAAAGCCTTTCACTAGTGTATGGTGGGATGGTGAAGGACAGGTGTCCAGACCATCGGTAAAGTAAAGCATTTGCATGACGCGCATTCCCAATCATGCGGAAGACGCCTTGAGGTTAGAGATCTACGGACACACGGGCGCACATTGACGGGTTCAATAACTTGCCCTCCATGCCCCCAATGCTCATATTCTGTACTCCGTACCTACCTACTAGTATGTATATGCATGTCTATCGAATATGCAAGTGGTTATATGAGCGGCGACGGTCAAGTTCTAGTCTTCCATGCACCTCATGGGTAATAAGTACCAAAACTTAATAACCCTTTCGAGCCTCACTTGCATCGTCAACCAAGCTTCTTCACGGGGAAGGCCGGGATTGCTGCAGCACGCTGCCAGTCGCAAAACCTGCACATGCCTCGACCTATGAAGCCTTTCCACAGCATCTCGTGAAGCTCAACATCGTTGCCTGCCAATCAACTACCTGTACATGCTCATATAGGCCCATCTCCCAACTTTATTGAGTTGGAGAATATACCAGCTTTGAATTTTTTTTTTTTTTGAACGTCAGTGACCAGCCACTGAGCTGTAGAGGGAGAGACGACAAAGAGTAATGAAAGCAACCTCTGCTGAGATGCGCATACAAGTACCCAGGTTGGTGGTTCAGAATCTGCAAGGTACGTCGATAGATATGAAACCGGGGCAGGCGGACGGGATTCCTTCCAGTCAATCAGCGCCGGAGGATATTCTGTAGGGCTGCCCTTACTGCCTGTCGGTTCTCGTCAGATGCACTCTGAGATACAGCCCATTTGTCTGGACCTTCGATCGTTAAAAATCGACTACAGTCCCGCAAAGAAGGTTGAAGATTGACAGTAAACAATATGGCCCGATCGGGAAAGCGATCAGCATCCCTTGATTTTCATCCTGGTTGATTTTGAAATGGACGGTTCATGCACGAGAAGAGAAGGGCACGGGAAAGGGGCAAAGGAGAGCATGAAAACTAATTTTCTTTTGTTCTTCTCATTTCAATCACTGTTTCCCGAGAATGACAATATGTCCTCGTGCGGCCAAAAGAAGCCCGCTGAGTCAAAGGCCTCCTAGCACCGAGTGGTGATCAGGCCAAATCGTTGAAGTCGAATTGCTAATAACGCTCACTACCATGGATGGATAAATGGATCGTGTCTGTGCTTCTGTTCAGACGAACCAGATCGGGGATCCAGAGTGGAGAAGATCCGTTGGTTCGTTTCATCGTCCAATCCACTCCAGGTGAACTTCTTTAGTCCAGGGGTTGGGACCGATCTGATTCGACTAATTCGTGGCCCTGTCTTACCTCTTCAAACTTCGACATCATTATGGACCAAAGCAGATTGCATTGACTGCCAGCATAAACTGACACATCCATGAGGCATGACAACGATATGAAACCCATCCAGCCGAGATGCGCTGCCAGCGCATCCGATGGTGGATCAGGAACATGGAACTTTAGTTCTTTGTCAAAGAGTCATTCCAACTGTGATGCAATTCAACATGAGATAGACTAACAAGGGTGATGGATTTTATCGATATATACTCTGTACAGAGTATGCAATGTAATATTGTTCTTTCAATTGTGCCCCATCGTGAAATCACGCGGGGAGCTGAGGTGTAACTTCGCAGAGTTATACCTTACCAGTCAGGATGGGGACGACTGGAGGCAAGCGAGAGTCATTTATAAAAGCCCATTCTGCGACAATTATGTTGTCTAGCACCGCGACAGCACAAACAAAGACTGGATGAATCAATTCCACCATAGGGAAAAGTGTTGTTTGTTGGTTACTGTGGAGTGGATTTGATGGGGGCCCGTGACTTTGGCTGACTACACATTTCCCGTGACCCCCTACACTTACTCTACTTTTCCTCCATTCTTCCCTAGGTATTCTATTAATATTTCTTGCGCTGTACGTACAACTGTCATTCTCCACGCAACACACCGATTGGACTATTTCGCCTTCCGTCGGCAGCCATTGAGCTCTGCTCTATGACTGCTACGAGCGTCGTCCAGTGCTCGTGGCGGTCTGAGAGCGAGCTTTAAAGGTAACAAATCCAATTGATTTGATTCCCAGCCATCGCAATTCCTCGCATCCCCGACGCCTTCTCATTCGACCAGCCACTTGCCTTGCACACCTGCCCACTTTTGGCCCTTCCTCACCCTCGGAATTGCTCCCTTTTTCCCCCTTCAGTGCTTATTAGTTTTTTTTCCCAGTCCCTAAAAGAATATCCACATTCCAACGTGCTTAATTCTGTACGTACTTACATCTATCTTACTCTCCAGAGGCCGGTTCTACGTGTGCGCTGGGGCCCCGAAGACCTCGGAGAACTTGAATTCTTAGTTTGAGAACACTCCCACGTCATCGAAATTGTCCACCGGTTTGTGTTGTAGGCGGCCGAGTGCCAATTCTCACATTGTCGCATTTCCTTTCCCATCATTCTCATCCATATTCAGCGGTGTCTCCCCACACCCACGGCGCATTTGACGAGACCTACGAGATTCACGACCCCTCCACGTTTACGACAGATTTACCGCAACGCCAGCAGCAGGCTGCTTCCAATTCTGCCCCCGACCCTCCCCGATACCCGTCCCCGCGCCCTCTGAGTAGTCAAGGAAGTACTCGTTCGTTACGGAGAACGTCCCGTTCAATTCGTCAACGGCCGGGATCAGTATATGCTTCAGGTCGCCCAGCCCAGATAGAGCAAACAATTCCCGTACTGGTCCAACCTGTGTCGGATCGAAATAGTGGGGTTGCTGCACTTCGTCCTGCGCTTTCCGAAGCCCAGACAGAAGAAGAAGACGACGACGCTGACTCGCTCACTGACGATCGCCCTCGGATATTAGGCGAGTCATACTGGCCACGCAGGTCTACCAGAGTTTCCCCACGTACAGCGTCTGCGATTCTTTGGGCGCTAGAAGAAGCGATTCGAAAACCTCTCCCGTTTACCCCGGATTGGGAAGAAGTGAATGCGCCCATGTCTGACTTGGGAAGCGCGACTGGTTCGATCGGCCTCGCAGGCACAGGGCGTACACAAAATGGCGCTTCACGTGCAGCCCATGGCCCTGTCCCCGTTAACACACACCCCCCAAGTGGGGTCCGGACACCGACCGATATCATGAGACAGCGCCGGGATCGGGAGGCTCGCAAGAAAGCGGAACAAGAAGCCAGAGATAGGGAGCAGGAGGAGGTTGAGCGCAGGCGGCAGGAGTCACAAGAAAGGACTCAGGATCCAGCACATCCCTATGCTGCTGGCGTTGCAGGTAATAGACCTTCACAGCGGAGAGCTGGCCCCGGTGCTCCCGCGGGGTCCGACATTCAGCCGGAATCTCGTCCGACGCAACAGCCTCCCGGGATTCCAGCAGCGCCTCAGCGACCAGATTCCCAGGCTCACGGTCAGGCCCCGGGCCCACACGCCCACCCCAGACAACCTGGGCCATCGACACAGCACAATCCCCAGCAGCCACCAACAGGCTCCTCTGGCTTTCAAAAACAACAAGCTCAAGCTCCCAACCAGCCTAGCACCTCCCAAGCGCAGCAGTCACCACGACGTGTCGGTTTTCCTCACGCTTTCGAACGGTGGGAAACGTTATCCTCCCATTGGGAAGGTCTAACTGGCTACTGGATTCGAAAGCTGGAGCAGAATAGTGAGGCTTTAGAACGCGACCCCATCAGCCAGCAGATGGCCCGTCAGGTGACCGATCTCTCCGCTGCTGGTGCCAATCTTTTTCACGCTGTTGTGGAATTGCAGCGTCTGCGGGCATCATCGGAGCGAAAGTTCCAGCGGTGGTTCTTCGACACCCGTGCAGAGCAAGAAAGATCGAAAGAATTGCAGGCCGATTTGGAACGACAAGTCCGGACCGAGAAACAATCGCGGACAGAAGCAATGGCCGCGTTACAGAAGGCCGAGAGTGACAAGGGTCGCGTGGAGTCGCTGCTCAAGGAAATGCGCCGGGAGCTTCAGATATCCAAGGAAGAAGCCCGACGCGCATGGGAGGAACTTGGTCGCCGTGAGCAAGAAGAAAGGGATCGAACGAACTCACTCCGCAACGGAGAACCCACCTTGGTCGGGGGAGTGCAGGTGGTGCCGATGATCCAGGGCCTACCTACTCGGTCAAATACCGCGAATTATCCATCAGGTGGCCCGGGAAAGTCTTCCGAAGGTCATTACTATGAAGAGGCGCCTGGTTCACCTACAGAGACCGATCCGTTCACGGAGGGGCAGCGAGGTTATCAGGAATCTGACAGCCAGCGCTACGCTCCCCGACAACCGCACACGTCTGTACCTGCAGAATCCTCGGGGCAGTATGCAGGGAATTACTATGAACACGACGGCGAGTATACTGGCCGACCGACGTCTGAGAACGATAATCGCTCCTATGATCCGAGCGCAGCTAGCAGTGAGCCTGGCGATGATGAATATGGCGGGTATCGTCGTACTCAGCCTCAACAAGGGCCTTCCATAGTTTACCCACGTCCTATGTCCGAGGAAAGTGATGACTATGAGCGAGGGTCCATGGAGGACGAAGGGGGCTATGTGCCTAGCACTTTGCCGCCGACAACCTCAGCACCTTATAGCCAGAGCTCTGTAGATTACAGCGGCTCTGGATGGGGAACTACATGGGACTCTGTGACCCCCCGTCATCGCCATCCGACCCGACTCAGTGATGTTATGGAAGAGGAAGAACCTCGAACTACGCCTAGCCGTGCAAGCCGTGCCAGCCGTGCCAGCCAAGCCAGCAGAAGTGTACATTAGACCAGCTCTACATATGGTTTCCCAACAGTCAGTACATACAGGGTTGGTGATTGACAAAAAGCCGTTTGTTCCTTTACTTATCTTTTTTTTTTTTTTACTTTGCTGCATACCTCGTCACTTTACGTCTCCGTACGAGAAGACCAGTGTTATACATCTGCCATTGATATTTATTCCTTTTTCTTTCATTTTCCCTTTTTTTTTTTTTCCACTGGTTCCTGTTTTCCTTATATCCGTCGTTGATTACCCTGTTCGGCATTGTTTTATCATTCGGTAGCAGCATTTGTTTTCCCGAGACCAGGGTGTTATATGAAGATATCCAAGTGCTTTGCTAGGAAGCTTTATTCGGAGCAGATTCGCCCAGGACTCCAAGCGAAGAGCTGGATTAATTACTGTAATTTTACGCTTCATGAGCTCGGTTTCACTCCATGGATATACGTTGGTGTCATGTCATTAGAGAATGGTCCATAGAAAGACATACTGTTATTGCGACTTCTACGCAGTCTTCTTCTATGTCTAGCAAGACAATTTCGTAGCAGTGTGATTTTCTCTTACAAAGACTTTCTTATACAGTCATAAGTCGTACTGATTCCAAGGTCCTATCGGTGGATATATATATATCTGCGCTTCACGGCGTACGCGTATTCTAAGACAAAGCCATGAACGGATAGATCGCATTTGTAGCATATGGAATAACCTTATATAATAGGGACACTTTGATAAAGGTGAAATATACATATATATATTCTCTGTTGATCTTACAATAATAAGTCGCGAGTTGATTGAAAGTTCCTTGCGGTAGTCAAATCAGTCAGACTAAGGATGATAATTCTACAAACGAGCGAATTATCGAATAAACAATACGTCAGAATGATTAATGTACCTTCTTGAGTCATTGGGAGTATATTACTATTCAAATTAGTTGGGGTAGCATATAAAACGAATGAAGCTTCCCTGTGAGAAGCAGGCTTTTGTCCTGAAGATAATATGTATAGATGAACGGAATTCAATGGTCTTTGAAATTCATGGAAGTACCGCTAATTATGCCTTGACACCGAGTACAAAATGGAAAAAAAGAGAGAGAAAAAAAGAAAAAAGGAATCTACACTCATGTACCCTGTATACTAGGTATTACGGTACAAAATGTACTAAATGCGCATCCTCAATATACACTCCGTCCCCATCCTCTCCCTCCAGCCACATCACACATCCAACCTCCTCACCTATTTACTAACACCCGCTACTCCTTCGTCCTGCCCATCCTTGACATTCAAATCTTGCGAGATCTTGGAATTCCAAATCACACGATCTGCCAAATAGACCAAAGACGGAGCGCTAACGATCTCCATGATTTGCAGATAGGACTCCAGTTCACGGAAAACCTAGTTTCATACCTCGATGGCAACGAGTGAGTCTAATCTGTAAGAGGAAATCGATTTGAAAGGAACCATGAGCAAGGTCAGCATTTTGAGAGCTAGAGCATCCGTGACCAATGCTTGTGCGGCTACTCGTTTGCCAGCCTTCTTGACAGCGGTTGCAGGTGCTGGGCATCTTGCCGCTAATTGCTCCAGCCAAAAGAGCATGAAGTTCTTCTTCTTCGACCTCCTGGGTTTCAAGTGTGTCAAGGACTTCGTTTTCAGTTTCCTTTTCTCTCTGCGAGGTAACCGATTCCTTTGACGGGACCTAGGTCGATATTGGGGTAGGGATAACTAGCAGCAAGCTGCGCTCATAAATGACCTCACTGCAAGTTGCTGCATAGTCTCCACGACATTCGGCTCCTTCTTCAAACAAGGCAGTTGCTTGATGTTCTTTACACTTGCACATTCCTGTGCGGTTTCCCGGGTTGGTGCTTCTAACGCAGGGTGAGGGCCTATTTCGATTGGAGTATCCACGGGTTTGCCAGAGTGAGATTTGGCTCCTCTAAGGAGGCTGCTGAGACCCCAGACAAAATTAACGGGAGACAAGAGGTTCGAAGCCCAGTAATTTGCGTTCAGCTCAGATGACTGAATTTGATGACCACGCATAGAGGAATAGAACTTGATACTCGACTCTTGAGGGCGGATATCCCCCATCAAGGACGGGTAGGGTGCAGAAACGCTATTCATATGATAGGAGTGATATGCCACGTCAACCCTGAGTTTCTGATTGAAAAGACCCTGGTCCTCGGCCAACGTCCGCAGTTCGTCTATTGCGTGAGTGTCTCCAGAAACTGTGACGCTCGAATCGCTGTTGATGGAGGCGACGACAATAGTCCCGCTATGAACATGTTTTATCATCCTCTCTGCGCCTTCTTTGCAAGTACCTATTGCCATCCTGCTTCCCCTCACGTCTGTGGTTCTTAGTTTCTCTGCGCCTGCTCCCCGACAATATGCGATCCGCATACAGTCATCGACGTCGAACATTCCAGCGGCGAAAGGCGCAGCAATCTCACCACTGGAGTGCCCGACGACAGCGATCGGAACCATGCCCCATGATTTCAGAAGCTGCGTTAAAGATAGTTCGATCGCTGTGCATGATGACTGGCTGTAACATGGATCTGTGAGCAAGGAGGACTCTTCTTCTCTCGTTATCTCGCATAGAATGGTCAGGACACGTCCTACACAGGTTATTCGTCCTGTTCAACGGGACAACATACTGACGATGGAAAACTCCGCTCCCAGTTTCTTAATGTATTGATCTGCTCTCTCCATAGCCTTCTCAGAGATAGCATATCTTGCAAGCAGTTCCTTAAACATACCCTTCCTGGAGCCTATGGCAATCAAATGGTTGATCTCCGTCTGAAACATGCTTACAATCTAAAATATTAACCCATACTCCAATGATAGATTTTCAAAGACCAACTTGGTACGCTCATAAGCCCTCCCTGTTACTGGCTAAATAGTCCTGACATACAATTTCTAGGTCACCTAGTTGAAGAACTCCAACGTAGCAATTCAGCCAAATTCCACTTCACCCGTGGCCCAATCCTTGCGAAGCTTCCTCCACTGGATGGTTACTTCGGACCGCCGTCGAATTACCGCTTCATCCATACGCGTGATGACTTCGGAGTCAAGCTGCGAAAATTGCCCAGTATCCCCAACCGGGGACAAGCGATACATTACGTAGAACACAAGACGAAGAATAAGGCAACCGTTGCGAGCGCGGAAAGGGCCGTGGACCTTATTCTCGAACAGATCGAGCAAAAGACAAAATTGAGGGACTAATTGGACACTCAGAAGGGCCGACGGTAGCTGGCTATTGATATTCACTCGGGAAAGGTTATTGTTCCTACAGGGCTTGATGACGAGGAATATATCCCGTTCCCGACTTGTCATGTTATCGGCGCCGAGGATACATTTCTAGAGGGGTCGAAGGCATTGTATGATCTCTGCAACGTTGATACTGCCGAGTATTTTGATCGGGGTGGTAGTCATATTATCCCGAGGAATCCGACAACGTTGAGGGAACTGGGCGACATTATCCGGAATATGATTCGGGAGAGTTTGGACTGTGAGGAATGTCTTTGGCTTGTTGTATTTCGTTTTCTATCCTGTTATAGCATACATAGAACCCTTTTCGTGCAATCGTTGTACATGCTACACCGTGGGAGGTTTGATCCTAATCTTCACCATCATTGCTATGCATACCATAAACATTCCCAAGGCCTCGCAGAAGTACCTCTACAGCATATCCCCGATCACGAACTACTCCATACTCTCCATACTCCACCTGAATAACTGGGAAGGTATACCGAGGAAGCCCCAAATTCCAGAGACACTGTCAAGGGATGTCAACCCTACATCCGCAACCTATCAACCCTACTATAAGAAGGGCAACCCATCAAACACAAAAAAAAAAAGAAAAAGTGATAAAACCCGAACTTCCGAGTTCTTGACAAGTTCCTCTCCCATTTGCATACCTTCATCCCTAGATTTGGATTTCCTGGAGAGTTCTCCTTACCACATGGATTACTTCAGTTTAGGATGACAGGAAGGAAGGTTCGACTTTGACGTCTAACCGTATATGTAAAATTGACAACAAATATAAAATATAATTAATCTACTTACACTGGGATTGATAACTCTAGTGGTGATTAAATTTCCCGGGAGTACGAAGTCACGCAAGGATCGTATAGCTAGCTAACCTACGCAAGGAGAGATCACCAACCCCCAATCTCTGGATTTGACAGGTAAATATGATCGAAATACTTTACCAGCCCGTTCGTTGTCAGTCTACCCATAGTGGAGAGGTTAGTTATGTAGAAGCGTTGCTTGATAAAACTTTGTCTTTGAATTAGGGTAAGGATATCGACTACTAGAGAAATGAACTCTAGGTAAAGCGTCAGTAGAGGAAATTAATTGGCTATTTTTCCTCCCTCAGATGAATTTTTAATTGCATTTTTACTTAGCTCTGTACATTTGTTGGAAAAGTTCTTATTCCTTTATGTCCAACCTCTTCCATGACAACCTGGCAGGAAACGAAACATGCTCCCCTTACATACCAGCATAACGGCTGGAACATGCCATCACAACTAAACCTCACTCCCGGTCAATTTCCACGACAAAAAGAAAAATGAAAAAGAAAAGAAAGGGAACACTGGGACGAAGGGAGGCGGACGCAAGGAAACGGAGAAGACGGAAGTATCCGGGCGAAGTCTTCTGAAAAGGTTGACGATTACTTAATAAATAGGGTTACATCCAGCCATCGTGACCGTCATATCGCAATCGGGTTGAAAGAAGGCCCAGGAAAGACTCGGGCAAAGATGAGAAGTATTCCGGAAAGAGTCATTCGAGGAATTAACTTTTCTCATGGTAGAGGTCACATTACCACTAAACTGTGGTTGACAGGCCAATGGTCCCCCGGTTAGAAGAGGCCTAGACGACGAGCTTATTGGGGTTATACTATGGTCTAGGCACGTCTAGGCCCGTCTATCGCAAAAGTGATCTAATCAACAGAATGCGTGATTGTGAGGTTTGGACATGGGGTTTGGTGAAGGAAATGGGGAATATGGGGTTTAGTTAGGGTAGATGGCGTTCTTGTGCCCATAATGTATATGAATTTCATAGGTGTAAGTTTTGTTATTACTGTAGGGGTTTGTTTTTTTTTTTTTTAAATAAGGGAATAGATACGTAGCAGTGGTCATATCTCAATTAGTTTAGAAGGCACATATTAGGTAGGTATATTTGAAGGTCTGAACGATAGACAATTAAATCGGTGTATCCGAGATGTGATACCAATTCCTTCATGTTACCCAACGCCGTGCTAGAATTATATAACCCGATCACCAAATACAAATCCCCACTCCCCAAGAACGCCTAACGAACCGTGTTCTCAGGAGAAAACATAGAAAATATCACGTCAAGGTCTGTAATCCCCGCTTCAGAAGCCTGACTTGATCAAACGAGCTGCAGTATTCCTGAAGAGAGCTGAGCGCGTCCTTATCGAGTCCTTTGTAGCTACCCCATTGGTGGCTACTGCTAGACGCGCTCACTGGTCTCCAAGGTGAGCCCCGGTGCGAACGCGCCGGGGATTCTCGAGTAGGTTTATGTGTCGTGTCGAAGTCCGTCGCAGGAGGCAAGATTAAGGGATGGTCATGATGCGACATCGGTACTGGGAGGGTCTTTTCGGGTGGAGAGCTTGCAGCAGATTCCGGATCGTGTATGGCTATGGGGTGACTGTTCTTGGAGTAGAATAAGTTGTCTGGTGTATGAAGGTTGTTGGTCAGAGTGCCAAGCAGAGAAGACATCGCGTTTTGAACGGGAATTTGTGGAGACTAGGGCTCCAGAGGTCTTGAAGAGATTGAGTGCTATGCAAAGTATGTATTATGTGGGTATGTGTAGATAAACAAGGCAATGGGTTATGAAAGACGTCCTACATGAATGCCTTTATATAACATATTTCGAACCGTAGAGGACATTGAACCTCATATACGCCACGGGTGGCGGTCGAAAGAGGTACAGTACTTTTTAACCCCTTCAGTCCCGGTTGAATAGGAAGTCATGGATCGTATAACCGAGCCTCCACGATGTAGGTGTCATATCCCCCGTTCCACGGAACAGCATGCAGGGTGAGATGTGAGAATCCCGTCTAGGCCACATGGGGGACAGGTCACAGACAACTTTTGTTTCTTGCTCGACTCTGCGTGGCCCTGGATGGCACCCAATAAGGGATATGTTCGACTTTTAGCCTTTCCGTAGTGATATAACCTGAGAGGCACCTTCTAAGACGGGCATGAGTTACCAGTGAGACAAGTAATTCAATGTCTGTAGCTTGGAACATTCTTTCGAAGGAAACCACTTCCAGACCCGCAACAGGGTTCATGACAGCCAAATTCTGGACCCCGGAATCGAAGTCAAATCCCCCAGATGCCACCCCAACCCGCCAATTATACAGTTTTCGGTAAAACTTGGGACGTGCCGGATTCTGTTCATTGGCGCGTGCTTCTACCGAACCAACGGTTGGACTACCCGGTAATTGTTAACGGCCCGGAGATGGGCCCTAGAGTTATCAAACGTTGGGATTGATGTTACAGTCATCTGAGTCATCTCTTTCACACCATAACCCTAGACGATTGGAATATGGAATTGAATTATTAAGCATGCTTATCTAGTCACAGATTGATTATCCTGCGTGTGATCCGTTCCTTGGATGGAGGAGGTCATGCCATCTTCTGAACACATTGTTGGGATCGTAAGTCCTCTTCAGCTGCTGTAGCCGTTCTAAGTTCTCGCCGAAAAGCTTTGCAGAACTGATATTATGTCCTATTCAATGTCAATTACTGCATTTTGTTTGAAAGGCTCAACATGAGTGATCCTACTAGGAACACGTGAAGACTTGTACTGGGAACTTACCAGCATAGTTGGCATATGCGGCTACATGATTTTCGCCCTCATCACGGGATCCGCAATTCTCAATCTTAGAGATAATATCTTGCTGCTCAGTCAGCATTTTATGGTCGAGATCTGGATCCTGCCAGCAGAAGACCGAGCCAACATTGTAGTACCGGCCTCGATTAGCACAAGCCGTAGCGTCCAACGGTACTTCAAGTATGTGAGTATATGGCAGCAGCTCAAACATGAGCACACTATTCCCCACCCTTCGACAACTTTTCATTACCCTGTCGAATTGGTTGTATACGTCGTGCACAAAGTCGGGGTCAAGTGGTAGGGAAATATTGGTCCCGTTGATGTTTTTGCGGCCCTCCGGAGACGGTTCTATATTAGCCACTGCGTTGAGTCTCGTATAAGACATCATATCGGCTTTTCCCGCAACAGGGCTAGCTGATAGGAGGGGTTCGAAAAAGTCTTCTGCCTTTTCCCTGGTGCCATTGTAAAAAGGAACGACCAGTACAGCCGTCTCTGTCATAAACGGTGGGGCCGTGAACCCGAACATGAAACCGCTGTTCACATCCATGCGACGGTGAAACTCATTGGCAAAATCCACAATCTTCGGTAACTTCTCTGGTGTAAAGTACAGGGCTCCCCCGAACACATGATGTTTCATGTCATACGCACGGAAGACTAGCTCGGTCACCACGCCGAAGGCTTGTCCGGCACCTCGAACCGCCCAGAAAAGATCCGGGGAAGTAGTTTCCGACGCTTCGACGATGGACCCATCTGCGAGCACCATTTTGACACTCAGCAGGCTGTCAATAATCAGACCATACCTTCCTGTCAGCCATCCGTAACCTCCCCCCAATGTCGATCCTCCGACGCCGGCATGACTTGAAGTCGCACCTACAACCACTAAGCCATAGGGAGCCGTAGAGCTGTTGACATCCTGCCAAGTTGCGCCACCTTGTACACAAACTGTCTTTGAAGCAGGGTCTGTGAGGACCTTCCGCATCTGAGAAAGACTGATTACAATACCACCATGCGATGCTGAGGATCCAGTGGTGGAATGTCCCCCGGCTTCTACAACGAAAGAGATACGATGCTTTCGGGCAAACTCAATCACTTCAGAGACCTCGGACGTGGTGGTGACTTTAACTACTGCGCCCTGTGGTACTGTTAGAGACATATTCTGTGGGTAATGAGCCAAAGCTTTGCAAGAATGTTAAGGGAGATGGAGGGCGTTATGAGCTGGGGCCTCTCTGGTATGTCCCGGTAAGTATCAAAGCCACACGTACAGCTTCTTTCTCGCACGTATCACTCCATCGCTTAATGCTCTCAGCATACTCGTCCGAACCGGCGCATATCACCCTAGCCCGGGTGCCTTCCAGCTGTTGCTGGAGTTCAAGGATATGGGCGTACGATAGAAATGGCATATTTTAATTCCAGGATATGTCCGTTCGCTCTTCAAGCTATACGTATGTGGCTAGATGCGCCTTGAGAATACATCGATCGATAGTGCGATCAGTTAATAGTCAGGCAGGAAGTCGTCTGACGAGCCTGTACGTAGAGTAGAGTTCAAGAAAGTTGGTGACATATTAGTTACAAATATTGGCCCAGGACAACTCTAGTTATATTCACTACGGTAAAACTTAATCATATGACCTTTTATAGTTTCTGCGTCAAGAGTGCAATAGATCACTGGTACCTTTCCAGATTGCATTCAGAAGCAAGCTCAAGGATCCAGCATCCTGTGATGGAGGAACAAAAGTCAAGGTTTAAACCATCGAAAGTCACGTTACGTATTTATGCACCGTGAGGACGATCCATCCGAATTAAATGCATCCGATGGGCCAACGTTCAAGCCTCACAAAGCGATCCATGCTCATATCAGAAGATAACACAGCACACTCTAGACATCGCATGAGGATTCTTTTATATATGGGGAAATTAATGTAACACAGACTCTCCTCCAAGATTACACACGGCTTAACGCGGTTGGTATCGAATATCTCCGACTGGATGGGGAAGGGCTGACGGCCTGGTTCCATGGTTGAGGATACTGTCGTTTCCAATGGCACGACAGACCGACGGTTAGCTGACAATCCTTTATAAAACAGCTGATCCTTTTTACTCAACTCCCTCTAGTCTAATTATAGAGGATCCACAATATATCTATCGATTACTTAAGTCTCACATCGAATATGCCTGATTGGAAGACGGAGTCAACGTCGGAGGAGGACGTCAAAAATACAAATAATGACGGCTTAGCGTTTCAAGTATTGCTGGTAGTGTGTTTAACCGTATACGTCGTGACTGCCATATGGTAAGGACCGCTTTTAGTCCTGGCTCTGGATGCAAATGTTGTCTTGCTGCGACTGATATAACAAATCTGACCATGAGAGCAGGTTGCTACTAAGATCCTATTGTCTCGCATACTCGAGTCTAGCCTTCGGAACCACTGATCCCGCAATAGCACATGTACCTCCCCAGGACAACATGGAAAGACGATTAGACTGTCTGGAAAGAGTTGCCCCAACCAAGCCCTTCAAAATCTGGTGGTTGTCTGTTCAAACGATACGATCTCCGCTAAAGCAATCGGATCATGTATTCACATGGTAGGACTTTCTAACCCTGAAAGCTCCATTGCTGCTGGTTTGCTAGGTCAACCGTCAGACAGTATACTGACTGATATGTCGATTTAGTTCTATTTGTCTTGATAAGGTCCGCAAGAAGGACCCGATCCACACTCTTCAATGCCACCACGTGTTTCACCGAGAGTGCCTAGAGAATTGGTTCTTGGGGTTTCATAACCAGTGTCCAATGTGTAAAAAGCCTTTCTTCGAAGAGCTTGATATGAGCCCGGAATGTGCAGTGTAGGTCAGCTCGAAAGTTCAGGATTGATTCAAACATGAGTGTTCGGCATAGCAAAGCATGATACGTTCTTGATCAAGATTCATTTGGCGTTGTTTCATCCAATAGGAAGCACCTACCATGGACTTCTTTCTTGATGGTTTCTAAAAGTGGAGTTGAGTAGTGATTCGTGCGTTTTTACGGCCAGCAAACATCGATTAAAGACCCCCCCCCCCCCAATCAAAGTAAATTCGTCAAAGGCAAGTCTGAAAGTTCCCCGGATCTAGAATTGTGGGGGTGGCAAAGGACTGACTAGAATTCCTGTAAGACGTAACGTCGCGATGACGGTGGTGTAGTCATGGTTACTCACGGAAGATGCGGATCGATGGATCGCGGTTATTAATCCATGACAACGTGGCTCTAGAACAGGCTGGCAATTCTGTAATGAGATTCTTGGTTTATGTAAATTTCTCAATGTCCATCCAAGTTGGCGGGTTCAGATAGCCCGAAAGAGATGGCTTGTCGTACGTAGGTCAATCATTCAATATAGACATCTCAGGACTAAGATCTCTCTCAATCACTGGTCCTTTTTCATTCTTAATATGAATGTTCATTTTCCGTCATGAGCACGAGTTCTGTATAGAATTCTAAACCTCGGAGCGAATGCAAGCATCTCGAGTCACGGCATATACACTGCTGCCTCAGGCTACAAAGCAACACGTGAGGACGAGGCGTGAAAGACACCTCAGGCCAAAACGCTAACAGCGGATTCCGGCCGGAGATCTCGAACCATCACCGCTTCACGATCACTGCCAGTGTCTCGTTCCTCTCCAAACCCGTTCAGGCCTCCCTTCGACACCCAATGGCATCGACAATGAGACCTCTCGTTCAAATGGTCGGACGAGCCTCGCGCTCCACAATCCCCACCCTCCGATCAATCCCATCGCAAAACGCTTTCCTTTCTCTCCGGACAAAACTAACCCAGGCCGCCTACACTCAAACTCTCAGACACAATGGCCTCTCCTCTCAGCGCTCCTTCAGTACGACTACCGTCCGCGCTCGGGCACGCACAATGGGCCAGCTCAAGGCCCGGAATTCCACCGGTCCATTCTCGTGGAAATCGGCGCTGCTCTTCGTCATTACCGGTGCGGGCATGATCGTTTATTTCCGGGTGGAGAAGGAACGGTTGGCGCGAAAGCGGATCGCAGAGATGAGCAAGGGAGTCGGCCGGCCGAAAGTTGGAGGTCCATTTGTGTTGAAGGACTTGGACGGCAAACAGTTTACCGACGAGGACTTGAAGGGAAAATACAGCTTTGTATGTTCAATGTCTGGGGACAACGTTCTATACGCCCGTTATGGCGCTGATTATAATCTGTTAGGTTTACTTCGGCTTCACGCACTGCCCTGATATCTGCCCCGACGAATTGGACAAGATGGCCGAGATCATTGACAAGGTGAAGGAGGCTACCAAGGGCGAGAACATCTTCTTGCCTGTCTTTGTTACATGCGATCCCGCTCGCGATACCCCCGAAGTGCTGCGCTCGTATCTCCAGGAGTTCCACGGAGATATTATCGGCTTGACTGGCACGTACGACCAAGTCAAGAACATGTGCAAGCAGTACCGGGTGTACTTCAGCACACCGCAGAACGTGAACCCAGGCGAAGACTATCTGGTGGACCACAGTATCTACTTCTACCTGATGGGTGAGTGATGTCGTCTGTATAGTATACCGTACGATTGCTAATTCTATTGGTACAGACCCCGAGGGCGACTTCGTCGAATGCATTGGCCGCCAGGACACCCCCGACTCGGCCACCAAGGTGATCATGGAGCATATCAACGACTGGAAGCGCGAAGGCAAGCCATTGAGAAAGGACTAGAGTGTACGAATAGCATGGAAAAGTATGTACAATAGAAATACCCTACTCAGACAAGGGTCGATAGCATGTAGCATTATATGACCGTCCGTAAACATCGTGAAAATATAGCCATCTAGAGCCAATCAGCACACTGGTCCCATCACTCTCTCATCCCCACCACAACTCACCATATACATATTCATGGATAATAAACCAACCAAGAAAAATTCTGTCACTTCCCAACAACCACCTTATTCCCATCCCCATCCCTCTCCCGATTCTCCCTCCACTCCATCGCCCCATCTACAAACTCCTCCCTCTTCCAAATCTCCGCCTTCTCCTTACAAATCTCCAACACCTCCTCCCCAGCCCTCCACGCCGCCCGCCGATGCCCCGAACTAACCGCAATAACAATACTCGCCTCCCGAATCGGCACAACCCCCAACCGATGCGCAATCACAATCCCCGTCAGCCCATGTTTCGCGACCGCGTCCCGTGCAATCCCGGCTAGCGTCTTGAGCGTCAGGGGCGGGTACGCCGTGTAACTCAGCTGTGCGACGGGCCGGTCCTCAAAGGTGTTTCTCGTTGTGCCGAGGAAGAGGACGTTTGCGCCAGCGGCCGGGGAGGAGATTTTGTCCAGGGCGGATTGCGCGTCGAGCGGGGAGTAGGTGAGCTCGAGGTGGATGTTTTGGGCTGGGTCGGTTAGGTGGCGGGGGTAGGTTTTTGGGTCGAGGTGGGCGGGAGTTATTCCGTCGGAGGGGGAGGAGGTCATTTTGAGGGTAGATTGGTTGGTTGGTCGTTTGGTTGGTTAGGAATGTTGTGTATATGTATGAATCTGTTGGAGAGAAATTGCCGGGCGGTTTTTGTTGCGTGGTTACGTCATAGAGGTGGTTCCTGGACTGTGTGGGGAAGAGGTGTGGCTTGGTGAGGGAGGGTCGGTGGTGTGGTTTCTGGTTTGGAGGGATCTTTCGAGGTAGGTGTTCTTTATAAAGGTTTTGTTTGGTGTTGATATCGGAGGAATGACTGGAGTGAGGGGAATCGTGCTCGAGTGAGTGCCTGAGGCCGTTGAGGTCTTATCGGTGCTGTGGGGTAAAGTGGGACCGTATATAACTTTAGGATATCAAATCAAGGCACTGAGGGTTTCTATTACCTATTTCGTCTCGTAACTCGAACTTCGATGGTTCTCGACTTGACTATACCTTGACACACTGAACAAATAACATATGAAGAGAGCTGCTTGTGGGATACAGCACTCACATACTGAAGTTTAAGTTACATCTACATACTCCTCACAGTATTATGCTACACTATGTGCGCGAACCGTTAAACTTGGGATATCACCACGGTATTGCATCCAATAACTAAAGAGAAGCATTCATACACTGGGCAGATACACTTCGGGAGATGGCTGCAACAAGGCTGATTCGAACAACTCCTTCCCAGGCTTGTCGTGCAGCGCAGCAATCCACATAAATGACTCCATGATATCCCTCATAGCCAACCACGAGCGCACCTTGCAAAGTTGGCTATTAGCCCGCAACCAAGGCTTCAGCCACTCATCGTCAGAAGCACCGAAAACTGAGACTCCACCAACCATTAAGAGCCAAAGCACGATATGAGATGAAACACCTTCTAAAGACTTGAGAGATACAAGACAGTCTTTGTAAGCAGCAGAGAATTGAGTATACGGCCGTCGAATATCCTGCCACTGCAAGAAGATATGGGAGGAGAAGGCCAAAAGCCCGAGACGGAGAGCTTCAGCAATCGAACCCGTTTCAAACTTTATATCGAATAGGCGGTACATCACTGAAGTCATTGTCTCCATGAAGAACTCCATAGAAAATCTTTGTTGCTTTTCGATGGCTTTATTCACGAGGACACAAAATCTCCTCATAATGCTCCATGTTCTAGCTAGATCATCGTCTATGCTTTGGAGGAATTGTTCGTTAGCGTGCCCACTCAGAGGTGGTGTCGTCAGGATCGAAAGCCGTAGAGTGTCATCAAAGAAGAGAGGGCTTGTACAGCTCTGAAGGGCAACTGATAAATCGGATCTATGTCTAGATTAGCGGACTTTATTCTTCGCTTGTTTTATGGTGGTCAATTTGCGAAAAGGCATACCGGTACATTTCGGTCTTCAGATTCACATCGTAGGTATAGGTGTCCATGCCACCTCGCAGACCCACAATCTTATGAAGGCCCCTGAGGTGATGCTTGGCAGCGTCAAAATCCTCCCTAACAAGCGCGTGTGTCGTTAGGAATAGAACCACCATTATCGTAGCATCCGACGTTTTTAATTGCTCGTCTGGCAGGGACAGCCTCTCGCGGAGGAGTCGAAGTGTCTTCAAGAAGTGTAATGAGGCTGTCTTGTTTGTCTTAAATTGCCAATCCGACAATCCATCGAAGAAGTCCTGCGTTATGAAAGCCATGCCATGGAGGTAGATAGGATCCGCAATCAACAGATCGCGCCACTGGTCACTTTTCTTCGGAAAGGAAAGATATCTCTCCAGGGTGAATAAGGCTCTCTTCGACATAGCCGAAACTGTATTTACATCGGTAAGAATACACTTAGTAGGGGTTTACCATATCTGCAGGATTGACTTACATCTTACGATATCCACAGCCAACGCTGGTTCCACTGTGTCCGCAAATTGTAGCAGGGAGACCTCCGAGCCAACCCGTTGCGGAATGATAGAAGGCGGCCTCTTAGCCAATGAGCCAGGCTGCTTCCGCAAAATTCTAGGCTTTTCATTACAAGTCTCATCGTGCTCCAACGCCGCTCGGTCATCGCGCACCGAACGTCGGGATTTGCCCTGATTCTTTCCTAGCATGACATAGCTCCTGATAAGCTTGCGCGTATCTGGGTCTGGCTTCCCTGTGCCTGTGGATATGATGATCGGTAGCATCGCTACCCAAATAGTGAGAGTATGCCCCCGGAGTTAAACAATCTTGACAGTTGATGAATGACGGACGACGGACTTACCTGATCCACCTTCAAGAGACATGCCTAAGCAAGAAGTGACATGAGAAGTCAAGAGAGCATGAGTCAATCTTGAATAACGCGTTGCTGGGCTTCTTCTTCCTAGATTAATTACCTAGTTAAGGATACAGTCCGAAAGAGAGTTAAGTCCGCTTACAGCCATCTTTGAAGCGCGCCTCTTGGAGCTGACGATTCATTCAACTGACGGGCATCACACCGATTGGTTGAACGATTGTTCCCCTATTCGGGAATAGCGGTTCGTCGCAGAATGAATCCTATTGGCTGTTACAGCTATCACCAGGGTCACTAACCGTTTTGGGAGAAAAGAGTATATCGCAATTCCTCCAGCGTCAGAGGTAGCAATGTCCATGGCATGGGCCTTGAACTGGCATATATAAAGTCTTCCAAGATCAGAGAAATGCTATTGCTTACAATCTCAGGTTTACACAACGCACAACAACCACCAAACCTACACGCAAATCTCCAAGACATACCTCAATTCCACGAGTGTTGAAAGCCAGTATAAGACAAAAGGGCTACTTCATGATGACTCCTTCGAGAGATCTACCACCCTACACCAGTCCATTCTACCCTAATATCTATCTCAAGTCTCAGCTGTGTACCAAGGCCCAATGGCCGCCGAAAGACACCACACTTATTGATAAAGTCGCTATCGTAACGGGAGCCAATACCGGCTTGGGTTTGGAAAGCTCTCGTCAACTCCTATCATACAATCTCTCCCATTTAATCATCGCCGTTCGTTCAGTTGCGAAAGGTCAGGAAGCAGCCGCTACACTCCGGAAGGAGTATTCCAAGGCCACCATCGAAGTCTGGCAACTAGACATGAGCTCTTACGATTCTATCCGCGCCTTTGCTCGCCGCACCGAAAGCCAGCTATTTCGTCTCGACATAATCATTCTCAATGCCGGATTGCAAAAGCCACATTTTGGAGTTGATCCGAGCACCGGCCATGAGGAGGTCGTCCAAGTAAATTACCTGTCGACGGTACTCCTTTCTATTCTTCTCCTCCCTGTTCTCAAGAACAAGGCACCTGCTGGTACACCCGGCCGACTGAGCATCGTCAATTCGGGCACTGCTCTCTCTGCGAGCTTCCCGCACGGAAATTTTTCTCCACTCCTACCTTCGTACGACGACCCGAAGAATTTCGACTGGACCGAGCAATATAGTTCATCCAAACTACTCGGACACATGTTCATGTGGAAGCTCGCCGACTACGTATCTGTGGATGACGTAGTGGTGAATCTGGTCGATCCAGGCTTTACCAAGGGCACTCAGCTCCAGCGTGGAGTTTCAGGTGTTGTATCACTATTCATGTCCCTTGCGAAGGTGGCCACTGCTCGGACTGTCAGGGATGGAGCTTCCACATATCTTGACGCAACAGTGGTAAAGGGCAAGGAGTCCCACGGCTGCTTTCTTATGGACTGGCAGATTCGACCGTGAGTATACTGCATCGCCTATGCGTCATCACTTGCTAATATATGCTTCTCAGGTTTGCTGCCGTCCTATATACGCCCGAAGGAAAGCAAGCCATTGAAAGGCTGTGGGACGAAACAATGACCGAACTGAAATTTGCCGATGTTCAAGGTATTCTTCGGTCTATGAACAGGACGTGACCAGTAGTCACTAGAAGGTCAAGTACAGGTCACTGTTGGATAGTGTACGGCTATCGTCGGAGTACCATGTTTTATGCTGGAGTTGTCGCACCTATTCTGATATTTCTTACTGGTTTTGACATACGTCATTAAATCTAATATATGCAGCACAAATTAAACACAAGTGAGCGTCGCACGCACTCGAAACACGCAAGAAGTAGCAGCTCCATTGATTGATCGACCATCGGCCACGGATCCGCCGAAAGCTCTCCGTGTCGTATCATCATTCGATCAACCTACGAGTGGAACCAGTCTGCTATCAAGTTTCACTGGCTGCTAAAACTTGGTCAGACCCTCAATTCATAAGATCCCCCTGGTGAGCTATAGTTTAGAATGAAAGTCTATAGGCCCGCCATGCACCCACCGATAATTTCTCCGCTCGATGAAGGAGCTGCCCCGCGGTGGGTGTTTATCGGATAACAAGCTGCCCCTCCCAACAATAACAACAAAACATATAGATTAACTGAGGCCTCCCCTCATTCTCCTGTAAATTCAAGTTACTCTAGGAAATCATATACTGCCTAGACGATAAACCATGGCCAAACCCGCCAACCAGATCCACCGCGCCTGGTGGAAGGAAAGCTCCGTATATCAGATCTGGCCCTGCTCCTTCAAGGACTCCAACGATGACGGTATCGGTGATATTCCTGGCATTGTTTCGAAGCTCGATCACATCAAGAACCTCGGGATTGATATTGTTTGGCTCTGTCCCTCGTATAAGTCGCCCCAGGTTGACATGGGATACGATATCGCTGATTATTACGACATTGCCCCTGAATACGGCACGGTCGCAGATGTGGAAAAGTTGATCAAGGGCTGCCATGAGCGGGGCATGAAGCTCCTCATGGATCTGGTAGTGAATCACACCAGTGACCAACATGAGTGGTTCAAGCAGTCGCGCAGCTCGAAGGATAACGAGTATCGGAATTGGTACGTCTGGAAGCCGGCCAGGTATGATGAGCAGGGAAATCGCCAGCCGCCGAACAATTGGGTGTCACATTTCCAAGGTAGGTTTGTCCCTCGATATATTATGCATATCTCTGGTAGTTGGTAGCGACTGTGGGCTGATTGCGATCGCAGGGAGCGCGTGGGAGTGGGATGAACATACGCAGGAATACTATCTTCACCTGTACGCAACAGAACAGCCGGATCTCAACTGGGAACATCCGCCGGTTCGTAAGGCCGTCCATGATATTATGCGCTTTTGGCTGGACAAAGGCGCCAATGGGTTCCGTATGGACGTGATCAACTTCATCAGCAAGGATCAGCGTTTCCCAGATGCCCCGATCAAGGACCCACGTACCCCTTGGCAATGGGGTGACAAGTACTATGCTAATGGTCCTCGGTTGCATGAATACTTCCAGGAGCTTGGTAAGATCCTGAAGGAGTACGATACGTTCAGTGTGGGTGAGATGCCTTTCGTGAAGGATACGGAAGAGGTCCTCCGGGCAGTGAAGTATGACCGGAATGAGCTCAACATGATCTTTAACTTTGAGCATGTCGACATTGATCATGGCAAATACGACAAGTTCGAGCCGGGCAGTTGGAAGCTTACCGACTTGAAATCTTTCTTTGAGACTTGGCAGAAGTTCATGTATGATAATGATGGCTGGAACGCCCTGTACTGGGAGAACCACGACCAGCCGCGGTCAGTCGATCGTTACACGAATGCAAAGGAGGAAGACCGAGTCATTGCATCCAAGATGCTGGCCACGATCTTGGCATTGAAAGCTGGATCGCCTTTTGTATACCAGGGTCAGGAGATTGGCATGGGGAACGTGCCTCTCGAATGGGACATTGAAGAGTACAAGGATATCGACTGCCTCAACCACTGGAAGAGGTAGGCATTCTATTTCCGCTCCCCTTTCTAAACCTCGGAGACCATATACTAACACTAGTCTTACACAGGCTACCAAACGACCCTGAAGTGCAAAAGATTGCCCGACAGGAATACCAGAAGAAATCCCGCGACAACGGTCGTACCCCAGTTCAATGGACGAATGCACCACACGCCGGGTTCACTGGCCCCAACGTCAAGCCCTGGATGTCTGTCAACCCGAACTACGCTCGCGGCATTAACGCCGAGGCCCAGGTCAACGACCCCAACTCTACCTACAGCTACTGGGCATCAGTGCTCGGACTCCGCAAGAAATACGTGGACATCTTTGTGTATGGAAACTACGAGCTGGTCGACCGGGATAGCCAGGAGATCTTTGCTTATACCCGCCAGTATGAAGACCAGAAGGCGCTGGTGTTGGCCAACTGGACTGACGGCACATTGGAATGGGATTCTTCTTCGAATGGCGTGAAGGCGGTTAAGGATGTGTTGCTGAACACGTATGACAGCGCCAGCGACGTGAAGGAGAGGTTTTCTGGTTCCAAGTGGTCTCTTCGTCCATACGAGGCTGTGGTGCTGCTTATTGATGCCTAAGTAGACCTGTCAGTTCTAGAATATCCACCCATTTAATATAAATCCATATTTATGGATTCTGTGAATAGAGGGAGAAATACGGACAGTACCAAAAGTCGTTGCGCGGCGCTAGTAATATAGGACCCACTCTCTACCGCCGAGAAATTTCCTAGGTGACGTGACGTGTCTCTGTTGTTGGTCAAAACATAGCTTTCTACATCTCATTATTTGAGATTTATTTTCTATTTGTTAGTGATTTGGCCCCTGCCTACCTGCCTGCTTGCATAACCACCTAGTATCTGCCTATCTAGGACCTCCGGGGCCATGGCATTCATCCCAATTGAAACAAGGATTCAAGCTCTATCTCTCGCAGCCTGGGGAATCCCTAATAAAGATATTGCTGCATACCTAGGACTTCCACAGCGGACTGTCCAGGACATCTATAACCGTGCAAAGGCCAGAGGGTTCGACCCCACGCAGGATCCAAGGATCAAATTGGAATTCGTCCAAGACGCTAAACGATCTGGACGGCCTAAGATCACCGAAGAAGTCGAAAATTCCGTTCTTCAATCAGTTACCAAGGATGGAGCCGGTAGAGAGAAATCGGCCAAGGCCTTAGCTAATGAACTTGGTATATCTCGTTCCTCTGTGTTGCGTATATTAAAGCGTCATGGGTATGTTATCGCAAAGCCTTGGAAACCTGGACTTATTCCGTACTGACGCTGCAAAGGCTAAGCGCCGGAAGTTCTGCCTAGTTTCTAAGGCATTTTTGAACTTGGAGTATGTGAACGTCCGAAAACGGAAGCGCATAGACCAGTTGCCGAATCCGGTGCGGGTGTCTGCTCTCTTAGCCTCTGATTGGCCAGAACCAGCACCATTTCCCTTTCCGGACCGTCCGATGCTATTTTCGGTCATCGCGAAACCAGGGACGCAAAGTCCCAGGTTCAACGCCGTCTCAACACTCTCAACTTCATGCCGTTCCCGGAAATGCTGAATAAATCAATCAAGCCTCAAGCATGCGGACTTGTGACTATTCCCGCCACCCTGGTGGTGAGAAAATCCACCTCACCAGCAAAGCGACAGCGATCCAAATGCAACATGCACCTGAATGAATTGACCGCATCCTACTAGAGACTCACAGTCGAGCTGCTGGGCCTTACCAGGTCCTAATCTTTGTGAAAATGACTTTCGTTATGAGCCGGTGGAACACAAAGACCATCATCAAACTAGTTGTTGCAGCTTGCTGCAGCTACTTTATCTTCAGTATACTCTTAGCCGATCGAGAGGCATACTACTCGACGACTAGGAATGTGATTCGCGCGGGACAGCACCATCTTACGGAGGAGACGACGTTTGATCATATCAATAATGAGACTCTCGGAGTGAGGTTGTCTGCGCCCGTTTGGTTTATGATGTTCTAATGTCCCATAGTTTCAACATATCTATGCCATTGGCATGAAAGAGCGTACTGATAAACGTGACTATCTCACACTGGCTGCTTCATTTCTCGGGATCCAGGTCGATTGGAGAGACGGCGTGTATCCGGACAATGTTTCTGAGAAGTCTTACCCATTGGTTCGTCTACTTCATTTCTCGCAGGGGTCTTTTACTAATAGTTGAGACAGAAACTGGGTGAGTCAGGTGTGAAGCCCGCCGCCATAGGCTGTTGGCGCGCTCATATGAACACTCTGATCGAGTACGTCCTAACACCAATAACTGACTAGCAACACTATGCTAACGACGGATCCACCAATAGTATCGTCGAAAATCGCTACACCACGGCACTTATCCTAGAAGACGACGCCGACTGGGACGTATCACTCCGGCAGCAGCTCGCCGAGTTCGCGCGAGGCGTGCGTACCTTGACTAACAACCAGCATGAATCCAAGAAAGCGCCGTACGGGACGAACTGGGACATTCTCTGGGTTGGGGGCTGTGCATCGGGCGCACACCAGAACGAAACCGACTTCTATGTCATCCCCAATGACCCCACGGTCCCAAATACCACGATTCGGGGGCCTTGGGAATCTCCAGCAGGACCGTCTATCAAATGGAGACAGGAGCATCCCGAGTGGCCGGTAGACTCCACGCGGTACATCTATCGTGCCAACATGGGTTGCTGCACGTTCGGATATGCTGTGACTTTGGATGGTGCAAGAAGGATTCTGGCCGAGCTTTCCCTCAATTATCTGAACCAGCCCGTGGACAACGCTATGAGTAACTTGTGCGCGGGTAGCAATCGCCCCCAGTTGCGCTGTTATGCGCCTTTCCCTAATTTGATTGGGACCTTCAGATCAGAGGGTTATGTCTCACGAGATTCCGATATTGATCAGTGGGAAGACAGGAAATTCGAGTGGCATCCGTCATTCGCATATAATATGGTCTACAGTACTAGATTGAATATCCACCGCCTGGTCGCGGGCGAGGAGACGGTCTACTCCCAATGGAAGGAGTCGCCTGACCCGTGGTCGAAGGCTGAGGTTAAATTGGGGGAGCTTGAGTATCCAAGAGGTGTGCTGGTTTCTTAACAATCATACATACGACCTGTCAAAGTTTGAAGATATTATACCAATTTTGTTTAGCACCATCCGAGAGTTTGGGGATTTGTTTGATTATTGAATTTAATATGGCGTCTATTTGAGAATTCTATTGATCAGGGTTTCCAAGAGATTGCGACGTAGGAACACAGGGCTTCCTTTATGACGACCTGATTGAATAACAGATTGCGTGTAGTTCTCCCACCCGTAGTTCAACATTTCCGTGAGGTAGCATCGTGCCTATACGCAGGTGGAGCCCAATGTTACTACATTTCCGAATGCGGATTCCATGCCTTCCAGGAGCAAATGCGGACCAGAAAAGAATGCCAGCGGGGCATGCTGTCTGTAACTTCTCCCAAGGATCTCAGAAGACAATGTCTGAAAGTGAACAGAATCCGTTGTCATCTTCAAACGACTTACAACAGCATCCTGACGCACAAACCTGATTGAGCTCTATTCGTTATAAGGCATTTTTACATCTGGTCAGGTCATCGAAAGCATCCGCATAATATCCATACGAACATCTAGACGCACAGAGCGGCTAGCCAAACCATGGTCTATTAGATCAGTGAAAACAGGAACCGAGCTTGTCCCCTGACCAGAGCGGCGGCCCTGAGGTAGCATTGGGGTCCATTCATAATCAAGCCATACACGCCCCCCCCCCCCGTGTTCTCGACAAGTGGTGATGTATGCGCTGTAACTTCGTTCATCTCAAAGTTCACTGCCCCAGTAGATTTAATTATATATCCATTGCACGCCTTTACCTTTGCTTCTAAAGCTGCATGTATCTTTAGAATACATAAACACTAAACATGCGGTCTACATTAAGCATGACCTACACATCAGAAAAGCCAGAGGACCCTGAACGCGGGCTATTGATCAAGTCACCGGTGAATTATGAAACAGATGAGAAGATCGAATACGCCAGTGATCATGAATCCGAGGCATCTACAGAGAGATTGATCCCAGGGCCTAGCTTCTTTATCTGGACTGGGATCAACATCCTCTCAACCGTTGCCATCGTAAGCCCAATCAATCCCAACCACATCTATCGCCAAATATCAAACACTGACCCACATACTCGAACAGGTCTTCACCAACAAATCCATCCTCTCAGACCCCTCATTCCGCAACTGCCAAGTATCATTCGCAGCATATCACTTCTTTGTCACAGGCGCGACATTATGGGCCGCGTCGCGTCCCTGGTGTGGCTTCTTTGTCCCCAAAAGCGTAGCAATCATCCAGATGCTCCCCCTCGCCGCAGCAATGTGTATCCAAGTGATCCTCCAAAACCTAGGACTCGCACACTCCTCCGTCATGTTCCACCAACTGGCCCGGCTACTCCTCACCCCGGTAACCGCTTTACTCAACTATTTGCTCTACGGGGCTAGAATCCCCCGAGCAGCCATCCTCCCACTCATGCTCCTCTGCGCCGGCGTAGGAATGGTCTCATACTACGATTCCCTCCCCACAACCGACGGCAAAGTCACCACTTCGCTCTCGGGCATCATGTTCGCATTCTCCGGCGTGGGTGCAAGCGCAATCTACACCGTGTGGATCGGACACTACCACAAGAAACTAGAAATGAGCAGCATGCAACTGCTGCTCAACCAAGCACCCGTCAGCGCGGGATTGCTCCTCTGCACAATCCCCTGGATCGAGACCCCGCCGACGGTCTCGTTTGTGCCGGCGTCAACATGGGCTCTTATCTTGATGGTAGGTGTTCCTATGGATTTATAACTACAGATCTTTATCTTCGGTACTTGTCCGCTGACATGACTTACTAACTCTCAGAGCGGCATTTTTGCTTGTCTGGTCAATCTCTCCGGTTTCTACATTATCGATGCTGCAGGACCGGTAAGCAGTACCGTCATCGGGCAATTGAAGACTTGCATTATTGTGGGCCTGGGATGGGCTTCCAGCCGCCATATCATCATGGGTCAGAGTGTTTTGGGAATCTTTATGGCGTTGGTCGGCATGAGCATGTGAGTTGTGCTTCTTTTTTATTGATGGTCTTGTATGCGGCTTAGGCTAATTAGGGGTTTTCCAGGTACATGAATATTGTTCTGCGGAATCAGAGCAAAGCTTGATTCGAGATATGGATCTAGGGAAATTGACTTGTTCACGTTGTGGTTACATGGTATGGAAACTCTGGGGTTATGGTTTGTGATAACAGGACTATGGGCATGGCATTTTGCATGATTGAAATTGAATTGATGAAAAATTGCATCGTCCATATTCATGCTCATAAATTCCTAGTTTACACAATTTTTTATTGCATCCTTCACCGAATACTCATTACCAAAACCCTTAGCGCCTGCAGAGATACTACTACTAGTAGTAGAGAGGTCCGTTAGATACAATCTTATCCCGCATACACTAGCGGCCAGGATATAATCACAACGCATTGCACAAAAGTCAGCACTAGCAAGAGAATGACATTACCCGGCTGAAAGTCGGAGCTATCGTGCTGACTTGAAGTAGTATTTAGGGGTCATTGGGGGCTATTCGGCTAGTGAGCCTCGCGGGTGAACCCGAGATCCAGTGGACCACCACTGTCATGTCTAGTCGGCTATAAGCGATATCACCAGCATTGGTTCTATGTTTTGGGGGTAACTCATTTAGCTCAGGGACGCTAAATGCTGACTCGTGGTCTGTGTTGTTCAAAATCGGGAATGGGAAGTCTGACTCGTGAGATTTTAGTTTGCCCTAGTCTTATGCAAGGTAGGTGGTCCTATTCCTGAAATCTGCAAGGAACGGGGGCCAATATTCCTGCCACCGACTAGTAGGCGAGACTGAAAAGATGTATACCAGTGTATCGACCAGAGCAGAGGCTTAGTTGGGGCCATAATTAATCTATCATAGACAGCGTGACAGGGATCTGTCAGCACTAAAACATTGCCCTAAAATCCCTGCAGCATGACTCGGCAGTAGTGATAGTCGCAGCAGATGTTGGTCGCATGGCCTTGGTGCAAGTGATTCGAGCTATAGCTGCATCAGATACTATACAGACATAGGCTTGAGCCAATAGAGGTGGTTACTGGTTTTGTTCATTCGCGTGGAATGAGCGTCCGCAGCGTCATTGCTTATTCCCGCCCTCTCCTGGGGGTGAGATCGGGTTTCGGGTTATGCTGAGACTCAACTCACCTGGATAGTGATATTCATACTGCTCATTGCTGATATAAATACATAAATGGAATGTGAAGCAAAAGCAATCATCCAGACATCGACATCTCCAAGATACCCAGTCTGAGGACATCCGTTCATTGTCTATAAGACACACGTTCATTATCGACACGATACCTAATGTTTATGAGATACCCATCGTCCATCATGTTCGCGTTGCTATTTCTTCTTCTTGGGGCGATCTGCCCTACCCTTGCTCATCCTGTGCCTAGAGCTACTCTGAATAGACTGTATCGCAGAGGTAACTAAACAGTCCTGTTTCTCTGAGGCTTGGCCGAAATGTTAATTGGTCGACTATAGATATCTCTCCATCTCTTGTGACGGAGTTCACCCGCTTCTCGCAATTCGCAGCTTCGGCCAATTGTCAAGGGAACCATAATGGCTCCTCTACGGGGTCGTCAGTCTATTGCGATTCGGGGTATTGCAACACCCTCCGCAAAGCAAGTACTCAGATCATTGATGGATTTGAGGAGTAAGTCCCGACATCCCCTTTTGCATGTCAACAGCGGGAGGGAGACAGAGTAGCTAATACATTGGACGATAGGATCAAGCCTGGTGGTACCACCGGATATCTCGCTCTGGACAAAACGAACAAATACATCGTCTTGACCTTCCGTGGGACTGTCTCCGCGGAGAACCGCAATGCTGACTTGGACTTCCAACAACTTGACGTATCGACTCTCTGCGAAGGATGTAAAGCACACCATGGTTTCTGGGCAGCCTCAGAGGGCGCTATGGACGTTCTCCTGCCCAAGGTTGAGGAGGCATTGAGAGCGAACCCGGACTATAGGATCGTCCTGACTGGACACAGTCTTGGTGGCGCCCTTGCTACCCTTGGAGCTGTTACCTTGCGAAATGCTGGACATACTGTCGACTTAGTAAGTGATCCCCATCACCAGATAATAAAGTATGAATGCTAACAAGGATCAGTATTCCTTCGGTGCCCCATCCGTCGGAAATAAGGCGTTCGCAGAGTACATCACCAAGTCCACTGCCGGCAAGAACTATCGCATCACACACAGCAACGACGAAGTACCCAAGGTCCTCTTCCGGTCGTCCCGGCGCTGGCCACTTGACTCTCTGGTCCCTGAGTATAGTCAGTCTTCGCCGGAATACTGGATCACGTCGGCGAATGGAGTGTCGGCGACCAAGTCTAGTATTCGGGTGATCGAGGGAGTCAACAATGAAGCTGGTAACTTGGGCACCACGGAAGTCACCATGGATCCACATGGGTGGTACTTGGGAGATATGAGCGTGTGTGCCCAAACCTGGAAGGATTGGGAGTAAACAAGGTTGTATATCGCATCACTAGGGACTTTTATCAAGTCGGAGTTGGGTATAGCCATTACGGCGCAACAGGGGCGGATACCATTCTTCTTTTTTTTTTTTTTTTTTTTTTTTTTTTTTTTTTTTTTTTTTTTTTTTTTTTTTTTTTTTTTTTTTTTTTTTTGTCGCTCCTTTGCCCTCTTTTCACTTCTTCCACTTCCTCTCTCTCTCTTTCTCTCTCTTCATTTTGGTCTCCTTTATTGATTTTCATCTTCTTTGTCGTCGTCTTCGGATGTTTTATGTTGCATAATCAGGATGTAAAAAGGCGCATAACCTCTAGCATAGAGACTAAGAATGCATGGTCGATACACTTAAAAGTCGGTGTTTGATAGCAGATTAAGTTCGGCGAAATCCATCCAGTTTTAAACCCTGTCCGAACGGCGATTCGAGGATCCAATCGGAGACTTACCAGCAGGAAAATGAGGGGAAGCTGCCCGACCGTAGCCGATCGACAAAACGACCAAACAGAATAAATATGCTAGTCGTCATCATCTTCGCCTCTTGCCTTCCACAGGAACTCTCCATGGTTTCTTTCCCCTGGTGAATTTCAAGATGCAGTGAGATCTCTGAGTCGGTGCATCGTGTGGAAACCATGTTCTGACATGCGTCTAGGGAATCTTCAGCGTACTATAACCTCGGCTCGCATCGGCGTGCCGTGACCACATCCTCTCCAGAAGCTCAGCTCTGGTTTAACCGCGGATTTCTCTGGGCCTATTCTTTCAACCATGATGAGGCGGCGCGGTGCTTCGAGCGGGCCACTGAGCACGATCCAAATTGTGCCATGGCATTCTGGGGGATCGCCTATGCCGTCGGCCCGAACTATAACAAGGCGTGGCACTTCTTTGACATGGCAGACCGTCAGCATACGGTGAAAAAAGCGAACGAAGCGTTGACACGGGCCACTGAGCTGGCGGACAACGCCACCCCCGTGGAAAGGGATTTGATCAAAGCACTCACTGCCCGATTCCCACCCTCAGACAATATCCCGTCCGACATGGGACCGTTGAACCATGCCTATGCAGACGCGATGCGACCTGTATACCACGCCTACAGCAATGACGTGGATGTGGCCGCGTTATTTGGTGATGCACTCATGTGCATTAGCCCTCGGGGGCTATGGGATTTGGATACTGGCAAGCCCACCGGCGACCACACAGTGGAGGCTCAGAAAGTGATCGAATCAGCAATGGCACGGGACGACGAAGGTCGGGATCATCCGGCCCATTGCCATCTCTATATTCATTTGATGGAAATGTCACCAATGCCGGAGCGAGCATTACCGGCCTCCGACCGATTACGTCGCCTGGTGCCAGATGCTGCGCATATGTTACACATGCCCACGCATATCGATATGGCGGTTGGTGACTATCGCCGTGCGGTCGACTCCAACGAGGAAGCCATAATCGCCGATGATAAGTATTTCAACCGCGACCGTGGATCAGCCCTGTACGTAGCGTATCGGGTGCATAACATTTGCGCCAAGTTGTATGCGGCCTTCATATCAGGTCGGTTCCAAGAATCGCTCTCGGCTGCGAAGAAGCTCGAACAGATTATTGATATCAACGTGTTGACCAGCACCAGTCCCCCGATGGCGGACTGGACTGAGAGCTTTCTAGGAAACCTGGCCCATGTGTATGTGCGCTTTGGTCGTTGGGAGGATATCCTAAACCTCGAGCTTCCCGCTGACAGCGCCGTGTACTGCGCAACAACGGCCAATATACTTTACGCGCGCGGTGTCGCCTTCAGCGCCCTCGGTCGCATCGCAGAAGCAGAGGCTGCCCAGAAACAGTTTGAGGCGGCCCGCGCGACTGTCCCTCCTTCCCGTCTGAACAGCATCCCGGTTAAAGAGGTCGACGTTCTCAAGGTCGGCTCAGAAATGCTTAGCGGCGAGCTGGAATATCGCAGGGGTAACTACGAGGTCGCGTTTGCCCACCTTCGGAAAGCGATTGAGCTGGAAGATGCTCTCCCTTACTCGGACCCGCCGCCATGGATGCAGCCTGTGCGGCATGCCTTGGGTGGGCTGCTGCTGGAACAAAACCGTATCGAAGAAGCAGAGCAGGTATTCCGAGAGGACCTTGGGCTTGCGAAAGATTTCCCTCGTCGCAAGGCCCGAATGAATAATGTCTGGGGCTTACATGGGCTCCATGAGTGTCTGTTGCGCTTGGGCAAGCTCGAAGAAGCTCTCAGCATTCAGGTCCAGCGCGATATCGCCGTCGGTTCCGCCGACGTTCCGATTACCACCTCATGCTTCTGTCGTGTATCGGCAGTCGGAAAAGGGGAGACATGCTGTTCTTCTCATATTTGAGCGTATTTTTAATATCCCGAAGGTCGTTCCCCTCAAGGCTCTTCGCCATCTGACCCCATAGCTCAGCACGGCCATTTTACCTGTCACGTTTGTAGCGCTATACCTCGTTTTTATGATTTCAAGCTGTTAAAATCAAGCGCGCAAGATTAGTTGACCCACTTCGCATCCAGCTCGTATTTAGTCCGACCAATGGTTCGTGATCGAGCCCAGCCCTCAAACTCAACAATCGCCTAAAATAGTAAAAGACCCCTTTTTATCCTGAGAGAAACTGGGACCGTGACCATGGTTAGATGGTGCTTAATTTCCACCACTGGGTTCTGGGCCAAGCCGCAACGATTTAATTGATGGAGAGGAAGAGATTTCATGGTTAGCCCTAACCCGGTCAAGATTAGCCTAGGGACCCAGCTGGAGAAGCATTACCGATTAAGGGCGGCAGTTCTCAGAGAGGTTAAGCATCAGGACTTATAATGAAGCTAGCAAACTCAGTCGCTCACTCCGTAGGCTGCAATTCGGGGCTCTAGGCTGCTAGCGGCATTAGAGAGTTCAAGAACCAAATTCAAGGAGTATATAGAAAGCTATGTACTATCCTGTCTCGATGTCGACTTCTCTCCTCCAGGGAACTCACTCACTCTCCGTCACTCTTTAATCCACCCTCACCGGTCACCACTCCTTTATACTACGTTTCCAACAACCAGTCATTCATTTTCACTAAACCCACCAAAATGAAATCCATCACTCTCCCCATCCTCCTCACCCTCACCGGCCTAGCCGCCGCCCGCACCGATCTCGATGGCTGCACCAAATCCGCCACCGTCAACCAATGGGGCGAAGCCAGTATGATCTGGTACGTGCCCGACACCGGCGAGATCTGCGATTTCCCAGACTGCGGCGGCGGTCGCGCTCCCCCCAAGCACAACCAGCCCGGATGTGCGGCCTACACCGGTACCGAGACCCTGACTCCGAGTTACCTCCCTGGCTGGGGTCCTAACGGCAAGGTTGCACCGTCAACGTCGGCTGTCTCGGCCTCGGCAACGGATGCTGAGTCCTCGGCCACTTCTACTGGGGCCGCTACTTCCGGTACTAAGACCGGCAGTACTTTGATTACTGCTGCACCTACCTTGTCTACTGGGGTTTCGTCTTCGGCCGCTGGCTCTTCTTCTTCTGCTGCTGCTGCTGGTTCTTCTTCTCGTGCGGTGGAGCAGAGTGGTTCGTCGTCGAGCTCTGCCTCGTCCGGTTCGAGTGGCTCGTCGAATACGACCTCGTCGGCGGGTGTTAAACCCACTGATAATGCGGCGAATGTACTGGGTTTGAATGGTGCGAGTGTTCTGGCTTTGATGGGGGGGTTGGTGGGTATCTTGGCCTTGTAGGGGTTGGGCTTGGGGTAGTTTGCAACGATGATGTCGGAAATTTTATTCATTATCCACATAGGACATTCATTTTCTTGGATTATGCATAAAATGTAACGAGTACGAGCTTATTATTGGATTCAATGCATTGGACGTTTCAAACCTTGTATACTATGAAATATAACTCGGGTGATCGACTGTTGATCTTCATGATCGTCATTATCCACAGCGGATCAACACGACACAGTACGGAGTATACTATCTAGATGAAAAAGATATACATACACATTCGAATTGAGTAATAGATAAAAATAACATCATCATATACGAGTATAGGATAAGATCATTCATAATTCCAATTCCCAAAACACCCTACATACTACAGTACATACAAAGCCCCATTTAAGTAAATTCAGCATCCTCCCCTCGCCAAACGTTACTCAGCAGGGCCAAGGATATTCTTTTCATAAACAGTTGTGGTCTTTCCGGTATTCTGGTTCTCAATCTATCACAAGCAAATCAGAACCTTATCAACCCCCCTAGTTTTTCTTAGATGAACTCACCTCATATCTAGGGTTTTCCTCACTCGCATCAACGTTCCGGCCAGCTTGGGTTCCGGGCTCGGTGAGAACAGACTGGACGGTGCCGATACTTTCGGAGGTCCTTGAGTCGGGACCTTGATTGGGATTGTTAATCATTCATTCATACAGGAGACTCGAGATGAGAATGAGACATACCGCCGACAGGCTTGTAGATAACACTCTGGCCGTTTCTGTATTGAGGCATTTTGGGGGGATTGCACTGGGCTATAGAATGTGAATTTGGATATAGATATCTCGCTTGATTATGATGGAATCATAGAACTATAGCTTCCAACTCCATTTCTGCGAGCAATTTATATCCAAGATCCCCCCCTATGGTTTACAATGACATCGATATTACAACCCCCCTTGGCGACAGAATATGCCCCTCTGTCGTGATAATATGATGCCGATCTTACGTCCCTGTCCAGAATCCAAGGAATATCTCCGACTGGACAACTCTATCTTTAACAAGAGTCGTCGATTGAAGATAATGCCATCATGACGTCAAACCTTGTCTGGACTCCAACGATCGCCCAATCTTCATAATACCGTTCCATTCTTTGACACTAGAACAATCCCCAGGGAAAGTCGATTCTGAATGTTTATTCGTAGATCTACACATTCTATTCAGGAGGTTGATCTCCGAAAACTACTGAACTATGTCACGAAGCGAACAATGGCCGATTGGACCCACCACAGCATTCAGAATTCTCGGCCTTTCCGGCAAGGGAGGTGGAGGGGTTCAGCCTTCAAGGTATCGGATCTCAATTCTGCCCGGTTCGCTTGGGGCTTTTTCATGTGAGTCTAACTAACTCGTTCGCTTACTTTGCAGTAGAGGATCTTAAAATAGGTTAGTTGATTATTTATCGGAGTTTAGTAAGTTGATTTGCGTGGATTCGTGGGATTAGTAAATGGTTGGTAATGCTTTGGGGTTCAACCCTTCGGGGACTTGTTCTACTCCGGGGTTATAAGTTTCCTAACATGTGTAATAGTATATGTAAAAATTTAGAAAAAAATGTTAGAAAATAGTGAAAAGGTGGATAAAGTTCTGGTAGCTTTTCTGGAATTTCTAGGGTATCTTGTCGGATTTTAGTTTGATGCCGATAGAAAAAATGCAGCACACATGGAGATATATTTATGTATCACAGCTATCGGACCATGTATACGTAGAAGGAATTTACGAATTGACAGATCGTGCTTAGCTTTAGTAATTCCTTAAGACAGGAAGCAACATATCCAAGGCCTCGTCACATTTTCTCAAGTTTTTCTAGGATTTTTTTTATAGCCATTTATGTGTAGTTTCAGGTTCAATCGATTCGGTGACTCGGTCAAGTTCCTGGCGAGCCGAGGCTTCAAAGAGTTGAACCCTAGCTTGAGGTGCAATCGGAGCGGATTCCCAACTGCATCCGAACTGCTACGGATCGGGGCGGTTTTTGTAGCCAAGTTGAACCCCAGTTCTTGGGTTGCTGCTATAGTACTAAGTCCACTCTGTGCAAGCGGAACATGGTCTGCTCAAAATAACCAGTGTCGATTGGATACATTCATGTCTAATACTACAGATTACTCGCCATTTACGACCGCGATGTTAAGATAACAGTCATCCTAATCTTACGTGTCGCTCATTTTTTTCATGGAGCTACAAGAAGCCCGACTCTCAGAAAATAAACCCTATAATGCGTATCTCCATTGCTTTTCTCGGCATTATTTATTTACGTACATATAAAAGTAGAAACCAAAAACAACAGTGTCGATTGTAAGACTTGATAAATATATGTCAAGGCGTCGTAAGCCCTTTATGCGGCGCACGTCCGATCTTATTCTCGCCAGGTTCGCCGCCCTTCATCGTTTGTCGATCGGCTTCTGAAACGACTTCTGGGCGTCCTAATTTGATTTCGCCATCTATGGCTTGTCGATCACCCTCTGACACCGCCGCTTGGCTTCTCTGAGGTGATAGCGACCGAAAGGCGAGCCAAGTCCCGCCGATCACGGCGAACATGCTTAGGATAGCTGTATTGCGGGATCTATGGGGTTATATTAACTCGAGATCGCTAGAGGAGCTCATACGTTTAGGTGTAATACAGACCTGGTTGCGGGCGATGCGCCCTTTCCGAGAGTAAGATTTGGCATGGTGATTTATAATGTTGGTTATCGGTGAAGTTCGGGAGAAGACTCGTGGAGAGAGTATGGCTGTATCTTTAAGGTCTTCTTTCTATCATGTATTTAACAAGTAGAGTTATTTTTTCTCCATATGTTCTCGAATTGTCCCGGTATATCTGCCACTGGAGATGAACTTCAGTCGGGAAGCGTTTCGCCACCCATGACAGAGCAATGACATTCTGACCATCGATGCACTGGCCAACTCTTCCATCTTATGTCTAGATTCCGGGAAAACACAGCCAACACGTCATAGTGGCTTTACTTCCAATGACTACTGCCTCAATATTCATTAGAACTTGTGAGTCCCGACCCTGAGAAAAACTTCGCAGCTGGAGAGAAATGTCTTACACCGTGCACAATTCTGTTCGTAGCCACTCCATTTCAGGGAGAACATGCGCACAGAGTGATTGCGAACTCGGGGACTTGTCAATAGAAGGTTAAAATGAGAAGATCGGGTTTGTCCTCAAAGCCTGGCAGTTGAGCCAAACGCCGAAGCAGACGCCGAGCAATGTCTGGTGATATCATACAAGATAAATGAGTACATTAGATATATCGACTGGCATCACCATTTCTCAACCTAGAGCTTTCTATTATTTAATTCTTAGCAAAACAAACCTCGTTCATGTTCAACTCAACGCTCAGCTGACTGGATCAAGTCTTAGCCAGGATTGTCTGTAGCGCTTGGTGATATCAGTTCTCACCGAAGATATAAAAATAAGTAAATAAGTAAATGAGGGAAAGGAATACATAATAACCTCGGTGCCAATTATGTCGTCCGCTATGGGACTTCCCCCTAATGGGGGCCATTGCTCGATCAAACCTCGCGAGAGACGGTTGCCTGTCGGCTCTTTGAGTGACTTGAGACGATGTCCGCACTGTTAGAGATATCTATGTGGGCAGTCAGCCTAAGCTTCGAGTATAGTTAGGGTGAGCATCTCAGCCCTTGGCGACATGTCTTCTATGTCGGTCACTAACAAACATGGGCGCAAAGTTACTGAAAGCGCATCGGTAAATTGGAAGTTCAACAAGATTGCGACAGTCTTGCTTACACACATTGTAAGAAGTTTCATCACTTTGATAGCATCTTCATCATGTAGGATGCTTAATGACTGGGTGAAACGCTGGATTCAAGAATCGCAATCTTGACAGCCCCTGATCCGGGGAATTGCACTCGGACGACGAGATCTTAAGGATGCAGCTTAGATGAACTTTAAAAATGAAGGGTTCATATATCTCTGTGATCATGGGTCCCAGCCAGGGTATTAGTGCTTGGCTAAAGTTCTTTATGTAACTTCCTCCGGAAAGTTCTGCCAATACTTCTGATGAGAAGAGCGGATAATAGTTTTCATTGCTTGAATTTGACATATGTACTACGATAGTCTATCGTAGTTTGTTTTCCTGCATCCAAAATTTATCACGTTTGCGATAGCGTTTTATTCCCCCAGTCCGAAGTATTGGTTGTACAGCATGACAAGGCCCAAGTATCATAGGGGCATGGGAGATGAATTCCTGGGGCTTCCGATATCCACTCGAAGCAGGGAATCGACGAGTGCCATGCGGAAAGTTGTGACATGGAAGACAAAGAATAAAATTGCAGGATGATAGCTCAATCATTCCACTAACAACGTACCGGGCCGCTCATTGGTGCTCTTTGTACTCCCTAATTAAATCTCCGTGGCGCCATTGGCAACCCTGAGTCTATCAGGACTGGAGAGAGAGCCTCCAAGAGTATAGAGATGTAATTCACAACAGAGCAACAGTGCAATGATTGGGCTGGATACCCAAAGGCCACACTTCTATAGGCAATCGCCTATTATGAATACCGTCAATCTCGGCTCGGTCTCGGTGCTTCAAAGTGAAAGACAGTCTTTCAGGGATGTGAACCAAGTCATCCTCATCGATTTCCTATTAAGGATGCTCAACCCTTCCCCTAATATTCCTCGGAGGGGAGAGTTGATATTCAATTCCCTTCTATTCACATACCAGCTGGCTCTGGTGAATATGGTGTCAACGTTACTCATTATTTAGTCGCTCTTTACCACAGTCTATTGCGTCTTTCCATCTCGATTGTCGCTCCTTTCCTTTCTATAATCCTATCATCCAACCTTCTCGTCATTCTCTCGCTAATCACACTTTGAACAAAAGAGGTCCTCGCCACCATGAAGTTCCTCAATGTATTCTTCCTCTTCTATGCCGCCCTGGTGGCGTCAGTTCCAACCACCAATAGCAAAGCCGAACGCGATATCTCAAACGAATCCCCCGACACTCTACCTATCATCTGCAGGTGGGACTGGGATTGCCCCCGTCAGCAGCTCTGTTGCAAGGGTCGCTGCCACAGAACTGGAGATTGCAGTCACGTTCCGCCCAAACTCGAGGTCGCCGGCCCTCAGACTTGCACATGGGCTACGGACTGTCGTCCTGGAGACCTCTGCTGCAACGGTTACTGTCAAAGTGTTTATGACTGCAGACGGATTCCCCCGAAGCCCCCAGTGAAAGATTCTCAAGACCCTGTGGACAATAAGAATACCCTTGAAACCCTGGGCGATGATGAACCCGTCGTCAACGACTTCAACAGGTCCCAGCTTGATAAGAGGCGCTATCGCTCGCCAGAAGATAAACCTGACGACAAGCCTCGTACTGAGTCTAGTATTCAGGGTCCCCAGACAGAAGCAGCCTGCAAACAGTGGTGGGATTGCGGAGTTAGCGGGGAGCATCAATGGATGTGCTGCAATGGAAAGTGCCTCAAGTGGTACCCTGGATCGACACCTTGGGTCCGTCCAAAATGCTTGAAGTAGTGAAGATGCCTTTGATGATACATCTAAGGGCTGTGCTATGAAGTACTTGCATCCAGGACATTCATGGGACTTGACTGGTTTTTTGCTGGATTGTGAAACCTTAAATCCGTGCAGGCACTGATTGCTGACAACGTTCTTTGACTTCAAACCCAACCATGGCTAAATAATTATTTGCGATCTATTTGGAGGCTGGCTGGGGTGACTAGTTCATTCTCCTCTCTTCGATAAAGCACCTTCCTTTGTCTTTCTTACTGGATAAGGGCATTATTCTAATACATTGAATACTATCTCACTTGCTGCGAACGTAGACAGCACGGTAGCAGATGTAAGATTCTTTTGTGGCCAATTTATCTGCGCTATCGACAGGGTTGGATCATAACAAGTTAACAGCAATCTAAGGGTCCTCTAGACTAATATGATTTCCAATTTCAAACTTCCTTTCAGACCAGCTCAGCTGCACCAACTTCGAAGACTCCATCCAACATCTACAGTTCCATATCATAATCACTATTCTCGACCTCCTCATCCTCATCCTGTTCATCCTCCTCATACCCTTCTAACCCAAACGTCTTTGAATTCAACTCCAAAGCATAAGGCTGTACGGAATCCCTAATGGACGCCCCCATATCAAAATCCTCCGTCATCCTCGCATTCTCCACGCTCTCTTCCTCACTCGTCTGCGCATCCCCATACGCCAGAGACCTCGACACAAACGCAAAGAAAGACTTCGTCCCAATCCGCGTATGACACTCCGCCTGCAAGATATGATTCTTCTTCCAATGAATCCGATCACCCCTCATCTCCAGCGGCGATGGATCCGGACTCGGCTCGGCCGTCTTATCGTAGTAGAACTCTTTGCGCATCACCCGGTTCGTGAAGTACTCGTTAGGCTCGAAATGGAACACAAGCACGAAGTCGAAGCCCTCGAGCCACTCGACGCGGATGTCGATGAGGGACCTCAGCGGGCCAAGGTCAAGCTTAGTGACTAGTTTGCGGGTCTCGTGCTCATTGCGTAGGGCTGTGAGCCAGAAATCCCGGATAGGGGGATGGTGGGTTTGAGTGTCGCCCGTCCAGCCGGTTGCGAGCTCCGCACGACGCTGGTAGAAGGATTTGTTGTGCTCGTAGTGCTCCTTGCGGGCTTCGTGAATGTCTCGCTCCCACTGGGCGTTGAGTTCGTTTTCTTTGTCGTAGAGGGCTTTTAGGTCGGGTTGGCGGTTGGCGGTTGCCATCTTGGTTGAGAGTTTCTTTGACTTGTTGACTTATGGGGTAGATCGGGTTTTAAATCTTTAGGCTTGGTGTGAGCCTGTTGTGGTGGATACGATATTCGAGATGTCGTCTGTCTAAGAGGCTGGGTGGTGGTGTTGGTCAGGCAAAGACCACTCTGCGAAAAGTGGTGGAGACAGTTGGAACACAAGGCTTGAAGAAGGCGGTAAACATGAGTTTTATAGAATAAGCATAAGATGCTCAATGATCCAATCTTTCTTTTCTTTGTGGTTTATATCTGTACAAAGTCATTCTTGTCTGCGGTTTCCTAAAGAGTAACCCCATTTATTCACTGCAACGCACGGAAACAAGACTGCCACTAGAGGATCAACAAAGACACTATTCTTTTTCATCATAAATAAAGGAAATAATTCCTTCTTTTTCTCGGTGAGTCATATGTGTTTTGGTCACGTCACATCCAGAATGAGTGAATATAGCTCTGAAGGTAGGGATCACACTGCATGATAGGTCCGCGCAACAAAGCTCTTAATACTCGGCTTGCTCCTCTTAAGGCTGCCCTACGTTGTCAAATGGCTCTACTACAATCTTGAGATGAAATCTATTATACAAGATTATTAATTGCAAGAGCTATTGTACATGAGCACATAATCCACCTAGGAACACTCTCTACCTTCTCCCATGACAAAGAGGACCGTAAGTCTCACCGGGGAGGCTATCTTGATGCCAGGCCTCACTACCCACACAGGCTGGACAGTAGAAAAGGCTCTCCGGGTCATACTTTTGCTTGATCAAAGACAGACGCTTGTAGTTGGCACCGAAGAAGTCTATAGCCCAGAGAGGATCGTTCCGGTCGGCCTAAGAACTTATTAGCTGTTGTCAACATTCCAGGAGATAGGAACAACTCACCTCGTTCATGTAACTGCCTAGCTTCGGAGTCAGGGCCCTCATCGCTCCGCCCTTCTTGTAAGTAATATCATCCTTGACAGCTTGAGCAGTGGACTCGTCAGCCCAACCCCTGGCTACAACGTTGACCATATACGTCGAGCGCCAAGCTGGATTGACACCCGAGAAGCGATCTTCTCCATCGGTCAGCACCTTTCCACCACCGACCAGTTCCACACTGTTGATGGTGTACTCCTCCGGTGCCCCAGCAATGACACCGATCATCTTGCGAAGAAAAGTGCGGTTCTTGGTCAGGGAATCCTTGTCGAACATCCGAGAAGTCAATGCCGAATTGGCCGAGCCAGTGGATTGATGAGCCCCAGACATGGCGTTGTAGTAGGCCGGATACGAGGGGAACTGGAACCACTGGACCGAAACAAAAAGCGAGGTGCCGTTGTACTTCTGCAGTTTCTGCAAAAGAGGTGCAAATGCCACCTCCGCGTACTTGCGAGATTTACCCATGGCTGCTACAGCATGGACGTATCCAACCGTCTGGTTGCCGAAAAGTGCCATGGGGCCGTTGACGGACCAGGTGCCGTACCCGGAGAACCCAGCGTCGGATATGGACGGATACTCGGTGTGGATGTCTGTGACTGCTTCCAGAAGGGCGTCGGTGTTGTTTCCCAGTGGCATTATGGCCAGTGACTGAGCCACGACAGGCTTGGAAGGATACGCCTTTACGACTGCGGAGGTCACAACGCCGTAGGTGCCACCGCCACCGCCTCGGATTGCGAAATAGAGGTCGGAGTTCTGGCACGCGTTGGCCGTCACCGTGGTGCCGTTGGCTAGCATGACTTGCGCTTCGAGGATCTGGTCTGATCCTAGACCGTAGTCACGGCTTGCAGGTGAGTGCCCGCCTCCTTGAATATAGCCACCGATACAACCCACGGTCTGTTTTGTATCGTTAGATGAGCTGTGCTCTTTAGTATATCAATGTGGGAGTAACTTACGGGGTCTCCTCCCCCAACGATGGTCAGGTTACGTTTAAATACCTCCTGGTAGACGTCCGACCAGACGTAACCACCTGCGATCGTGAACGCAGCGCCGGTCCAGTTTGTGTGTTTACACTGGTCCGATGGCACGTAGTTTTCATGATAGGTAATTCCTTTCTGGATGTACTTGATCCAGATTTGTAGCGCGCCGTAACCCTCAGACCTAGTAGTGGATGAGCCAAAGTTACCCTAAACCGCGAGATGCCATACTTACTTCCCGAGGATATCATGGCCGGTATTTCTGACAACAAGACGGATGTTGTTCTTCTTCGCAAACGCCATCCCGGTGGCTAGTTCTTCCGGCTCTGTCGCATTGATAGTGTACAAAGGCGACTGACCCAAGGTACAGTTTCCAGGCTTCTCTCCCGAACTGAGATCCACGGGCGGACAATTGTCATCTGTAGGATAGATGTATCCTACGGGTGACAAAGACTGCCAGGTTTCATTGGACCATTGCGAATAGACATAAGCACACTCCTCATCGTTCTGGTAGGGACCCGGATAACAAGAAATGGCAGGAGGGGTGTTCCTGATCAGTTTTCCAGATACCGACACGTTGAGCGCATTCCAAGTGTCGAGTGATGGCCAGCATGAGTCTCCGGGTGTCTGCTGCGTGGTCAGTATCCACCGTCCGAGATGCTGTTTCTTTCAAAGACGCACGCATTTACAGGAGCCTCCGGTGTTAGCGTAGGCCAACCCGGTGAGGCCCAATAGTGACCAGAGTGCGGAACGCATGGTCGACTGTTCAAACAGATCTATTGTAGGGGATGTTCACGAAGGAAGAACTGAGCTGCGGTCGGGATTGAATCTAAATACTTCCCCCTATTGGCTACGGATACGAGAGAAGCGACATAACCGACATGATTTGTGCAAAGGTTGTGCATGGGTTCGCAGTGAATCGCGTCTTCGTATGAGCAAGAAAGGTCTGATTGGGCAATTCAAGGGTGTTACATTGGTCTAGTCTACTACTTAATTAACATCGACTCACTGCTACCGAGGTCGGAAGAGGCCGCATCCCGGATCATACCAGGCGTCGATTTTGAATGGCCGACTCAAGTTACTTTATATCTTATTAGACCGATCGTATGGTAGGTTTCGCCTCCTTTCTGCGCTCTTGCAGATCTAAGCATCTTTTATCAGAATTGTATGCATTTATACATGTGACACACGCTTGTTCTTTGCTTACTGTGACAGTCTTGCTTTTGACAACATCCCACCTCCGAGAATCCAGGCAAGACCATTAAATCTTGACAGCATTCAGGCCACGTTGGCTCCACCCAAAGTCCCACATGGTTCAGCGGATATACAGGGGACGGAGGGACTAAGGTTGACGGCCAAGGGTCCGTTCGTGGTCCGTCCCTTCGCTTAGTTTTAGTCCCTTCCTCTCCAAATTTAATTATATTCTGTTAGATTAACAGGCTGAGAGGAATTCTCCTGGGTTGAAAAAGAGAAGAAAATTAGGGCGCCATGACACTCCAACACACTAACATTGTCCTCCAACTCCATGAATGAACCATTGGCTTGTGCTCACATACTGTTGCGTTGCCTTCTTGTATCCCGTGAGATCCACAACCCTAAGATAGCAGATGCCTCCATCGTGAGTCCGAATCACCAGGGTAAGAGCTGCACGGCATTTGAGTCCGGAGTACACGGCATAATATCGACGACTAATTGAGGAAGCCTACGTAGAGCGACAGGGATTGTGAAACATTTCGGACAAACTACTTTGCGATGGTAACATTATAGGAGGTTTAATAAATAAATTATCGGAAAAGCCGGCCCTAAAATGAGAAAGCGTGGTCCTTTGCCGTTGCCCACAAACGGCCCCCATATCAGCACGGA